AATTTGTCCATTTGATGACAATAGACTTCTGAATTAATCGTTGTATTGTCCGGCAAAAGCTCAAAAAAAAAACGATTCCTTTGACATCCCACCAAACGGAGAGCATCACCTTTTTTTGGTGAATGTTGGCTTTTGACACGCTTTGAGCCGGTTCATCTTTTCTGCTCCATGACCTCTTGCATTTAACATTGTTGTATACAACCCATTTTTCGTCCCCAGTAATAATCCGCTTCAAAAATAGATCATTTTCTTGACGTTTGAGGAGCGAATCACACACGTCAACGCGACGACACAAATTTCGCTCCGTAAGGACATGGGGCACCCCACATCGAGCTTCGAGGTTAAGCCATAAACAGTCGAATTCGACAAATTTAATCTCTCACCGATCTCTCGTGTGGTTATTCGCCGATTTGCATCAACTAATGCCTTTATCGCATCTTTGTCAGCTTCGACCGGCCTTCCAGACCGTGGTGCATCTTCGACATCAAAATTGCCGGATCGAAATTTTGCAAACCAGTTCCGGCACTGGAGTACTGTTAACACGCCTTCTCCATACACATCCGTTAATTTTTTTCTCGCTTGGACAGCATTTTTACCTTTTCTGAAGTAAAAAAGTAAAATATGACGAAAATGCTGCTTATTGCTCTCCATATTTAAAAGGGCACCAACCAAAAACTACTGCGTAGAATTAATAGAACTTTTTCACACACAAGCCTTGCAATATCAGCTCTCAAGACATATAATGGTTATGCGGCTTAAGCGTGAAGTTGGTTTCGAAAAAACGTAATTAAATCCTCTGACGGGAAAAAACGAAATGACTTTCCGAACAACCTTATATAATAATATCCTTAAAGTTTTATTGAAAGTTTCATGCAGTTACCCTCACGATGAACCCTCAATTCACATCAGCCTGTATATCTTTTAAGCTCTTTTAGTTATTTCGCTCGTCGACGGGGCGCTCTAAAAATAACCAGCCGCCGGCGGGACGCCCCAGTTCTGATCACGACCGCCTCGGGGGGTTGACGAATTTCATTCAGCGAATCGGCGGGGGCGGGAGCGTCTCTCGGGGGCCCCCCCGCGCGGTCCGCTCGTGTCCGGGGCGTCGGACGCCGTCGCCAGGTGCCGGTTCAAGCCTATGTAATTTTTTGATCCAAACATTTACCTTTTCATGTCAATATCGTTCGAACACTATGCAAAATCGGCATCTTCGGATTTTTTTTCTAACGAAAACGTTAATAAACCAGTAGATATCGACTTAAAACCGCCCTCTCTGCTTTTTCGCCTCTAATTGTACCGAAATCTACCTCGAAAATGCATATATGAACTTAAAACCCTTTTTTCCGAGACAAATAGTTGCGAATTCTACCCTGAAAATGGTTTTCATCGACGTCACATTACCGGAGTGCTTCCGGTAACCACGTGGGTATAATATTCCGTTTATCTTTTGTTAGACGTATAGACGCCTCCGCCCGCCCGACGCATAAGCGTCGCGGCGTTGGGGCAGGTCTAGGCTCGCGATATCGTGCGGACACTAAATAAGCGGTATACTAAATAAAACTAAATTTCATACTTAATAAATATTTATTTATGCAAACAATGTGCTTGCATCTCCTTGGAAAGTTCGAGTAAAATCCGGTTAAAATCGGCAAAAATGAGTCAGAACTTGGGCAAAATCCCCTTGATTCAAATTGCGGTTTTTTCCATTGTTCTCTAAAACGGTAAGTTTTATCGTGAAAATAGGTCAGACAAAAGTTATAGATCATACAATTCTCTACGAAAATTGTCCAGGTACTTTTTTCTCACGACTCACCATTCGTGAGATATCGCGGTTTCCGCTATATAAATAAACATAAGAAACTATGGGTTTGCCTTACAGCATAAAACTTGTATACTTGCACCAGAAATATAGTGCTTTTTCAACCGACCTTCGTGATTAACTTTGCCTACTGTTTATTACTCCAAAACCGCGGCCCCTTATAAAACAGCCTGCCCACAGATCCTTACCCCTAACCATTCCAGGACCGTCCTAGGAAATATAAATATGGCCACCAAAGCAATTGGCCACTTTCTTATATCTATGAACAGACTTTACCTCTTGCCAAATCATCTCAATCGGGTTAAACATACAACGATACGGGTACGAAAAGGTTCATATGTTTCCCCCTCCTCTGGGATTTTTTTGCCGCTATAAATTATAATTTTTACCCCGTATTTATTGGCGAAAGCACTATACTTGCGTTCCGTCAGCACCGTGACATCGCGAAAAAACAAAAAAAACAAACGCTATTGTGTTTAGCTCGCGGTCGGGTTTGCGCGGCGGGTCATTGGCGTAGGGCGACATTTTTATATTACCTATGCCCGGCTTACATTGTTTTAGTCAAACATCTATTTCTTTTCTTTATCTGTGATAACGGCTAAAAGGGGGCGGAGTTTCCGCGCGGCCGCGGCCGGTATATACAGGGCGTCTAACCAGTGTGTCAAAATAAATTTATGTTTTCGTATCAAAAAATAAAAAACGTAAATGGAATACAGTGGCGGGCATCACAAAAAGATGAGGTAGAAATTGCGAAACAGCTACCGATAATGAAACAGCCGTACACTCAGATATATTATGTTATTTGACTCTTTCGTTCTTGTCATCACACTTCCAGTTCGGGTAAAACGATTAATCAACTTAATAATAATAATAATAAATTGTTGTATATTGTCATATACAAACATACAGTAGAGAAGAGGCGAAGTCTTGCAAAAGCTACTCCATTTAACCTGTTAAATGTTTAAAATGAAAACAATGAAAGCAATGAACAAAAATGAAATTAATATGCTAAATGCAGTCAACTTTATTAGTAAAGCTTGGAAAGAGGTGACAGCATTTTATATTATATTTTATATTTATATAAAATGTTCCTAGTAATATTACAGAACTCCTATACGTATTGTTATTTTTCACGTGCCTATAACTCTTTATAATGAAAAAAGAAAGCAGTCCCTTCAATTTCGCTATCTAGAGTTTCATCTGTATTGCATTTGATAAAAACACGGTGTTGTCGAAACAATTGTCATGTGAATATACGTATAATTTCGTAAAAATCTGAACTTTTAGTTCTTATATATTTTGATATTTGAAAACCAATTTTAAATTGTTTCTTTTAGTCTCGCCCCTTTAACTTTACACAACGTTTCGGACGGTTGTATCACTACCCGTTATCAAACTAAACTTAATTCTAAGGCTACAAGGTTTATATACTAGGCGACGGCGCTCATCCATGACGGAGTCCAGCGTGAAGTTGTTCAACTAGAACGCCAGCATTGACGCGCCTTATTAGAGGTATATCCACGCTTGGATTACTGAAGACGTGTTCATTGTTTCTAATGAAAACTGCTTCTTTAAATGCTGCTGTATGAGAACAACCCGCGCTCTGGACCATTGGATGTTGTGTTGTTTGGTCCACATACGTTCTGCGATACCTGATTTTTGCGTTTCACCCCTCATCGTATGTTTCTTATGTTCTTCAACTCTTATTTTTAGAGGTCGTTTGGTTTCGTCGAGTCGACGTTTCAGGCTTTGTTTTTGTGAGTACACTTCTTAATGTTGATCCAGATTTAAATACAGTTTTCACTTGATATTGTTTACCCGTTCCCCTAATCTTTTCTGATATTCCTTTCACGTATGGGATCGTCAACAGAGAAAAAGAGTGTCTACCTCACACGGTTCCGGTGTTGTTTCCCGCTTACAGTTTGTTATTATTTTGTTTATAGATTTTTCGGAGTAACCGTTCTGAAGCAAATCCTTTTTAATATTATTCAATTCGGCATGGAGAGATGCTTAGTCGCTACATATTGTGATTGCTCGTTTTGCACAGTGTTTTAATTATTCCTAGTTTGGTTGATTCAGAATGGTTAGACTCAAAATTTAGATACTGTCCTGCGTGTCCTGTATTAGGACGTCTAGGAATGGTAGACAGCCGTTCTTTTCTGTCTCAATAGTAAATTTAATTGATGTTCGCAAAGAATTGAGATGCTTGAGAAAAGAGTCTAACTGTCTATCGGTTCCACTCCAGATAATGAAGGTATCGTCAACATATCGAAGCCAGATCTTAGGTTTAATAGTTGTATATGTTCGCTATCACTGGAGAGAGAGAAGAAGCCATCGGCAGGCCATCATCTTGTGCGTAAAACTTATCTTTGACTTGAAAGTAAGAATTATGCAGACAGCACCTCAGAAGCTCCAACACTGCCTTAAGTGGCAGCAAAGGTCTCTCTGTTAGGGTTGTGTCATTCCTTATTAGTTTTACCTGCAAGCGGCTGGACTTAAGCTGCTGATCGCCGAATCTCTTGAACTATTGATCGGTCTGAGTGGTATATTATCTTTATGGATTTTTGGAAGTCCATAAAGATGTGGCGGTTTGGCGTGACGTGGAGTTAACGTGGTTCTAATGTTATCCGGAATATAGCGTCTGTATTTATGGAGAGATCGGTAGATTTTCCCTTCAAACGTCTTAGAAGCAGTTTTCATTAGAAACAATGAAAACATCTTCAGCAATCCAATGTTCTAGTTAAACAATAATAATAATAAATAATAATTAGAATTAAGTTTAGTGTACACCTGATAACGGGTAGTGATGCAACTGTCCGAAACGTTGTGTAAGTTAAAAGTAAAGACAATGGCAGTTCAACATCCTTTTAGTATTTCTAATTAATATATTACTTTCACACACTACGTGCGGACGCCCTGTAGAGAGAAAGAGAGCGTTATTATTAGCGTGCGGTGATAACGCGGACCGATCACACCGTAAACAAGTGCAGTCAGCGTCTCGCGGCCCGGGTCGCGACGGGGTTCGCGGAAAAACGAGAATAAATCGAATATTCATCCCCCCACTCCGTTTTGCAGGTGTGCGCGGAAGGGGGCGGCGCCAGCGGCGGCAGCGAGCCCGACGAGGAGATGCCCGAGGTGTGGGGCGGCCTGCAGCTGACGTCCAGGTGAGTGGGGAGAAGGAGAGAGTGAGAGAGAGAGAGAATGATTGCCGGACAGGGTCAAGGTCGTCGCGTATTTTTTTTTTTGTTTTTTTTCTCGCCCTATCGGTTATCTCCGTCGTCTTTAATTGCCGTTAGGCCGGTCGCGGCGGCGGGGGCGGTAATATTACACGCTAAATACGCGCTGCCCGAAAAAGTCGAAGGGATTCGCGTCAGGCGAACTCGCGGGCCATCGCGAACTTTCGCGACACGCAGAGCGTTATGCAATTAGAGTGGGCCTTGAATACGACTCGGCGGCGGCGACGGCGGGCAAAACAAGCGACGTTGCCGCTTCCCGTCGCGTTTCCGGATTCCAACGAGGCACTACGTTCGAAACAGATTTTTATTTCAAGAGGAAGCCGATTCGGTGTTTTTGTGCTCCTGCGGACCACCAGAGAAAGATCCAAGAAAGTGGAGAGCTGAAACTTCGACCCTTTTATCCTACCGAAACTGAAAACGAAATATGAACCCGATCCGACCACGGCAATAACTGTCCGAAATATGAATCTATCCATTTGAAATTTTGCACAAGGATATAAGATAGTTGAGAGGGATCGGTGAATGGGAAGTATGTTCTAAAATTTCAAAACCACTATTCTTAAAAAACCAAAAAATTACTATTCCTCGAAAACCGTTCATCGGGTCGAAACGATTATTGAACGGGAAGACGCAGAATATCGATGCCCATAAACCTTTATTGGTGACTTTTCTAAAATATTGGTATTGGTATTGAAGGGGGGCGCCCTCGCGGGCGTCCGAGCACTTAGGCCACCAGATGGGCCCGTTGTTCCCCCAGGCCGCTCTAGAGGGCGTCCAGAATGCCGCCCCTCCTGTAGAAGGTCAGCAACTCCTTTAGCCCAATACCGTGCACTGAGTCCGGATCGATCAGGGCCGTTCCAAAGACTCCCAATCTTGCCCATGTCAAGGCAGGGCACTCGGTGAGCAGATGATACGGGGTCTCCTCCCCTTCCATACACCACCTACACTCCGGGTCGTCTCCAATGCCTAGCAAGCAAAGATGCCTCCTAAGCCTGCAATGTCCTGTGTAGGCCCCTGTTAGTGCTCTACACTCCCTTCTGGTCAGTCTAAGCATCTAAGCACCTAAGCACATAAGCCTCGCCTGCCTCATTCCCGGAGCAACTCTCCAGCCCCCCGCGGCCCGGTCTCTCGGCCAGGCTTCGAGAGCTCTGGCCCTATATGCCTATGCGAGGAGCCCTCCCTGGCTAAGGCGTCCACTGCCTCATTGTCCCGGATACCGGTGTGACCCTGGACCCAGACCAACGTGACCTTTCTCTCCTCAGCCACCCTCCTCAGTACCCCTTTGCACTCCTTTATCAACAAGGAGCGCGTACTAAAATATACAGAGTGTGCCTTGCAAAGAAAATTGATTGTAAGTTAAACACTGCGACCTAGTCTGCGGTTTTTTCTACACAGCAGTGTAGGCCGGAGAAACAGCTGAAACCGTTGTATTTAAGGTTATATTAGGAAATGGAGCAAGTGCCCGAAATTTGCGGCTGTTGACTTCAATTTTGCCAAATTCTAAAACCTGGGTGCAACCGGACATCGGCAACTTTTTTTTTTTTTATTTCGAAAATTTTTTGTCGTCGATTTGGGCTGTATAAAAGCATTCATTTCTCCCGATCGGCAAAATTCCTTGGACCAAAAAACGCGGGAGATCCGGTACTATCGTATACAGGATTTTTTAATTATGGACAAAAATCTAAAAGATCGTGAAACTTGCCCTTTTCGGTAGCCGTAAATCAAAAATCGTAAAAAATATAGCTAATTGGTTGAAACAGTGTCATAGGCCGCATCAAGAGCTACGCTGTCTATCATACGCGCTGCTCGGGATATTTGAAAAAGAAAACTGAAAAAAAAAAGTGAAAAATGCCAATATCTAAAATACAGTGTTTCAGATATTAGTTTCTGTTAATTTGCGGATATCGACTACAAATTTAGCAAAGAAGTAAAGGTCCATGCCAACATTTAAACAGTGAAAATTGGGTGCAATCAAATTTCACCAAATATATTTTTTTTAATTTTGATTTTTTTGTTGTTGTGCCGCCTTCCAGAAAAACATGGTTTTCTGCATAACCATTCCCCAGATCGTCAAAATTGTTTAACCAGCAGACGTGGAAGATCCAGTGCCATAACATTTAATTTATGCATTTTTTCGATTATATACGCGGTTTCCCAATTATAGACAAAAATGTAAAAGACGCATGAAATTTTTCTTTTCCAGAATTAATTAACCGCGAATCGAAAATCGTAAAAAATATGGCCAATCGGTTCAAACAATTTTTGTTTTTACGATTTTCGTCTACCATACACGCTAGGTATTTGAAGAAATCCATTAAGAAATCACCATTTGTCGCCCCCAATCGATGACGTCATTTACTATTACCACGTACTATTTACTCTATTGGAAAAAATCATATGCCAGGAAATGTGGAAATGTTTCGAACATTGTTTGAATTGCATACAGGTTTTTGGGCAAAAAAATCTAAAACATCCCAAAAATTTCGGAAAAAAGGGGCTCGTATTTAAATTGAAATTTCCTTGCGGTCGCGGAAATTTGGCGGACGTGGCAACGTCGCGCGCGCTTATGCAGGCCCGCGTCGCCGCTGTCCCGGTCGCGTTTAAACGCCACGCAGTAGTAGTCGAATCGTCGTCGCGCGAGACGCGGTCGCCATTAAAATTAGCCGGTTATTTTCCACGTGCAAGTTTTTGACCGCCATCCGCCGCCGCCAGCGCCGCACGACAGTGACGGACGATGGACCTCCGACCCCCTCAATAAATAAATAACGAACGATACCGCGTGTTCGTGTCGTTTTTGTCGCGGTGGCCGTCGTCGCCGTAGCGGCCAGTGCCTCCCCTCCCACCCCACCACGCTAGTATAGTGGTCGCCGCTAAAGCGGGCCGCAGACGCGCGGCGCGTTCATGTACACCTTTACGGTGGTGTGCAGCGGTGCCCGATGCAGTCCCACGTGCTAACCAACCCGCACCACCATCATCACCACCACTATTCGGAGGGTTTCCCGCACCTGCGTGGTGGGACGTTCCGCAGCCGAAGCAGGGTCGTACAGCAGCAGAGCATGGCGGCGCACCAGTGGTACCCGCCCCCCCGGCCCGCCTTCGACTTTGCCGCCGCCGCCCCGTCGACGTCGTCTTCGACGCTGCTGTTGCCTCCTAGGTTAGTCTATGTGGGACCTCTTCGCCGTCGGTTCTCGATGTGTTTTGGGTGTGCGTCTGTGTGCGTGTGCGCGCATGCGCGCGCTTTCACCCCCAACCCCCCGGTCACAGTGTTGAGTGTCATCCCAGTGTCGTTGTCTCTTCTGCACGAGCCCCTCCCCCGTCCTCTTCGTCGGTGGTGGATGAGTAACGCTTACCATCTTTTTTCTGTGCGAAAACTTATCGGCGGCGCGCGCCACTGGACCCGCGCCCGTTATAAATAGAAAACGGCCATAAAACTAGTTATTTAAAACGTGTTTTCCTATAGCCAATCCGCGCGTATCGGGGACGTACGGAAATGGCGCCCGTCAAACCCGGCAACGTCGCCGCGGGTCCATCTCGTATTCGGCCGCGTTGCCGGCTCGTCGCTTTCTCAATGATCGATACAATAGAATTCTTCGTTTTCGAGATACTCGTTAATTTCGAAAAAAATTTTGGGTTGTTTTGAATTCCGCAGAAAAATTGTTTGGTTCGGTTATTGCCCGTACAATTTCGTATAATTACCAAAGTTCGACATCGCTGCGCCGTTAGGTGAAAGTCGCTTTATACATAATATACTTATACCTAATTTTAAACGATATGCGGATCTTAAATTTGGATTAAGGCGATTTACGTAATTTGGAGAAAACAAGCAAATTATCGCCTCTCTCCGTCTTATCTTTCGCCACTTCTGAAATGGTTACCGGGTGTGGTAAAAAAAAAAATTCTCCCGGCTCGGCTTGCTATTTCAATTATCAATCATCATTGTCATTTTTCACCAACATTGGTTAATATTTACTATTAACGTGCCCCCTCCCCCCCGCGCGCGCGCGCGTTCGTACGCTTCATTTAAATCCACAAAACGGAAAAAAAATGGTTCGACTCTGAACGCGGACCCGCAATTTGAATATAGCCGTTGAGGAGGGACGCGGCCGAGGTCAGCGAGGTTGACGCGATAACCGCGACGACCACGACGTGCCGGCCGGTCTTCTCCGTCTAGTTCCGCAAAAGTTTATCGGTTACGATTAACGCCCCCAAACTTGCCATTGAAAAAAAAAAGTTTCTTGGCCGCGTGTATTAACGAATCGCGGTGTATATTACGTGAATGGAGAAATGTCACAGTCGACATACCGAAACTTTCGAACCGGTGCATGGGTTACGCAACGCGCATCGAATAATGAAAAGAAATGCGTGGGAAAGCGAGACCATCGCTATCTTCGCCGTAGTCGTCGCGTCCTAGGAGTTCCATTTAAAAATAAACGACGCCACTGTGCTCGCGACGCGATTGCCCGCCGTTTGACACCCCACAAGGCTTACTTCTCTCGTAGTTTTTTTTTATATGTACAGGGTAGGATCGGTAACGATCGGCAACAAAGGTTTATTGGAAAGGAATTTCCGACCCCCAGTTTTCGAAAATTCTTACCAGCCTGTTGTTGTCAGCACAAAATTGCACCGCTATAGTTTTATTTTCCGAATTTACAACTCCGGCGATTTCGATTTAAAAATTAACGACGCCTCTGTGTTCGCGACGCGTTTCCCCGCCGTTTGACACCCTACAAGGCCGACTTTCTTCGTAGTTTTTTTTATGCGTATACAGGGTGAGATCGGTTTGCAAAATTACCACAGATGGGTTGAAATTTTATAGGCAGTGACGTACCGCCGCCCCATTTGTATCTATAAATACTTGTAATAAATATTATATTTAATAATTTTATCACCCTGTACACCGACTGTGCACTTATATTTAATAATTTTATCACCCTGTACACCGACTGTGCACTTATATGATTTTTTTTAAGTATTTTCGTTCCCCGTTAATGTTTGATGTGTTTTTATGAATATTAAGTAAAATTTATTGTCATTAAAAAAAAATCGAATTAGTCAATCACCTAGGGTCTCCCTGGCCCGCTGTTTGCCCGTGCCGTCGCCTTGGTGGTTGCCGCGGCGACGGCGTCTCCCGCGTCCCGGTGCAGCGAGCCGCGGCGGCGACCACGTGCATCCGCCCCCCGCGTTGTCACGCAACCGGAGCGTCGCCGCCTCCCTTGATCGATTACACGCTCGCGTTTGTTTACACGACTGTTCGCGTGTCGTCTTCCCCCCCCCCACCCCGCCTCACCCAATACTTCGTTTAAATTATTAACATCTCCCCCGGCACGATTCCGTATTTGTTTTTGTTTGTTTTTAACGAAACCGCTCGCAGTATCTGGGGCGGCCTGTACGTGGAGCGGATCCCGCTTCTGATTTCATTGCCGACGTCTCGTTTCAGCAACAGCCGCGAGATGCGGAACCGCGCCGAAAAGCAGCGCAGGGACCGCCTGAACGCGTTCATCGGCGAGCTGGCAACGCTGGTGCCGCTCGTCTCCAAAAGTACGAAACGTCTGGACAAGACGAGCATCCTGAGGCTAACCGCCGTCCACCTGCGGCTCTATCAGAGTGAGTACCGACGTCAAATCGTTAAAACATTAAACTATTACTTTTTACAAAACCTCTGGATTCGTCCTGCGTCGGTTTTTGTTGATTCGAACTAGCTAACGTTTCGCCAACCAACCTGGCGGCTTCTTCAGAGCTTGACCGAAACTGGCTCCCGTCTTACTCTGTTCCTGCTTTTTTATCGTTTGAGGGGGGCGGAGCTAAATGGAGGGCATAAACATCGTCTAGGATTACTGATCCCCATATTGGTGACATGTAGAGACCTAAGATTGTTAGGTTGTTTATAGATTTCTATGGACTCTCGGATTTTTTGTTGATAGAAGCGTGTTCTTTAGTATTAGTTGAGGACAATAACAATGAAATTATTATTTGGATTTACGTATTCTTATGTATTGTAGCATTCCATCCCTTGTAAATTTATGCTAAAAATAGCGTGAAAAAATATTTACAGAACATATTGACGCGGCCTATTGTTACTTATTAACAAAATTTACGAGCAGCCGCTCGGCTGTCTCAATTGTCGGTGAGGCGTGGGCCGAGTAGGCGAGTGAAACTCAATTTCCGAACAAATACTTTATTCAAAACCAAGAGGGAGGAGGGCCTGAGACTCAAAAACAGTAGCCTTCGCTCAGGCATCAAATATTACGCAGAGCTCTCGACATTACATGCTTTAAAATTCCAATTAAATAAAAACTATCCGTGGAACTAGGGGCGTTGGGCGCGTAGGTACTTATCTGTGAACCGTCTGATCGGGGCCGAGTGGCCTTACTCTCTCTCTACAACTATTTGTCTGCTGCAACCATATACAATTTGTTCCACCAGGCTCAAGCTCCAGTTGGTGCGATCTGTGGCCGCGACCGGGCGCGGACGCAATCCGAGGATAGTGAGTAGGAAGCCCCAGGAGTGAAGTGGTTAAAACAATCCTTGACGTGATCCAACGAGCAGTGCAAATAGTATACGGGAAGTCAAATTAAAAAGGAAAAAAAGAAGAAGGCCGTCGATGTAAGGTGGCCTTATAGGTTGAGCGTTATCCTCGAAAACCTCTCTCCGCTAAATCCGACCAAGTCGGGGGTACAAACGACCACGTCTGTTTACCCACTTATTCCGGAGGTCAGGGTTATCAGTATCCCTCTAAATCCGCAATATGCGTGTGCTTTAAGCGACTCCTTACAAAAACAGCCTGGACAAGGGAAAACTTACAGGAAGCACGCTGCTTACCGGCGGGAAAAAGAACACCAGAACCGCCAAAGAAAAAAAAAGGGACCAGAGAACGATCGCCGCTATCACCATTACAACGCTATGCCACAGACAACAGCTAGCAATTCGCTGGTCAATGCTTTAATTTCGCCAGAGAAATATAACGTTATTCGCCACCAATTGAGTTATTGCAGGTCTGTGACCACTACCCGGCTTTTAAACGGATAACATAAATCTACAAGAGTTTGATGAACCAACTGATACAGTTGGAACTTTCGAGTTACATACACCGAATGATACAGCTGTCCTTCGGCATTCCTGTAATTCATCAACTACTGAACCTGAATGGGACTCATCAGATGATAAAACCCTGGAATTCGAAAGAAGACGTATGCTTTCTGCAAACGGCAGGCTTGCTCCTACTGTCAAACGGAAGAAAGGTCAGATTGAGTACACTCACACACCTATATCCGATGAATTTAGATCATGTGAGGAACTAAAAAATATGCTTTCTAGAAAAACTCCGCTTGAAATATTTTTTATGTTTTTTGATGACGCAATGATTGCGTGAAGTGCGTTATGACAATAATAAAGCCCGAAGGAGACGTAGAATCTGCCACACGCACACAATTTACGTTCGTAATAAGTGTAACGTGCATTTACATACTTCATGCTTTGTAAACTATAAAATATTATGCGTTATTTTGTATCAAATCGGGTTCTATTTGGAAAACCTTTAGTTGTTATTAGTTATTAGTTGTATGTGCCCCAAAACATTATTTAATGTGCAACAAAATAAATATTTTCAGAGCAAAAAAGTATTTTTTTATTTTTTTTTTATGCTCGGGATAATTTGGGTTAAGGCTCTTTCATGTTCTTTGAGTCTAGTTGATATTTTTCGTCCGGTATTCTTTGCCTCATACGCCTGGAATGCTGTAAACTCTTGCCACCTCAAATGGAATTTTGTCTTTGACGGGTCGAAGATGCTGAGAGGATTTTGGACAAGTGGTAAATCTGGTTCTGACGTTATATTTCTTTAGAACTTTTGATATATGGTCGATGATGTTTTGAATGTAAGGAAGGACAACAGTGGCAAGTGTGGGATTGCTTTCGGTTTCGCTGCTACAGGAAGGTTGTGGTGAAGTGTATTTTGCGATGGAACGTTTAATATCTTTAATGTAGAAATTATTATTGAGAAGAGCAGAGGTAAGGTGTTTTAATTCTGGGCTCTGTAAACGAGGGAGTTGATAACCGATGATTTTTGGCCCCGATGGCGATGTGACAATGCATTAAATTCGTGCGTAGGTTTCACACAAAGACCCAATGTTAGATCTGATTTTCTATTGATAAGACTATCTAAGAATGGGCGGTTGTTATTAGTTTCAATGTCAAAGGTAAAACGTATATTAGGGTGTATAGAGTTTAAAGGTCTCAAGGAAATCTACTAGGGTTTCCTGACTATGAGGCCAAATAACAAAAGCATCATCGACGTAGCGTTTCTATAATTTTGGTTTTTGATGGAAGGTATCGAGAGCTTTCTTCTCATAGCCCCTTCAAACAATGTAAAAACAGGTCCGGAATAAAACGCGAGCCAGTTTCGGTCAAGCTCTAAAGAAGCCAACAGGACGATTGGCGAAACGTTGTCTAGCTTGAATCGACAAAAACCGATTGTGACCATAGTTTTGCTATAAATGTCGTATTCTAGTTAGAATAATCAATACAAGCTTTCCGAATCACTATTCGTCAAATACATCTCGCTTATTATTTGTTTTAAAGGCAAATGTTAAATACACACAGGGTTAGGCTGATTTTAATCGTTAAATCGCTGGATTTTTTAAATTTAAATCCATGATTTAAATCAAACTCGTATTTTTTTAACCTTTTTTTTTTTATTGAGAAACACGCAAAAAGTTCAACGTAATTTTATAAAAAGCAAAACAAAACTCTTCAAACAAATAAGACAAATATTCATTTTTATATATTTTATTCTTATCGTTTGAACAAAAATACTAAATTTCCGCCTTTTTCTATTTCCTTCCTTATCTCAATGTAAAAAACCGAAATTGCTGAAAAGAACTGTTTTATTATTGGTAGATGTGTCGCGATTTCTGGCTCATCCTTCTGTGATCTCCACCACTGTATTCCACTTACTTTTTTTATTGTTTCAACAATGGCACTAATGGCAAGACTCCAGTGTTTCCATATCAGTTATTAATTGTTTCTCGTAGTTTCCCCTTTGAGGGTGCAGCGTATAGGCCATAACTTTTGAGTCCGACTTTTCCTCCAACAAAAGCGCTCGTCCATCTTCAGTTGTTATTGTTGTATTGGGTCGTTCGGAAAGTCATTTCGTTTTTTTTTGGGGAACATGAAAGACAGTTTTCGTATAATGAATAAATATTTTATTAAATTATATATTTTCCATTCTGGTCCAACACCTTTTGCCATCTTTCTGGCAGTAACATAATTCCCCTCTCATAAAAGTTTTGGTCCTTGCTGGCAAAAAACTGGTTCAGGTGGTTTTTGACATCTTCATTTGAGGTAAAGGTTTTGCCATCCAAAAAATTTTGCAGGGACCGGAACAAATAGTAGTCTGAAGGCGCCAGATCTGGAGAATATGGTGGATGTTGCAGTACGTCCCATTCAAGCTGTAAAAGTTTTTGGCGAGCGACCAAACTTGTGTGAGGTCTCGCATTATCCTGGTGGAACACTACACCCTTCCTGTTGATTAGTTCGGGCCTCTTCTCTTTAAGTGAATCATTCAATTTGTCCAGTTGATGACAATAGACTTCTGAATTAATCGGTGTATTGTCCGGCAAAAGCTCAAAAAAAAACGATTCCTTTGACATCCCACCAAACGGAGAGCATCACCTTTTTTTGGTGAATGTTGGCTTTTGACACGCTTTGAGCCGGTTCATCTTTTCTGCTCCATGACCTCTTGCGTTTAACATTGTTGTATACAACCCATTTTTCGTCCACAGTAATAATCCGCTTCAAAAATGGATCATTTTCTTGACGTTTGAGGAGCGAATCACACACGTCAACGCGACGACACAAATTTCGCCCCGTAAGGACATGGGGCACCCACACATCGAGCTTCGAGTTTAAGCCCATGCCTTTCAAATGGCCATAAACAGTCGAATTCGACAAATTTAATCTCTGACCCATCTCTCGTGTGGTTATTCGCCGATTTGCATCAACTAATGCCTTTATCTCATCTTTGTCAGCTTCGACCGGCCTTCCAGACCGTGGTGCATCTTCGGCATCAAAATTGCCGGATCGAAATTTTGCAAACCAGTTCTGGCACTGGCGTATTGTTAACACGCCTTCTCCATACACATCCATCAATTTTTTTGTCGTTTGGACAGCATTTTTACCTTTTCTGAAGTAAAAAAGTAAAATATGACGAAAATGCTGCTTATTGCTCTCCATATTTAAAAGGGCACCAACGAAAAACTACTGCGTAGAATTAATAGAACTTTTTCACACACAAGCCTTGCAATATCAGCTCTCAAGACATATAATGGTTATGTGGGTTAAGTGTGAAGTTGGTTTCGAAAAAACGTAATTAAATCCTCTGACGGAAAAAAACGAAATGACTTTCCGAACAACCTTATACATCTAACCACCCCTCAGGGGACATTTTTTGCAGTATTATGTTCTAGACTTGTGAAAAGTTGAAAAACAGTTTCAATTTTTTATTTACTTAACAAATGTTGATCGAGTTCGGTCAGCCGTTCGGTGTGACATATTGCATCGCTTTACTTTAAACCGAAACACTTTGTTAGGAAAATGGGTTACTCAGTGAAAGAAAAGCTTCAAGTAGTCTTTTTATTTCAATAAGCAAAACCAAAAGCCGAAGAGAAACGTTGTTTGAAATATTTTGCTCTCTTCCGAAGGCAGGAATAATAATTAAAATTGAAATTAATTTCATAAAACTTTTTAGAAAATCGGGGAAGTTCGATCTCAATTGTTACCGCACGATTGGAAATGTCATATTACAAGAAACAGGAGTTTACTTTAAAATATTATAAATATCACCCTTAAGTCTACTTACCAAAGGGGATTCCGACGAATATAACCTCGAACACGTCCGTGGGGCCCCGCTACTTCTAGAGGGCGCTCCGCCCCCGAAGTGGGGTCGCTACGCTTCTAGGGTGTGCTGCGCCCCCAGCGGGCGTCCAATGTGTAATATAACCTCACAAAACCGTGATGGAGTCACCTGTTTTTTCCAACCGAGGATCGAACCCGTCTGTTGTTGAGCATCGTCCCTTTATCACGTCAGTGGACGTATTCCTGTTGTTTTGCGAAAATGTACCCAAAAACGAACGGTCGTAGAAAAAGTATAGTATGCAACGCGTTCGGTAAACTTTTTAAGTCACGAGCGTCAAATAAACTCGTAACTCAAATATAGAAAACATAGTCATTTACTTCACGTTATATTTTCATTATTGTTCGTCTAATTGTCGTCGTTATCGGTTTTATTATCGTTTGTTGTTAATATTATGTTCTTTAGAATATGCGGTATTAGTAAAAGACGAACTACGTGAAGCTTTTCTTACTCTGAGTAACTCATTTTCCTCCGCCCATCGTCCGCTAGAAATATGATTTTTATAACGTGTTTCTGCCAGAGTGGGGGTTGTTTTTTTTTTCTCCTTCGAGTTTACGGGTGTCATCCATAGTTTGAGTAATAAATTAATATAAATTTAAATAATTAAAGAGTTCTTTATAAAGGTTCAGTGGAGTAGCTATTAAATGCGCACATTGTCATTATAAATGGGCTTTAAATACGTGTCGTATGGTCCAGCTCTCGCGCAGGGCAGGGGCGTGGCCCAGATGGAACTGCCCAAGTATGTCGACCAGTTCGTGCTCGATCAGCTAGTGTGCGACCAATTGGGCGGCTTCCTGCTCATCCTCTGTCCGAACGGCAAGATCATCTTCGTGTCGCACACGGTGGAAAGTTTGCTAGGTCACCTGCAGACCGACCTCATGGGCCAGTCGTTGTTCGGATTGGCCGCCCCCGAGGATCACGAGAAACTGAGGACCCACCTTCAGAGCGAGGGCGAGGTCGATACCGATTGGCGAAAATATTTCGCGGTCAGCCTGCGGAGGGCGGGGCCGCGCTCCGAAACGCCCGTCTACGAATCGGTGCGTATGATGGGCGTGCACCGCCACCTCGGAGGCTCCGCCCACGCCCCCGACAGCCCGTCGACGTCGTCATCGTCGTCGAGCGTCGCGTCGCCGCAAGCGACGCCCGTTAACACGGACGTGAGTGACCATTGTTATTTTTGAATGTGTTTATTTGTTTACTTATTTATTCGCTATTAGCGACGATACGCTTAAAATTAAACCAAAGCAAAAGTGCGAGGTGTTGGTTAGTGAAAGTCATCGGCATTGGCTTCTGCAGATACTGAGTTTTTCTTACTCTTCATCGTTTCAAAATTATTCTTGCTTGAGTGATATATGTCTAGAATGTTGGAAGATATACAATTTAGAATTTGTTTTTTTCTGTGTATTTTTCCGCCTTTTTTCATCACAGATGCCAACGACAGGACCAACTGTTGATTACCATATAAAATAAGGAAGTTGTATTCATTTATGAGAAAACGGAGATCTATAGAAGAAATCTGAGTACGTCACTGCACTGCCAATGATGTTTTTGTCCGAATATGAATTTTAAAGCGATTTCTTTATACGCGAGTTAAATGTATCTACAGGGTGGAAAGAAAAGTAGTCGGGGTTTTCTTAGGTGAATGTCCGTCTTCCTTTAATAAGCTTCGTTTCCTTAAGAGAGGCTTTCCCTATGAGTGATGGCGCTTGCGATTGCTGGCCTAGCCACCCGGGGGAGTTTTGCGACGAAATCACAAAAAATAATGAACGTAACTTCCAATTGACTCATTGAATTTTGATCTTTTATTGCAATTAATGAATAATAATGAATTACTTGCAGTTCTTAATTGTTCCTATATCATTAATTGTTTTTCAATAGGTTTGTTCAAATATTTGCTGGTGAATTATAATTAATTATATATATATATATATATATATATATATATATATATATATATATATATATATATATATATATATATATATATATATATATATATATATATATATATATATATATATATATATATATATTCTCACGTATTGATTCACGGATGGAAAAATGTGATGACACTATATTCCGGGATATCATCCGTTCGCTCGTTGAACTCCGACTGGAATCCTGCATCCGACTGGAATCCTGCAAATCTTGCATCCGACTGGAATCCTGCAGACGTTTCGCCAAAATCTCACTTGGCATCTTCAATGCTCGCGCTCCGAAAACACTTCGAACACTGGGAGGTTATCGGCGGTGCGTGCGGTATTTATACTCTGCGCCGGAGATGGTAACGGTGCTGCTTGTGCGTGGGGGGAGGTGGCTTCGCCCCCTGAATTGTCGCGTTGTTAATTTCGCCCGATCGTAGTTGCGATGCAGCCAACGGGGACATCGCAACTACGATCGGGCGAAATTAACAACGCGACAATTCAGGGGGCGGAGCCACCTCCCCCCACGCACAAGCAGCACCGTTACCATCTCCGGCGCAGAGTATAAATACCGCACGCACCGCCGATAACCTCCCAGTGTTCGAAGTGTTTTCGGAGCGCGAGCATTGAAGATGCCAAGTGAGATTTTGGCGAAACGTCTGCAGGATTCCAGTCGGATGCAAGATTTGCAGGATTCCAGTCGGATGCAGGATTCCAGTCGGAGTTCAACGAGCGAACGGATGATATCCCGGAATATAGTGTCATCATATATATATATATATATATATATATATATATATATATATATATATATATATATATATATATATATATATATATATATATATATATATATATATATATATATATATATATATATATATATATATATATATATATATATATATATATATATATATATATATATATATATATATATATATATATTTTAGTTAATTGGGGTATCGGTCCTGATGAGGGCTCAAATAAAAGGCTTTTGTGCTACACCAAGCTTTCGAAAATGTTTATTTTCTTCTTCAGGGGCTACAATATGAAAGCGGCTCTTAGTTATTTAATACTAAAGTCTTCTAGTTAAAGTACTTACTGCTACAGTGCCATTATAGGCCAACACCAAACTCATCCGGATAACAGAAAGAATCAAATACGACCGTTAATTATTATAACCGAGGGCAGCCATCTAGACGAAATTGTTGTTACATTTTATTTAAACGAATTTTACTTCAAACGCAAAACGCAAATGATGGAAAGGTTTTATTAATATGACTACCGCCAGCCGTCCAGTTTTTTTCCCTTCTTTTTTTCTTTTTGTTACCTCCTTTTTGTTTACAAGGCACCTAATGTATAGAGGCTTGGGACTATTTTTCTAAATTATAATTACATTGTGACGACACTATTATCAGCAAACGCAATTCGATTGACGGTTGGTTGTAAAGTTAAGACATTAGAGTAGATCACACTGAGGCCATCAATGTCAGATCTTTTATTGACCGATTTCGGTTCCAAGAAGATCTCCACCATTTCCAAAATTGCTCTTTTGTTGTAGTTGCTTTCTTTATGGAGAATTTTTGTTTCAACAAAGTTAACATCGTGATCCATTTGGTTAGAGTGTGTTGCTAATGAACAGGTGTTCTTATTGAGTCTGCAATCACTCTTGTGTGACGTAATTCTATCCTTAAGTACTCGCGATGTCTGTCCTATGTATACCTGATCACACTGATTACAGGGGATGCTATAAATTACTTCTGAATTCTTTTGTACCTCATCCTTATCTTTTAGTTTGCTAAAGACACTCCCCAATGTTTTTGTTTGTTTATATGCTATCTTAATATTTGTTTGTGCTCTCAGAATTTTTGTGAGTGTGGTCGTTAATTCTTTAATGTATGGCAATGAAAAATAAAAACATCTCAGATCGTCCATTTCTGGGCTATCTGAGTGGACGACCGTGTTCCGCGGGTTTGGAGCTCTTAGTGGGGTCGTGCTATATAACAATTTTTTAGTTAACCAAGTAGGTTAACTAAAAAATTGTTATATAGCACGACCCCACTAAGAGCTCCAAACCCGCGGAACACGGTCGTCCACTCAGATAGCCCAGAAATGGACGATCTGAGATGTTTTTATTTTTCATTGCCATACATTAAAGAATTAACGACCACACTCACAAAAATTCTGAGAGCACAAACAAATATTAAGATAGCATATAAACAAACAAAAACATTGGGGAGTGTCTTTAGCAAACTAAAAGATAAGGATGAGGTACAAAAGAATTCAGAAGTAATTTATAGCATCCCCTGTAATCAGTGTGATCAGGTATACATAGGACAGACATCGCGAGTACTTAAGGATAGAATTACGTCACACAAGAGTGATTGCAGACTCAATAAGAACACCTGTTCATTAGCAACACACTCTAACCAAATGGATCACGATGTTAACTTTGTTGAAACAAAAATTCTCCATAAAGAAAGCAACTACAACAAAAGAGCAATTTTGGAAATGGTGGAGATCTTCTTGGAACCGAAATCGGTCAATAAAAGATCTGACATTGATGGCCTCAGTGTGATCTACTCTAATGTCTTAACTTTACAACCAACCGTCAATCGAATTGCGTTTGCTGATAATAGTGTCGTCACAATGTAATTATAATTTAGAAAAATAGTCCCAAGCCTCTATACATTAGGTGCCTTGTAAACAAAAAGGAGGTAACAAAAAGAAAAAAAGAAGGGAAAAAAACTGGACGGCTGGCGGTAGTCATATTAATAAAACCTTTCCATCATTTGCGTTTTGCGTTTGAAGTAAAATTCGTTTAAATAAAATGTAACAACAATTTCGTCTAGATGGCTGCCCTCGGTTATAATAATTAACGGTCGTATTTGATTCTTTCTGTTATCCGGATGAGTTTGGTGTTGGCCTATAATGGCACTGTAGCAGTAAGTACTTTAACTAGAAGACTTTAGTATTAAATAACTAAGAGCCGCTTTCATATTGTATTGAAGAAGAAAATAAACATTTTCGAAAGCTTGGTGTAGCACAAAAGCCTTTTATTTGAGCCCTCATCAGGACCGATACCCCAATTAACTAAAATTTGTTGTTCAACTAGCCGGTCACGACTACTGTTTTGTGTATATATATATATATATATATATATATATATATATATATATATATATATATATATATATATATATATATATATATATATATATATATATATATATATATATATATATATATATATATATATATATATATATATATATATATATATATATATATATATATATATATATATATATATATATATATATATATATATATATATATATATATATATATATATATATATATATATATATATATTCTCACGTATTGATTCACGGATGGAAAAATTTGATGACACTATATTCCGGGATATCATCCGTTCGCTCGTTGAACTCCGACTGGAATCCTGCAGACGTTTCGCCAAAATCTCACTTGGCATCTTCAATGCTCGCGCTCCGAAAACACTTCGAACACTGGGAGGTTATCGGCGGTGCGTGCGGTATTTATACTCTGCGCTGGAGATGGTAACGGTGCTGCTTGTGCGTGGGGGGAGCTGGCTCCGCCCCCTGAATTGTCGCGTTGTTAATTTCGCCCGATCGTAGTTGCGATGTCCCCGTTGGCTGCTGCGCATCGCTCTGCTGTTTGATTATCGTTCTCCACGTGTTGGATAAATGCAGAGCGTCGTCTCTCGTATTGAGGTGTCCGGACTTTTCTATTTCGATGGCCTCTCGTATAATCCTAGTCCTAAAATCAGGAATATTAGCTATTTGTTTGCAAGTGCCGAAATCAATTTTATCGCCCGTCTGATGTTGGTGCTGAAACAAAGCAGATGTTGGTTGTTTGTTTCTTATGGCTAAACGATGTTCCTCGAGCCTGGCTGAAATCCTTCTGTTGGTCTGTCCCACATACGTCAAGCTGCACGATCCGCATGCTACACTGTATGCTCCTTGGTTTTCCAGAGTAATTTTTTGTTTTGGGTTTCTTAGTATTGCTCCGATGGTATGGTCAGGTTTGTATGCCGTTGATATGTCGTGTTTCCGTAATATTCGGCCGATTTTGTCAGTGACCCCCTTGATGTATGGCAGGACAGCGATCGATCTTCGTTGGGTCTCGTCCTGCACTCTCTGCTGCGGCTGTTGTTGTTTACTGATTGCCTTGCTGATGGTGCGCCTTTGGTATCCGTTTTGTCGAAGAGAGGTACTAATTTTCTTCAGTTCTTTATCTCTGTTCCTCTCGTTTGTGAGCCTGAAGGACCGAGCAATTAATGTATTTGCACCGCCTGTCTCTGTGATGATATATATATATATATATATATATATATATATATATATATATATATATATATATATATATATATATATATATATATATATATATATATATATATATATATATATATATATATATATATATATATATATATATATATATATATATATATATATATGTATATATATATAATATAATGGAAATAATCAAATCCGAAGACAAATTTTCCATTAACATGCTAGATGCAGTCAAGTTTATTAGTAAAGCTTGGAAAGAGGTGACAGCAGAAACAATTCAACACTCCTATCGTCATGCAGGACTAATTACCGAGACAGAATGCGAACAGGACTTGGAAGATGATCAGCCACTAAGCGAGTGAACAAAACAGTTTCAATCAACAACTACGTTTATAAGTGAGAAGTTGCAAGATTTTATATTGATAGATCAGGATTTGCCTACAACAGCAGACTTGACAGAGGAAGCCATATTACAACAAGCAAGAGGTGAGGAAGAGCACCAAGAGGAAGAAGAAGGTGAAGAAGTTGATCTGGGAACACCACCAACCATTCAACAAGCCGTATATTCATGGGGAAGATGCGCCTCTCAAAGACATGGTGAAAATTCAAGCCAGAGTACGAGATGCGTATTGGCATACTAAAAAAATTCAAACGAAAATGTTCCTAAGTAAATATTAAAATATGTATATAAAAATAATTAAATATTGCAGAACACATATGCGTATCGTTATTTTTCAAGTGCCTATAACTGTTTATAACGAAAAAAAAGCAGTCCCTTCAATTTCTCTATGTATGTATTTTTGGAGATTTGTATGAAATGTTCGACGCACTGATATTTTCACGGAACTCTTGTGTTGAATTTATGTACGTCTGAGTTTTTCAATTTTGAGTTCTTATTTTTGAACGGTATACATATTCTTTTTTTTTTCGCCGTTTTTAAATATTTCCGGGGTATTTGTTGGAACCTGCCCCGAAAGACGTGAGAGTTTTTATTTTTCGATTTTTGTTTTAACTAATTAGTAAGAGTTAAAAAAAAATCGAATTCTCGGAACCGAAGTGGATGGTCCAGCGATAAGCGAAAGACTCGATTTTTTATCTGCGTTATCGGCCGTTATTCGTGGCGATAAGCGCTTACTCGGGGTCCCAAAAAAAAACCAAGAGAGAAAATAGCGCCTCCTCTCAACTGTTGTCTTTTTGTTCTCGCAGATTTTGGTGTTTTTCGTGAAGATATGCCGGCCCGAGCCGCTGGTCGATCGACTTGTGGTCGCGTCGAAAGACGAATACGTCACGCGGCATCTGATCGACGGCCGGATCATCAATTGCGATCAGCGAATCTCGCTGATCGCCGGCTACATGATCGAGGAGGTCCACGGCAGATCCGCGTTCCTCTACATGCACCGCGACGACGTCCGGTGGGTGATGATCGCGCTCAGACAAAGTGAGTGAAGGATTTAAGTAACTTAATTACTTAGCTCGATTTTAATTTGAAAAATTATCTATGATTTTAATAATCCGCTACAATTAATTATTTTTTAATTACTACATAATATTATACACTAATTTTGATTGAAATCAATGAATGATAACTATTAATTGATTGCTTTCTTATTTATGGTTAATTCTTGACCAATCTTTTTTATTAGTTCATCATTAATTACACCAAATTAACTAGTTATTACTTCTAATTACGTTTAATTACTACATATTTTTATTAATTACTAATTGGGATTAATGATTCCCTAATAGGACTTAATTATTCACTAATTAGACTTACTTGTTTACTAATTACGATTAATAACGGGTCAATTATGCCTAATTATTCCCTAGATATACTTCATTAATAGCTAATTGCAGCTAATTATTTTTCTAATTATTCTGAATTATATACTAGTTTGCCTCGATTAATTTTTTATTACGTTTTTATTAGTAATTCTAATTGTTCATTCATTAAATTAAATTAATTAATTCAACTTGAGCAACTGTCCTAGTCTGCACTATTTTTGTACATATTATTTGTAAATTCAAATTTGATTTTTATTTTATTATGTATTTTATACAAAATTTATTATTTAATAATCAAGTGATAATTAAAACAATTATGGGTCATTTTTATAACTAAATTCAATGTTTAATAATTAATTAAATTTTTAATAGAGACATGTTTAATTGATTTCTACGTGATTGGTAATTCCAATTGACTCATTGAATTTTCATCTTTGATTGCAATTAATTGATTTAATATATTAATAATTTTTGTAAATAATTAAAAACTTGCAGTTCTTAATTAAGTATTTTTCAATAGGTTTGATTAAATATTTGCTAGTGAGTCTTAATTAGTTACTAATTATCCTTAAATATATACCGATTTGATTTACATAATTTAATTTTAATTATATACTAATTAGGCTCAACGAATTGCCTGTAGGACAAGATTAATTTCTAAGTATGATTAAATTATTTATGTTTAATGCAGTTTAATTAGCCCTAATTAATTGCATAAAAAATTAGTTGTTGGATTAATTCGTTACCTACTGATTGATTATAATTTAATCGTTACTAGAAATGCTTAATTTTTCGAAGAAATTTCCAAGAGTATTTACAAATTTTCTGGATTTTCCTCCTCCATCTGTCGTTTCAGTTTCAATTAAGCTCTGAAGAAGCCGAATAGAGAGATCAGTTATAATTTAAATTTAATGATTAATTAAACAGTGATAATCTTTCAAATAAATTAATCAATTATAACATTATTTTTTTGTAATTTCTTAGTGGTTAAAAATAGCTAGCTGGTAGTTAACGTCGTCTTCCTCCACACAAAACTTAATTTGTACTGAATTTTTAATTACCAATAATAATTAAACCCAGTGAAATTAAAGTTATTTACTCATTATAATTAATTGATTAATAATAAAGCGCAGTTGAATTTTAATTAAGCTTAATTAATTGCTGATTAGGCTTAAGTATCACTAATAAGGTATTTGCTAACTATGCGTAACTAATTGGGATAATTTATTGACCACTGATTGATTACAATTCAATAATTACTAATAATGCTGAAATATTTCATTGCTACATTAGTAATATAAATTTAAATAATTATTTTTTATTATTCTTATAACTCTTTTTAATAATAAATTAATTAAAATTGAAAAAACTGTCTTAATTTACATTCGATTCCATTACTTTGTTTCATTAACAATTAAATAAACAGTGAGAGTCTTCAAAGGGTTTAATCAATTAGTAGTTAACGCTAACGTTCCTTCACATAAAACTTAATTTGTACGGATTTTTTAATTACCAATTAAGGTTATTTACTAATTTCATTAATTAATTGCTAATAAAGCGCAGTTAAATTTTAATTAATATTAATTAATAGCTAGTCATGAATAATTAAATTTTAATTTTCGCTAATTAATTGCGAATTGGACTTAAGTATCACTAATAAGGTTTTGCTAAGTATGCGTTACTAATTTGGATAATTAATAATTACATTAATTACTAATAATGCTGAATTATTTGATTGCTACATTAATAATATAAATTTAAGTAACTATTTTTTAGTATGCTCATGACTCTTTATAATAATAAATTAATTAAAACTGAAAAAACCGTCTTAATTTACATCCGATTCCATTAATTTTTTTATTAATTATCAATTAAACAGTGATAATCTTCAAAGGATTTAATCAATTATTGTAACATTGTTATTTGTAAATTCTTAGTGGTTAAAAGTGGTCTTCCTTCACGAAAAATTATAAATTATTAATGCTTTTTTTTTCTCCTAATGATTAATTAGGAGAACACTCTTGCTCAGTTATTAGTTAAATATTTTGTGGAGGATGGCGGTTTTTTACGCAACATCTCAGCCGAATCAAAAATCGAAAAAAAAACTCGACAGTGTACGACCGGGGCGAGAGCAAGGGCAACTCGTGCTACCGCCTCAAATCCCGTAACGGTCAGTTTATCTATCTGCGTACGTTCGGTTTCCTGGAGATCGACGACCGGGGCATCGTCGAGAGCTTCGTCTGCGTCAACAGCCTGGTGGACGAGGGCGAGGGGCTGCGCCAGATCCAGGAGATGAAGCAGCGGTATTCGGCTCTGGTGAGCCAGGCGGCCTCCGACGTCGACGGCGAAAACGGCCACGCGACCATCGAGGCGAGTCCGTTTGTTTGTTTTTTTTTTTAATTCAAATTGTAAAATTGCTTAAAGTAAAAGTTACTCTTTATTGAAATTGAAAATTACTCTTAAATTTTCCAAATTTCGTTGAAAATTTCCAATTACTATTAAATTTGAAATCCTTAAAGGTAGAAACTGTCGTTAAATATGTTTTTTTTTAAAACCTGGTTCGTTCGTAGGAATGGACACCGCCGACGAAGAGACCCGCCCCCGAGCCGATCGACGACTTCGTCGAGGACCCGCGCAAGATCGAGGAGGCGATCAGCCAATTGATGCGCGATCTGCCGTCGCCCGGTTCGGAAGAGGAGGCGGAATCGCCGCCCCGCACCCCCGAAGCTGCGGTCGTTCCTCCGACGAAACCGGAACCGGTCGCGAAGGTAAGTGGCCGCAAGGAACGCGTGAGCTCCCCAGGACAACACCGTTTCGCGTTGCAGACGCTCCCCAAGCCCCACCACCCGCACCTGAGGCTAAAGACGGGCGGGAAGAGGGCGCCGTCGTCGCCCGAAGCGTCCCGCGCCCGCTGCAAAAGGTCGAGGATGGACAGCACGGATTCCGAGTGCTCGCAGCTGTCGCCGCCTCCGCCGCCGCAAAGGAGCGCCGCCCCCGTCAAGGCGTACCCGATTAATAATTCGAGTTCGGTAAGTCCAGTTTTAAAATAAGGAAATTACTAAGAAAAATTTGAAATTACTAGTTAAAATTTAAAATTACTCATTCAATTCAATTCGAAATTATTTATTGGGAGTCGAAGTTTTAAATTTCACATTTCTCATGAAAAATCTAGAGTATCCATTAAATTACTCAATAAACTTCTAGAATCCTCGATAAAATTCAAAACCACTTATTAAAATCGGAAATTACTCACTGCTATTTGAAATTAGTCTTTAAAATATGAAAATACGCGGTAAAATGGGAATTCGAAATCTCTTTAAACAATTAGAAATTACTCATTAAAATTCAATTCAAAATGACTCATTAAAATTCGGAATGACTCAATGAATTTCGAAATTACTTATTAAAATTCGAAATTACTTATTAAAATCTGAAATTAGCCTTTAAAATCTGAAATTATTCGTTCAAAATTTTTAATCCGAGATTTCTTATTAACATTCGAAATTATTACTCATTAAATTTCGAAATTAATTTTAAAATTACTCAATAAAGTTCGCGACTGCTCATTACAATTCGAAAGTACTTATTAAAATCCAAAATTACCCTTTAAAATTGGAAGTCGACATTTCTTGTTTACAATATTATTCATTAAAATTCGATATCGCTTACTAAAATTCGAAATTCCTCAATAAAATCCGAAATTACTTATTCGAGATTGCTCATTAAAATCCAAAATCTATTAAAATTCGAAATTTCGAAAATAATTTTTAAATTACTCAATAAAGTTGGCGACTGCTCATTACAATTCGAAAGTACTTATTAAAATCCAAAATTACTCTTTAAAATTGGGATTCGACATTTCTTGTTTACAATATTATTCATTAAAATTCGATATCGCTTACTAAAATTCGAAATTCCTCAATAAAATCCGAAATTACTTATTCGAGATTGCTCATTAAAATCCAAAATCTATTAAAATTCGAAATTTCGAAAATAATTTTTAAATTACTCAATAAAGTTGGCGACTGCTCATTACAATTCGAAAGTACTTATTAAAATCCAAAATTACTCTTTAAAATTGGGATTCGACATTTCTTGTTTACAATATTATTCATTAAAATTCCATATCGCTTACTAAAATTCGAAATTTCTCAATAAAATCCGAAATTACTTATTCGAGATTGCTCATTAAAATCCAAAATCTCCTATTAAAATTCGAAATTTCGAAAATAATTTTTAAATTACTCAATAAAGTTGGCGACTGCTCATTACAATTCGAAAGTACTTATTAAAATCCAAAATTACTCTTTAAAATTGGGATTCGACATTTCTTGTTTACAATATTATTCATTAAAATTCCATATCGCTTACTAAAATTCGAAATTTCTCAATAAAATCCGAAATTACTTATTCGAGATTGCTCATTAAAATCCAAAATCTCCTATTAAAATTCGAAATTTCGAAAATAATTTTTAAATTACTCAATAAAGTTGGCGACTGCTCATTACAATTCGAAAGTACTTATTAAAATCCAAAATTACTCTTTAAAATTGGGATTCGACATTTCTTGTTTACAATATTATTCATTAAAATTCGATATCGCTTACTAAAATTCGAAATTTCTCAATAAAATCCGAAATTACTTATTCGAGATTGCTCATTAAAATCCAAAATCTCCTATTAAAATTCGAAATTTCGAAAATAATTTTTAAATTACTCAATAAAGTTGGCGACTGCTCATTACAATTCGAAAGTACTTATTAAAATCCAAAATTACTCTTTAAAATTGGAATTCGACATTTCTTGTTTACAATATTATTCATTAAATTTCGATGTCGCTTACTAAAATTCGAAATTTCTCAATAAAATCCGAAATTACTTATTCGAGATTGCTCATTAAAATCCAAAATCTATTAAAATTCGAAATTTAGAAAATAATTTTTAAATTACTCAATAAAGTTGGCGACTGCTCATTACAATTCGAAAGTACTTATTAAAATCCAAAATTACTCTTTAAAATTGGAATTCGACATTTCTTGTTTACAATATTATTCATTAAATTTCGATGTCGCTTACTAAAATTCGAAATTTCTCAATAAAATAAGAAATTACTTATTCGAGATTGCTCATTAAAATCCAAAATCTATTAAAATTCGAAATTTAGAAAATAATTTTTAAATTACTCAATAAAGTTGGCGACTGCTCATTAAAATCGAAATCACTTATTAAAATACGAAATTGGCTTTCTGTAGGTAGTAAATATTGCAAATTCCATACAGTTAGAAATTACTCTTTAAACTTTTGTTTGGGTTTCTAAAAATTCGTACGGCTTACAATGAGGCATTAATTAATAAATTTTTACACAATGCACTTCAATTCGAAAAGGCGCCGTATGAAATGTGAAGTGGCTCTTTAAGTTTCCGACCGTGACCAATAAATGTCGCATTTTCAGCAGCAGCCCGAGTTGGCGGACAGCAACCACCGCACGGTATGAGGCCGCAACGGGGGGCAGCTTGCAATGAGTAATAAAATAAAGACTGATCAAATAGGCCATACTTGCGGACACAGTCGGCACACGCGTTAGAGAGAAAGCCCGCGAACTGATTTTTCTACGGACTTTTTTTTGGTCACCCGTGTTTTGTATTACCGAACCGAAACCAAAAAAAAAAAAAAAAACGCGCTGCGGGAACGCGAGGAGGGGGTGCAAAGGTGCCGCTCCTTCCTGGGGCGACGACGACGGGCGGACATTTTGTGACTCCCGTCGTTTATTGTTATCTTATATATTATATATATATTAATTATTATATTAATATACATTAACCGATAGGAATTTTCTGTGATTTTTGATAAGAGCTATGTGTAGCTAGATGTACCGTAACCATATACATTATATATACATGTGAAGGGTGGCAAACCCGAGAGCTCGTCCTACCCTTTCCCCCCCCCCCCCCCCCCCCGCGCCTATATCCCGCGGCCTCCTCCTTACCTACAGCAGGATAATGATGATTGCCCGCGCGTGTGACTCTCAAAATTATTCATTAATTATCTTGCGGCGCGAAAGAGTTCGAAGTGCAGTTAATCGCGGCTCTTGAAACGTACTAAAATGACTCTCAAAAGGTGGCTCGCTGATGCATTGAAAGAGATTTCGAATTGGAGCGTGACTCTTAAAAGACCGACAGAACAGTTCTCGGAAACTTTAAACGCGCGATACTCCTAAAACTCGCTCAATTAAGTGATTCTTTAAATTATGACCCAGGCGTGACTCTTAAAATGATTCTTGGAGGAGTTTTGCGTGAAACAAACGGTGAGATCGTCAAAGTTTGGAAAAATGGGAAGTTGTGTACGCACGTGATTCTTAGAAGGCGCTCGACTAAGTGGTTCTTAACACGTGACTGACGGTTCTCGAATTTTACGATTACGACTCGGGCGTGACTTTTAAAATGATTCTTTGGGACCTTTGCGGGAAGTAAACGGTGAGTTCGTTAAAATTTGGATAAATGGGAAACTGTAAACGCGCGTGACTCTTGAAAGACTATTATTAAGTGAATCTTAAAACGTGACTCATTAACGGTTGTCGGATGCAAGACGCTTCGAATTGGGTCCGACGATTCCTAGCGTGATTCTCAAATAACCTACTCGTTAGCCGCTCATGTGCCGCATGACTCTTAAAATGACTCTTAAGGAGGTCTAACGTCATCCGAGAGGCTCGACTCCTGACTCTTAAGCGGTTTAGGGATTAAGAACGTTGATTAAGATCGATCGCCAGCCAAAACCGCCGCCCCGCCTCCTTCCGCCCCCCCCACGGGCGGGAATCGATAAACACGACGCTCGGCCTCCTGTCGGGGTCACGCGACGACCGGGTCAGGGTAACATTTTACGTCGCCCGTTGGTGATGGTGGCGGGTTGGAGGGGGGGGGGGCGCGGTCGACCCCGCCAATCGCGCAAAACGAAAAACCAAACAAAACCGTTGCCGCCGCGCAGACCAATTTTTTTTGTCGTCTCGAAGTGCGCCCCCTCCCTCGACCGCCGCCCCCGGCGGGGAAAAAAATTGCCGGCGCGCAATGCGTCTACGTAAATTAGATATAATTTATATATATATATATATATATATATATATATATATATATATATATATATATATATATATATATATATAGGTTATCGACTGAGGTGTTATATGTATATAAGTGAAGAGCGGGGGTAACTGTTTTTTCCGTTTTTGTATAATAATTTACCCCACGAAAGTGTATCCATAAGTACAAGTTTTTTTTTTGTTAAATAAACCGTTTTTTCTGTAGGCGGTGGTGGAGTTTTTCTCTAATCCCCCCCCCCCCCGATTCCGGTGCGTAGGAAAAAACGTTATTTTCTTATACATTTATGAGACATCCTGCATAGACGAAAGTGTAATTTTAGGTCGCGTGCATAGGGACACCTTACCATTACCAAAGACATTTCTAAACTTTTAAAGCAGTACGAAACGGCGAAAAACACCATTCATGATAAAATAATAAAAATATAGGGCAAATGTCGAGCGTCACGGACGAGAAAAAATATATATTACGTTTGCGTTGCCTGTCGGCGCCACCGCGAATCGCTCGCGCGCCATCTGGCGAGGGGAATCGCGGCCGCGCATCTTTTACGCTGCGCCCGCTAGATGGCGCGCCGCATACCGAAATCGACACCGCCGGATTGAAGGGTGGCCATTTCGTGACCCGACACGCGGACGCCATTACCGGGCATTGGCCAGAGTCGCTATCGAATGAGAGGCGACAGTGAACTTCCTCAACTTCGGATTGACGAAGAAAGTGAGTAAACTAATAAACGAATCGACGGGTGGCTCGATGAGACCTCTGGCGGCAAAAATGTTAACTAACTTCGGAGGCAGGATTGTTTTCATATTAGTTCCAGGCATCAAATGAAATAACAATTATTTTAATAACAGTTTACGATATAAAAGTTTTATCCTTTAAATCTACCGAAATACGCTTTTTGGCAATATATTTGCAACTTACCGCCGAACCGCCTTGACAAATACATTATTATTCATTTCTAAGGGATTGCTTTTCTTCGTTGTTGTTGGTAAGGTCTGTTCATAGATATAAGAAAGTGACCAATTGCTTTTGAATGGGATTATCCATACAAAGAAACAAGATTATTACCTATAGTTTCGGAATTTAAATTCAAAAAAAAAATTGTGGTCCGTAATAGAAAATAATTTTATACATACCTGTGTTTAATATTCATTGGTTTGGTATACTACTTAGTTTAAATTTACTAGTAATCATTCTTATTTCGAGTGTAACAGCGTGTGTTGAATCGTGTGCGAATTATGCAAAATATGTGCGAGTCTAGTGTATCTCAGGAGATGCTCCCGCCCAAATATAGAAAACACTATTCTATTCTATTGAGACTAACAATGTTTATTTGACTATCATGGAACGTGGTGCCAGCAAGCCAGCATCTTTAGAAGAAACGCCCACATTGACAAAAATTCCAACGTCAACTGTATGGAAAATTGTCAATAATCCCATTTCAGTGAGGAAAAAACGAAGCGATGCTGACATTTTCTCGAGTGTAGATGAAAGTGGTCAAGATATAATACGTCTTATAATTTACCAGTTATACGAGGAACAATTAAATATGTTAATTAGAAAAAGATGAAACCGGTGTTAAATGTGGTGCAACTACCTTATGGAAGTGTATTCAACATGGGTTTTAGATTTAAAAAAATTGACAAAAGGCAAATTTTAATGGAATCTTTTAGAATTCGGATATGACGACTGGAATATATAGAAAAAATTAGGATTTTCAGAGATCAACAAAGGTCAATTATTTACTTGGATGAAACCTGATTCGACACTTATGATACCCCGGAACAGGGTTGGGTTGACTCAACTGATAAGTGTAAAAGAAACGTGCCATCAAAGAGAGGTAAAAGAATAACTATTTTGTATGCTGGCTCTAAAGATGGTTGCATTCCAAATGGGCTTTCTCTATCTGCGAAAAATATTAAAAATTCTTCTGTGGATTACCATGAAAACACCACCGCTGATTTATTTGAAAATTGGTTTAAAAACAAACTAGTTCCAAACATTCCTCCTAACAGCGCAATTGTAATGGACAATGCAAGTTATCACAGTAGACAGTTGACTAAAACCCCTTCCTCATGTGACACAAAAGCAACAATCCAAAACTGCATGTATAATAACGACATTTATTTTCACGAAGTTTATACTAAAAAGCAATTAATTGAGGTTCTACAAAGCTTGAACCTAAAAAAGGAATGCGTCTGCGATAATTATGGAAAAAATCTAGGGCATACAGTTTTAGGGCTTCCACCTTACCACTGTATATTTAATCAAATTGAGCATGTTTGGCACCAACTGAAATCTGTCATTCGTCGTAACAATGTTTTTCCCCGTGTCCTCTTTCCAAGGTCCTCTAACTTATAGAAACCGGAGTTTTTAACATCCCTCCACAAAGTTGGGCAAATTCTGTTAAACATATAGAAAAAGCAGAACAATCGTAATCGTAAATAATAATTAGAAGAGGCGATGACAGCGATAGTGATATTATGTGAATAATTTTAAGTAATTTAAGTAGGTAATAAAAATAATTTGTAATTTTGTTATAGATGTAAACATAAATACATACATAAGTATTTAAATATTGTTGTAAAGTACGGACCTGTTCGGCCATATTTCATTGTTATAGCTTGCCCGGGTCTTTCCTTAATTCGTATCAGTTAGTCACTTTCTTATATCTATGAACAGACTTTACTTGTGAAACAGTAACATCCTACAATCTCAATTGGCACTTGATTTCATTATCGTATGACCATCGTTCAGCCAGCCCGAATATTTATGTTTTGAGTAATTTTTGCAACTATATTTACCAGATGTTTGTTTGCTGTTTCCACACACTCCATTGACCTTAATGCTAATCACTTTTCGAGGCTTCGAGTGCCGCCTGGAAGATTGATAGATTAAAATTGCACACCTGAAAAACTGATCACAACTTTTTGAATGTGGAGGTGCAGCCCGTTTAAGTTTCGAGAGTAACGTATAGACGTCACGAAATGTGTCGCCAAGCATTTAAAACCGGGTCGGTCACCGTCGCCTCTCGGTAGATTGCAGCTCTGTGACGCGGACGCCGTTCCCGCGTGTCGGTCTAATGTTCCGACCACAGAGCTCGGATCTAACGAGAGGCGATGGTAAGCGTCACAACAGCAAGCGGTTTACCCAGTGAGGCTGATGAATAAAATTTACAATTAGAAATTATATAAAAAATAATCCTTGTTTAAAAAAAAAAACAAAATATATGTATGTATGTAAGGTTTTTACAGAAGGGTTATTGATTGTAATGAATATCTAGTCTCATTAAATGGTGCAATTCTCTGTCCAATTTGTTTTTGAAAGAATTAGTATTTGATACGGACACTGCGTCTTCCGACAGGGAATTCCAGATATACACCTCTCTGTTGCACAGGAACTTTTCTCTGTGCAGTTTGGCAGTCTTTTCTTTGGTTAATTTTTTGGAGTGACCTCGTAGATGGATATTCGGGTCATTTTGAAAGATGTTCAGTTCACATGAGTAATAGTTTTGTACCATCTTGTAAGTCGTAACGTAATCTTCTTTATTTTAAGGTCGTGAAATTCAGCTTTACAAATCTTTCCTCATAGAAATGATTAGATAAACTATTCTTCTTTGAACGCATTTCAATGTCTTTTTATTTACTTTTATTCTTGACAATTTTTCAAAAATATACAAGGTGCGCCGCAAATTCAAAAAAAAACTAAAAAATAGGTTCCCCTATTATTTTGAAATTGGTTATAACTGAAAGACTGTGATTCAGATCTCACTTTCTTTTATATTGCGATATAGCCCGTATCTTCTTCTTCTTTGACGGCCTTATCCGTTCCGGATGTTGGCTATCATCATGGCTATTCTTATTTTGTTGGCTGCCGCGCGGAACAGATCGACGGAAGTCACGCCAAACCATTTTCTCAAGTTAGCGAGCCAGGATATTCTCCTTCTACCTGGTCCTCTTCTTCCTTCCACTTTACCTTGCAGGAACAGCTGTAGTAGGCGATATTTGACGGGGTTTCTCATAATATGGCCCAAATACTCAAGTTTGCGTTGTTTTATGGTATTCATGAGAGTTAATTGGCAGTTCATTCTTCTGAGGACCACCTCGTTGGTGACTCGGTCCATCCATGAAACTCTCAGGAGTCTTCGATAGATCCACAGCTCAAAACTCCTTATCCTTTTTTCTGTTGCTTCGGACAACGTCCAAGCCTCGGCCCCGTACAACAACACTGAGAAGACATAGCAGTTTATGATTCTCTTCTTGAGTGCCATATTGAAGTCTCGACTGCAGAGAAAGCGCCTCATTTGTGTGAATATTGTTCTGGCCTTTTCTATTCTGCACTTTATTTCTTTGGAGTGGTCCCACGATTCATTGATGTTACAGCCAAGGTAGGTGAAGCTGTTCACTCTCTCGATGGTTTCGTCTTTACAATACAGCACACCGTGTTGATTAATAGATTTAGCCCGTATAGACAGCAAAAATATTTGTATTTAAGGTTTTCACCTATTGTACAGGGTGTTCCCTATATTCCGTGCTAAATGAGAGCAATCTAGTTTATGATCATATTGCTACAAAAAATAGTTCCTTTGGTAAGGGGTTCGTGCCAGCAATCAACATTAAAGGACCAATTTACTCAGAAACATTAACGAGTGCTTTTAATTGTGCTACTTTGAGGTGACACTATAAAAAATGTAGACGTAGACATCATGAAATGCTTCGTGGGTAGAAAACTGGGCCAGCCACCGTCGCCTCTCGTTAGATCGGAGCTCTGTGACGCGGGCGTCGTTCCCGCGTGTCCGTTGAATGTTTCAGTGGCGCGGAAATCGTTAACGAGGCGCACGCGCCGCGCGCCAAGACCGACCCGCCGTCGCCTCGCTCCCGCCAGTCCTTTTTCCCCCGCCGTGGTGCGCGTTGCGACGATAAAAGAACGTCCGCCATTGCGCCCGCTAGTTAGACGACCCGTGATACCCGCGCCGACGACGAAATGCCGTCGGAAAAGTCGGTATACGAGCCTAGCGCGCACGCGTCCAAGGGCGCTTACGTCACATCGTTACCCCAGTACCAACAAATGTACCGGAGGTCCGTCGACGACCCGGAAGGCTTCTGGGGCGAGATCGCGCGTCACTTCCACTGGGAAACGCCCGCGGACCCGGCCCGCTTCTTCCGATACAACTTCGACGTCGCCAAAGGTCCGATATTCACCAAGTGGATGGACGGCGCGACCACCAACGTGTCGTACAACCTCCTGGACCGGAACGTGAGGAACGGCCACGGCGACAAGGTCGCATTCTATTGGTGAGTGGTTGGCGCGAAAATTTTCGAAATTCTCGCGGAAACCGAACCCTACGAGATGTGTCCAAATGTCGAGTTTCGTCCATCTGACGTCTCGAATCAATCAAATCAAATCAAATTTAGACTTAGTTAACAAGAAAGAATCAATTAAATTATATGCAACATTAACGTCACAGCGTAAATGATGTAAAAATAATCACCGGGGTCAAAACGGTTTGAAATTTACCAAGGCGGCGTGGCTTTTATTTATTACTGCAATTGTTTTTTGTTTAGTTCGACATTTTAAAATATGTTTTCGACCAGTAAAATGAAATTCTTTAAAAATGGTTCGTCGGACGACTTCTGAGAGACGTTTCATTACACAGAAACGGATACAGCCAAAGAGACATAGCCAAAATGGTAAATAAATGTCCGTCAACTGTTTAGCATATCGTTGGGCGTTACTGTAACGAAAATAGGATTGAGAATAAGTCAAGGTTAGCTTCAATGAACCTGAGGAAAGATTATATAAAAGAGGTATCCAAAAAAAGTTGGAACGACGGTTTGGAAAAAGGTGTAACCCCGAAACAATTCGACGAATCCTGGGAAAAAATAATTTACATGGTCGAACGGCCAGAAATAAGCTTTTCATTAGCCGAAGAAATAAACGCGCGAGATTGGCATTCGCTAGAGAGCGTGTCGATAAAGATTTCAACTTCTGGAATTCAGTAATAGTTGCCGATGAGACCAAAATAAACTTATTTGGATCCGATGGAAAAATATCAGTGTGGAGAAAGCCTAAAGAAGAATTAAAATTACAAAATTTAAAAGCTTAATAAATAGAGAGACGTTCACTGTATAATTTCTAACTATCCAAAACAACAAAAATGGACAAATGTAACCTACAAATACCACTGTTAAATGACATTATTTTTAAATATATTTATTCAATATTTTTATTTTATATTAAATATTTTTTCAAATATATAATATAAAAAATTATTCAAGATAAAGGGGGGGTTAAAATTGCGAAAAAGAAAGAGCTTAAAAAAGCTATAGCTATAGCTGTCATATCAGTGAGATGTCGACCAATCCATAAAAGAAAATCAGTTTTGATTGCTTAAAAGCTGCTGCGACATGAAATGTCCTTCGCAAAATTGGAATGAGTGCAAAAAATTTCGCTGAGTACTCGCGAAATTTCGAAAGTACTTGCGGTATCGCACCAGCGAGGCGACGTTGCCGGTTGTATTTTAAATTCGGGGACTGACAAAAATTGTTCCGAACATGATTTGGTTAGTTTGTTAGAATGACGAGGTTTGTTTTTCCCTGGAAATACTGTCTCAAATTCAAAATCAAATGAAAGATTATTAATTTTTTTGCAAAACACAAATTTTATGTTTGTTTTTATTTTAAATTTTCGTTTGATAGGTATACGTTGTTATTAATTGACGAACATAATATAAAACATGATATAAAGAGATGAGACTCTGAAGTAAATATTATGGCAGTCTGATGAAATTGATTATTATTGTCAGATAATAATTGCTTTCTTTAACCAACCATAGAATATGCGTGGAGGTTTCGTGCGAGATACGATTCCATAGAAAAAGAAGAAGAAAAAGAACTAACCAAATACCTGGATCCGAATTTTTCAACATTTATGACTTGTGTTCGGTCAAATTTAACGCACTTCTCCTAGCCACATATCACACTTTCGTCCTATTACTATACTGCCTACAATGTCGAAAATATTGGAGTCCATAGTCTGTAAGCAGTTGGTTTCCTTTTCGAGGAACAGAGAGCTTCTACCCTGCACTCAGTCAGGCTTTCGTGCTAACCACAGTACTGCCTCCGCTCTGCTGACAATTGTGGATGATTTGTTTAGAGCTCACGACAATTTCGAAAACACTTGTTTAATTCTATTGGACTATAGCAAGGCTTTCGACACCGTCGTTCATACAGTTTGAATTGCTAAGCTTAGATATTTTGGTCTGGGTGATGTAACTTTAATTTTCTTTTTAAACTACTTTGCAAATCGCGTTCAAAGTGTCGTATTGGCTGGCGAAGCGCCCAAGTTTTGTGTTGTATCAGAGGGCGTAGCTCAAGGGAGTATCTTGGGACCTATACTCTTTTCTTAATACACGTCCGACTTTCCTAGTTTCCTCAAACACTGAAGACATCAATATGCGGACAATACTCAGCTTTATCATTCTTTCGAATCGAATGATCTGGATCTGGTTGACTATGCAAGAAAGGTTTGAAATTAACTTTTGCCGTTTTTGATATAAAATTGTACTCCATCGCGAACCTATCTATTTATATGAAAAGTTGGTTAGAGTTGTCCATATCCATAACAGGCTAACTCGTAGTCGTGAACTCCTTAGGGTACCTAAGTATGGTACAACCTTATTTCAATGTTCTTTTACGTACCAGGCCTCAAAATGTTTTAATAAATTACCATCCAGGGTCAGATGTGCCCCCACCATCTCAATTTTCAGTGAAACGTTATTTACTTTCTATCGTTCCATTAAACATGAGTAATCTTATACTACAGTAATCTGTGACAATCGTACATTACTCTCGTTATAATGATATGCTTTGGTTGTGTCTTCTTCTTTACTTCTAATGGCCACGACTACATAAGATCATTCGGCCAGCTTACACAATTATGAACATTATTCAAATATCCTAAAGAATGCCTTCTTAGGAAAGGGTCTGGACCAATCCATCATCCCCCGGATTTGTTACATATACAAACTGGAATTTCAAAAAAAAAAATTCTTTGACCGATTACAAAAAACGGCCTCCTCCGCTTCCCCGGCGGACCATCCGGGTCCATCCGGCCTCCATACCGGCATGAACAGGAAAAGATGGAGCCCACCACGATTATAACTTTAAAACATTCACTGAACACTAAAAACACTAAATGCACAATGTGGATACCGATTTCAAAGTTTTTGGGGACGATTACAAGGGATTCTGTCGGGAGCGAACAGAGGTTAAACCTCCGCGTGCAATGCTCCACCACACAATCCCATATACTTTGGTTATCTTAGTCTCTGTTGAATACCGCCACCTACTTTATAAGTTTTTTTAAATATTCTGTCAACATGAATAAAGACATATTATTATTATTATTAAATTGTTATTGTGTTCGATTTTAGTGAATAGATAGTGTCCTTTAGTGATATAACTATCCCGCGATTTCGCTGTTTTCCTCATACATGCCAGTAACTTAACGTTAACTTGATTTGTATTAAAGTTTAAACATGCACGTAAACTGGTCGAATGATCTTAGGAGTGTCGGCCAATAGAAGTAAAGAAGAAGAACCAAATACCTGTCAGCGGTTAAATGTTGATGCGCGACCTGTTTAGTTTTAAAAATATCGAAAGAATACGCAACTAAACAAATTAATCAAGTAAAACAAGCCGTCAATAAATCGAACCCTAGGAGTGTACAAAACTATTGTATATAGTATATTTTTGAGTTCGAGACCTGGGAACTAACAAAACGTCACGAAGACTAGAACCGGCAAAGACGCATTTACTTAGGAGGTCTGCAGTATTAGGGATGGAAAGAATAATAGAAATAACTTACGTCGTACGGAGATATACGACTATTGGAGGCGACAAAAGATTTGAGGTTCATTGCAGTGGCGAAAAATTTTTCGTATTTTGAGGCTTTATAGTCAGAAAGATCCACAGTGAGAGTGCACAACAGTAATAAAAAATAACAGGAAACCAGACTATTACACATTAATAATTACATAAAAAATACCACATTAAATAAAAAAAAACAGCCCGAAGATCTACCAAAGTTAATGTTAAAATATGCAGGAAAAATTATATTTTTCAAATTTCCATGAAGTATAGGTTATGTCGCGTGTCGCCGTTTCACGTTGCGAGTTTTCGTCCTCGTGACGTCAGAGGTCGCGGCAAAGTCGGCAACAGACCGCGTGTTACGTCGTCGCGACGGATAACCCCGGGGTTACGCGAGGCTCGTCTCGTGGGCCCCGCGTGGCCGCTACGTACCCGAGACGCGTAATTGGCGGCATTTCCGCGAAACACTCGAAGCTCGTTAATTATTTAACATGTCCATTAGTGGCGCATTAATCGTCGCTACAAACATCGTTAGAGGCCGTTTTTTTCCCGAATGTTATCGTATTTGGCGTTTAAAAACAAAATATGAGGTCGCCTGTTTGAACAAGTTTTAGAAATAATAGACATAATTCTAAAAAATGCAGTGTAATGAATGTTCTTTTCTCGTAAACCCAACATTGAACAAGTATCCCAAATGTATTTATTAATTAACGGTGAACGTTTGAAAATTGTGAATAGTAATAAAAACCTCGGTGTTATATTTGATTGTAGACTTGGATTCGTGAAATACGTATCTTTGTTGGTGAACAAGTCTCATTTTGTTTTGCGCCATTTATACATGTCCTTAATTTCAGTTCACGGAGAATTTTAACTTAATCACTTGTCCTCTAGTACCCATGTTAAGATAGTGTTAATAAATACAGTTTTGCAAAAAAATCAAAACAGCTGTTGCAGATTTATTTTCGGCTTGCGTAAATTTATTTGATAGCATTTCCCATAAAATCCAGGAACATAACTGGCTTAAGATTGCCGTTTTACGTTGCGAGTCTGCAAAAAAAAATTTTTTTTCTCTCCTTGTTTTCATGCATGAATTCATCTTATTTTATGCTCAAAACACGGCATCTGATATACAAATAAGTACCACGCGTAGGTTTTTAGTTTAATATTTATTTCATCAAAAAACAATATTAAAGTATAAATTATTGCAAGGAAATAAAAAAATGTGGCGGCTTGAGTTTTACAGTAAAAAATCCTAAATTATATTAACAAAACTAATAAATATCATCACCATGCTCATCTGATACAGCTCCAGCATGGATTTGTGACTTTCTTCAAGCCAACCTCTCAACGTGCTTGAACAGCTATTGCAGCATACTTTTGGCAACCAACTTTTATCTCGCTCATCGATAGAAAATCCAAAAAATAGCTTATAAGCTGTTTTAACCAGATCGCTCATGACATGGCGCTGTGGTTTTAGTTTGTATTCCCCACATATGTAGCAAAAACAATCTGAGGAATTTTTAAAATCCGTGGCCTGGTTCTGTGGTGGAGCATTGCACGCGGCGGTTTAACCTCCGTTCGCTCCCGACAGAATCCCTTGTATTCGTCCTCAAAAGTTTGATATCGGTTGCCACTGTGTGGACTTAGTGTTTTTAGTGTTCAGTGCATGTTTTAAAGTGATAATCGTCGTCGGCCCCGTCGTTTTTCCCTGTTCACGCCGGTATGGAGGCCGGATGGGCCCGGATGGCCCGCAGTGGAAGCGGGGGGAAGCCGATTTTTTTGGTATCGGTCAGAATCGTTTTTTGCTAGCTGAGCAAATTATTGGTTATTTTTCTTCTTTGTACGTGGTGGTCATTGACCAGAAGCGAAAATCCTCGACGGAAGTCGGCAATGGGCGAATGATCCTAGCAGTCGAGCCCAACATTTTTTTGTGAAACGCATAATTGAATTGAATTGAAGTCCATGGCATTTTGTAACCTAAAATCACATAAAATTAATTTTAAAACAACTTTCAAACTTCTATTTTATATTTATTGGCTCTACTTAAAAAAAAACTCAAACGACACATCAAATACTTAAATCCAATGTAGAGAACATGAACTTTATGCAGAACTTACCAAAATATTTGATATAAAAGGTAAACAATTAAACGACAAGTTTTCACTGAACTGTTGTAGTGTCACAATGAATACTGCGCATGCGGGTATTTACTACCATAAAAGCTGCTAACTTCTCAAATAATTTGATTTTCAATGTTATTAATTAATTATTAATTATTATTAATTATAACTTCCTGTTTAGTTCCCAATTTAAACATTTAAGTGGAGTAGCTTTTGCTAGACTTCGCCTCTTCTCTACTGTACATTTGTATATAGCAATATACAATAATTATTATTAATGCAAGGACCATATAAACACTCCTACTAAAAAAACCTTCAGTTTATACGTTTATAATGTTCGTATTTTTGTACGGACAATCGAATTTATTTACGCTACTTCGTTTAGAGGTTAGAGACGACCTCTTCTTCTTTTTGCGCAGGGAGGGCAACCACCCTGACGATTACAGCCGGCTTACGTACCGGAAACTGCTGGAGGAGGTGTGCCGTCTGGCCAACGTGCTGAAATCGCGAGGTGTGCAAAAGGGCGACAGGGTCGCCGTCTATATGCCGATGATCCTCGAGGCGGTCGTCACGCTGCTCGCGTGCGCCAGGATCGGCGCCGTCCACTCGCTGGTGGTGAGTCCGCAAAATCAAGTAGCCCGGAAACGATATGGATCGTGGTCATCGTTAATCGACGTCGATCGATTAAAAGCGGTCGAAAGTGGCTTTTCCTTTCACGTATACTTTCCGGGTGTCGAATTTCGCGCGAAGGTCGCCGCCGTCGCGACGACCTTGGTTCGACCGGAAAGTGACCGAACGATAAGAACGACATTTCTCGCGGTGATTCGAAAAATTTCCTAGCGGCGGTCATGTAACGCGTGTTCGTTTTTTGATGCGCTGCTTTTTCGAAAAACGGGATTTTGGAAGTTTTTGGACGCTTTGCGGCAATCTAAAGCCCATTGAAAAAGTAAAAGACTAGTTAAAATTTCCGTGTCCCATCATTTTTTTGATTAATCGCATAAATTGCGAGTTGTCTTTCCTTACTTTTTGGACACCTGGTATGTGGCGTTGTCATGCATTTTTAAATAGTTAAATTTATCGCGTAAAATGTCCCACCCTTTCCTCGTTTTTTTGGCATCTGGTATGTATGTGACTTTGTCAAGCAATTTTTAATGTTTGTCAAAACACATTTCGGTCAAAACGTTCATGGATATTTAGGAAAATTTTGGGATATTATCCGTTGTTAATTTTTTTTGATTAATCATGTACATTGCAAGATACCTTTTTTTAATTTTTAAACACCTGGTATGTGACTTTAGCGATCATAGTTTTGTCAAAAATTTCATAAATTTTTAGGGAAAAATCCTTAATCGAAAACGATTTAAAATTCCCATGGCGAGGTTTAGTCAAGCATTTTTTAATGGTTCTCGAAACATAAATTCGCGGCCCACTGAAATTATTCATCTAACCCAAAAAATAAACAAGCTATTTGGAAGACAATTTATAATGCCTTAGTATGAGTTTAAATTTGTCAAGAGTGCTGATTTTTGTATACGTAGATATTTGGATAGCTTTTAATTGTGTTAGAGATTGTCATACCGATTATTCAAAAATAAGGGTTGAGTTACTACCTTATTTGTTTTTACCAACGCAGAAAAAGAGGTTTTTCTTAACTTTTTCAAAGAAACTTTCACAGGCTACTGTAATATTTTTGACAAAACTTCTGGATTCCATCTGCGTCGGTTTTTGCTGAGTCGATAATCCTGCTGGATTCTTCTGGGCTTGACTGAAACAGTTTCAGTCAGAAGTTTTGTAAAAAGAGATTTTTTTATCTGATCAGCAGTTTTTAATAAAGATGAACTTAAAGTTCACAATAGGCAAGTCTATATCTGAATTAAAAAAAAAAAAAGAGCACAAGCCAATAACAAAGAATCACCGACTAATGAGTACACTTCAACAAAGTGAGGTAAACGCTTATTGGCGTTTTTACGATTTATTTGCGACCTCTGGCGGCAAGAGAGGGTTATACCGAATATTTTACTATGCAAGCATAAAAAGTAGAAATGCACGCAAGAAATTTAGCGAAATCCTGTCGGGGTTCTTTCTCCCCTTGAACCATTGCCCGTCGGTCAGTTCGCAGGCTTCTCCGCCGACTCGTTCGCCGAACGCATCGTCGATTGCGGAGCTCGAGTGCTCGTCACGGCTGACGGCGCGTGGCGCGGCGACAAACTGATCGCCCTGAAGTCGATTTGCGACCAGGCGATGTCCAAGTGCGCCGCCGACGGTCACAACGTCGAAACGTGCCTCGTCATCGGCCACCTGGGGCGCGTCACATCGCCGAAAGGAGCGTCGCAACGTCACAAAACACCGATGACGGTCGGTCGCGACATCTGGTGGCACGACGCGGTACCCCAGGCCTCGTCCAGCTGTTACCCCGAGTGGGTGCGGGCCGAGGATCCCCTGTTTATGCTCTACACCAGCGGATCGACGGGCAAACCCAAGGGGGTGCTGCACACTACTGCCGGCTACCTCTTATACGCCGCCACCACGTTCAAGTACGTGTTCGACTACCGCCCCGATGACGTCTACTGGTGCACCGCCGACGTCGGCTGGATCACCGGCCACACCTACGTGGTCTACGGACCGCTGGCGAACGCCGCCACCTCCGTCCTGGTAAGCATCTCCGTGTCTATGACAACGAGAATCTAGCCGCCATCACTCTGTTCTCTGTTACGGAACTTAGGGAAGTTTTCGAAGCCGAATAACTCGCGAACGGTCGGAATCACGGGCTTAAAAATTTCCTCCGTTTTAATGTTGGGCGATCCGCGGCGGCTCGCAAAATACCGAGCCGATCCGACAATCGGCGGCCATTTTGTCGGCTGTTTTTGGTTTTCGCTCGGCAAGTCGCTATTGAAACGAAGTAATTGTCCAAAATGTCGAACTATCGAGATGAAATTAGGCGGGAATTTTGAGGTCCACATCAAGATGGAACTTGCGGAAACTGGGCGGGATTGGAGTATTTTTTTAAACAATTTGAAATTTTTTTTTTCGGGAATGAAAACGGTACGTCAGATCGAAAAAAATCTAGAACCAGAAGACGCGCAAAATTTGGAGCAATAACCCAGAAACATAATCGACTTGACGCGCTTATGAGCCAAAAACTGAAAATTGTTGTTTTTATATTTATTTATTTATAAATTATGGCTATCGACTCTAGACTGAACTAAGACTATCTAACATATTAATCAATCTATTGTATGTATTTGGGTACAGATCGATACAGCGTCGAAAAAGAAACTTTTTTTCTGTCCTCTGTTCTCTGTAAAAATTGTTATGTTTCGAATGGTAAACGCTTAGCACAGTCTCTTTTTTTTCCCGTGCTTCTATTTGGTTCATTTTCAAGAACAAACTTTGTTTAGTTAGCGGTGACACACCGGCATTTGTCTCTACTTACTGGACGCTATTCTCTAAATAGTTTTTAATTAACTTAATCGAAATATTTGATAATTGAGCCGTTTATTTTGAAGGTGGCTTAAGTCCATTTTCATCTTTCATCCAGTTGGCACTTGCGACATTTATAATTTATGCTGAACTGTCAAAAAATAATTTGGTATTGAAATATATTTTAGTACATTTGAAAATTTTATCTCGCGTACATTTTAAAAATAATATAAATACTGAAAATCCTAATTTTGAAGGTGACCTAAGTTTAGGTCGCCTACTTTTTGTTGACTGCGCTAAAAGTGCGGCTGAAAATGTTGAAAGCAGTGATGAAGGTAATTTAAATTACGTTTTGATATTAAATCGCAATTAAGAAAATTATGTTTAGTTTTTCTTCAACAGAGGAAGAGGAAGTAATTGAAAATGAGAATTTACAAAACAGCACCTTCAAAGAAGGATTCGGAGAACACAGACGTTATATTCAGAAAATTCGTAAAAATTAAACGGAATTCAGGGAAGAGATACGATACACAATCGGAAAAAATTCCCGCCAAAGTTTTTTAAAATGCCAATGCCGAAAAGACTGCTTGAAAAATTTAAATGAAACAGAAATAAAACGTATTCTCGAAATGTTTTGGAACTTACAAGATTTTAATAAGCAAAATATAATGCTATACGAAGCGATCGGACACGGTGTCGTAAAAAGGAGACGCCAGAGAAACGGAAAAGTTTCGAAAATCGAACTGAGGTGGGTTTTACTTGATGAAAATCCATTTATCAAAATAAATAAGAACTAAAAGTTCAAATTTATTAATTTCGTGAAAATCTGAACTTTTATTTCTTATTTGTTTTGGAAAAGTTTCATGTAGAAATCAGAGTTTTACCTATCGCTTAAATTCTAAAACGGGCAAAGTTGCTCTTTTTAAAAAATTCTTTTTTGATACTTTTCAAATAAACGAAGGACGATTGAGACGTTTACTAAAATCTAAAAACGTTGGCAACGATTTACGTGGGCGTTTGCCCGGATCGTCGAGAAAAATATGTGATGAAGCAAATATGATTGTTTAAAATCATATTAACGGGTTCCCGAAATTTGGATGCTATGATACGAGGTTAGCGCCAAAGTTTCCCGGGCCGACGTAGATGCAGCTTCAGTTTCACTTTGTCTTCTTTTAAATACATATCATAGTAGGCTGCAAAGAGGCGTGCGTCTTTTGCGCAATAATGCACCTGTCCGTACTGCTGGTGTTGCTGGTGTAACGAATAACTTGTTAGTAAATTTATTTCTATTATCTAAAAATATAATTTAAATGTTTTTTTTTTTTTTCATTTTTTTAAGCTATATGTAACGCACTTAAGCTCTTTCACTTTTTGTAACAAAACAAATTTTTATTTTGTCCTTTTAAGGTAAGCAAGGTCATATTGTACACTTATTTTTTTTTTTATTTTAAAAAGTGTTTAACTCGGCTGGCTATTTTCTGCAGCGTATATTAAGTATTTTCACTGTGTGTATCATTTCACCACTTTTGTATCTGGTAGGCCAATCATTAGTTTTCACCAATCCTGTATAATGCGGAACTAATCTCAATACTAAGAAATTTTGTTCGATACCTCCCTAAGCTATGTCGAAATTTTTAACTTTCCACCGGCTCCGATGGCGCAGTAATAAAAATTTATTTGAAACTATGTTATGGTCGGAAAAATGAAGAAAATAATTATTTTCTCGAAAACGTATTATTCGAAAACAACCACAAAGTATTAGCGGATCGAAAAATTCAATAATATATATGTTTTTCCATTTAAAACTTCCATATTAATGCTAATTTTTCGAATGGGCGGCAACGTCGCAACGATGTGTATGGTTTTTCGTATATTTTGGGTGTTAGACGATTCGGTGGCCCAAAATACAAAGTTTACATAATTTTATTCCTCAAAACGGCGATGTGTCGTTTTGAACGATTCTAACCTCAAAAAACGAAACGATCGTTGTCGCCGTTCGAACCGATCTCTGACATCCCGGCGCCATTTCGCAGTTCGAGGGCACGCCCTTCTACCCGGACCACGGCCGCTTCTGGTCGGTAGTGGAAAAATACAGGGTGACGCAATTCTATACGGCGCCGACCGCGATCAGGGCGCTGATGAAGTTCGACGAACGGCTCGTCAAACGTCACGATTTGACGTCACTGCGAGTGCTCGGCTCCGTAGGCGAGCCCATCAACCCGGAGGCGTGGTTGTGGTACTACCGCGTGGTGGGCGGCGAGAGGTGCTCTATCGTCGACACCTTCTGGCAGACCGAGACCGGGGGCCACGTGCTGACTCCCCTACCCGGCGCGACGCCCATGAAGCCGGGCGCGGCGGTAAGTTTTGCGGAGCTCCCGCCCACCCCATGCGGGCAAACCGCCACCTCGCGACGTTCCAGGGGTTCCCCTTCTTCGGCGTCGAGCCCGTGCTCCTCGACGAAGGCGGCAAAGAGATCATCGGGGAGGGCGAGGGGTACCTGGTGTTCCCGCGCCCGTGGCCCGGCCTAATGAGGACTCTCTTCGGTAACCACGACCGTTACGAGCTGACGTACTTCACGAAATTCCCCGGCTACTACTGCACCGGCGACGGTAAGCCTCTTCTTTTTCCCGTCGTAGGCCGCTCGCCCATACACGTTTCGCAGGCGCCAAACGCGACGCCGACGGCTTCCTGTGGGTGACGGGCCGCGTCGACGACATGCTCAACGTGTCCGGCCACCTGATGTCCACCGCGGAGGTGGAGTCCGTGTTGACGGAGCACCGGGGCGTCGCCGAGGCTGCCGTCGTCGCCAAGCCTCACCCGGTCAAGGGCGAGTGCCTCTACTGTTTTGTCACCGTCACCGAGGACGGCGTGTTCGACGAGCGCCTCCTCCGGGAGCTCAAGCAGCATGTGCGAGAAAGAATCGGGCCGTTTGCCCAACCGGACGTCATCCAAAATGCGCCCGCATTGCCCAAGACCCGATCCGGCAAGATCATGAGGCGGATACTCAGGAAGGTGGCGGTCAACGACCGAGACGTCGGCGACGTCAGCACGCTGGCCGACGGCACCGTCGTCGAGCAGCTGTTCGCGATGCGGCCCCCAGACGCGGCCGCGTAAACAACCGCGTGACGTCACAACGTTGCGAACGTAATTTTGTACGCTCGAAATCGCGCATTTTCGCCTCCACGTCAACGCATATCATTCCATTGTTATTGCCGGTATTGTTTTTATGTTATTATGTGTATACAACCCTGTTGCAGCGCAATATGTATAGTGTTAATAAAGTCGGTGTTAAACGAACGAGTTCTATGGTCTCCGATCGGATCGTTATCCTCTCGAGTGAATCCACGGTCATCCCGTCAACAGTCAGACGAAACGCAATAAAACTCGCACAACCGTCTTTGTAATCCTCCAAATGACACGTCTGGTGGAATATTTATGACGATCGAATCCCACTAACAAATAAAAAAATAAATGTTCTGTGCTCGCTAGCCATTTCGTCGCGTCAACGATCAATCGAAACGTAACGAAAATTACACACCCGTCACGAAAAATTTGAAAATTCCTTTGCTAGTGAAATAAATACTTCTGGTGTCTCTGGCTCTCGCTTTGCCGATCGAATCGCCGAAAGATGTCGCCTCCGGCTATCGTGCGTGATCAAACATTGTCAAATAGACATGTTCCGTGGTCAACAATCAATCGAAACGAAACGGAAATCAGACACCTGTCATTAAGATCAACCAAAATAACGGGACCAGTAAAATATTTACGGTGTTTGAGGCGCTTCTGCGAGTTAGATTTCTATCGTCCGTGATCCCGAGTTAGAGAGTATATTTCTGGTCAGCGCGAGGGTTTCGTTATTCTGTGGTTCGCGAATTAAGTTCGTAATCGACGTCGCGGACAAGCCGTGGCAGAATCGTTTTCGGCGGCGGCGAATGCGACGTAAAATAGGTTGAAAATGGCCGCGAAACTTGCGACGATGGACCCGCCGTCGTCCGCCAGCTCCGAAAGGTAACGCTTGTTGGGGGTTGTCGCTTCACGCGCGAAACAAGGCGGCGTTTATAAATAGCCGGACGATGCCACCGGCGCAAAAAACGCAATTAATTTGCGACTAATCGAGCGCAGTTCGACGAGTTTCTAACCTTGTCGCGTGCGTGTCTCGAAATTCGGGCGACTTTGCATTGCAGCGACCTTTTGGAGGCGCACGAGTACGCAGAGGTGTTCCCGGACATGGACGCGGAAGACGAGAAGAAAAGCGGCGACTTTTACAGCACACCCGCGTCCCCAATCACGGTGCCGTACTGCCCGCGGCCCCCTTCTACGGGTAATTTCCGTTTTTCGTCAATGCCAGCGGCGTAACCTTATTGAATGGGCCGTAGGGTCGGCGCAAAAGTCGCCCCGGGCGCGCAGGCAGCGCACCACGTCCCTGAACCAGGCAGTTACCCAGTCTCAGACGGAGGTTATGATCCGTACGCCCCAGCGGACGATTTACACCGCCGGCAGGCCGCCATGGTACAACTGCGAGGGTCAAAAGGTCGAGCCTTTCGTTATAGGTAAAACGGTGTGGCGGGGGGCGGCGTCGCGCGGGATTTTAGGGGTGGTTGTGGTTCAGGTATATGTGGGGGGAGTGCGTCTGGCAAGACGACGGTCGCGGAGAAGATTATAGAGTCGCTGGGGGTGCCGTGGGTGACCCTGCTGAGCATGGACTCGTTTTACAAGGTGCTCAACGAGAAGCAGCACGAGGTGGCGGACAGGAACGAATATAATTTCGATCATCCGGACGCGTTCGATTGGGACTTACTCGTCGCCACACTGCAACGTCTGAAGGAGGGCAGGAAGGTCGAGGTGCCCATCTATAACTTCCTGACGCACTCGCGGGAAAACCGAACGGTACGTGGCGTTGATGCTTTTTACCCCTTATTCAATGATAAATTCAGAAATTGCGGCCATTGAACCATGATACGAAATTTTTTATATTTATAAATATAGGTTAGAACCAAAGCATAAAATACTTCTCTATTGATTTTCTTTTTTTACACCATAGTAGAGAAACGTGTTTTTTTTTACTCTTGAAGCGAGACTAGGTATTTTTTTACTTTGCCTACCAATGTCGATGCTGGTTACGTGTTCTGTGACCAAGCCGTGGTCTGTGATCGTCCGTCTGCGTTTTTGACATTACGCAGCCGCGCATTCTGCGGTTTACCTTTTTGAAAACTTATTTGTTCGGAAAGGACGACGGTTGGCGTGCAAAATGTGTTGTTTACCTGTTTCTGTACTCGTATTGAGTAAAATAAAAGTCGCGTCGGGCCTAGTGCGTTTATCGGTTCTCAGAAAACCATGTACGGCGCGAACGTCATCATCTTCGAGGGCATCCTGACGTTTCACAACCCCAAGGTCACCGAGATGCTGGACATGAAGGTTTTCGTGGACACGGACGCGGACGTCCGCCTGGCGCGGCGCCTCAAACGCGACATCAGCCAGCGCGGGCGCGACCTGGACGGCGTCCTGAAGCAGTATACCAGCATGGTACAGGTGGGTTTCGCGGTTGTTTATTTTCTGCTCCTGGTGCATCAATTTTTATTTTGTTTTTAATGATCGCAAGAAATCAAATTTTTCGCCTTGTTATCTTGGATTCGGAGTTTAAATTCTAGTTTTTCTGGTTCCCTAAGTACGTTTTGATGGTTCTGTTTCAATATTAAACTCTATGTAAGAAATTTTTTTGTTAGAAATATTTTACTCCTTGTATGACAAATTTTGAAAATACCGAGAGCCTTCATTATTTTTTCGAATTACTTAAAATAAATATCATAAATGTGACTCACTTTACTTTCGTTATTGTATTCCTTAATATAAATATAAAAAATATTTCTGGAAATAGTATCAGATTTTTGATTAAGGATTATTGATATTTAACTACATTTTATTTATCTACCTGCATGTTATAAATAAATAAATAACGACAGGATAACTCATTTAATGCAAATTAACTAAGAATCATAATTAAATAGTTAACAAAATAGACCACTGTATTTATGAAACAAGCGAGGAGTTATATTAAATATTTCTTTATGTATGTGTAGTGTACATTTCATTCATCTGACAGTGTTTAGGGCTACCTCGAAAATTCGCAGCTAGGCGTGTTTTTTCATTAATTCTCTTTAGTGTGCTTTTCTTTTGCAAAAATAGAAAGAGTAGTGGTAGTTTTGAATAGTTTCATTACTGGTTATACCTACTTTATAATCATATACCAAAAAAACTTGTGTTTGTAGTTGGAAAAGTTTAGTTACTGATCATACCCACTTTATAAACATATATTGTCCATCTGTCATGAGTTTTGAAGTTTTTGAGTTAAGACAAGAACCGAAGACTGCGCAGCAGTGATTTAACTGAGAAAACCAAGAAGTTGCTGAGAAGTTTTTTGATGTCTGATGTCTGTCTATATCTGTCTGAGTAAAATACTTTTTATTGCACCATAGTCTCGCTTAGGCTTATAAGCTCTCTCCAAATCTATGTTAGGAGTATTACCAGTATATATCGTTCAGCACACATTCGTAAAGGTCCGCGCAGAAGACGCGGAATGTTATAAAATTCCCCCACCATCCATCCATCCAAGGTGTGTTCTAGAAACCACGTCCGGGAGGCGGGTTAAGGGAGTGAATTTTATGTTACAGGGTGTTATATTATAAAAATATATGCAGGTACAAATATAAATCGGGCATAAAACAATATACGGGATATTTTGCATATTACGTGAAGTCTAAGTCGTTTTTGTTACTTTTTTCTTCGCTACGTCCGTAGCCTTCGTTCAACCACTATATCGCGCCGCTCATGAGCCACGCGGACATCATAGTGCCGCGGGGCGGCGAGAACGAGGTCGCCATCCTGCTCATCGTGCAGCACATCCACACGCAGCTCCAGCTGGTGCGTGCCATACGTATATACCGGGTGGCACAAGAAAGTGGAAACCATCTATAACTTTTAAACGGCTCGAGATAGCGATTTGAAATTTGGAAGGGTTGTCCAATTTTTTGACAATATGTAGTCAATGGCCGCACTTCCGGTTCGAGCGGAAACGACAGGAGGCTGCCACCTTCATAAATTGTAAATGAAACTTTTCTTTACTTGTCTAATGCCAAATAGCATTTAATGTGGTAAATTATTATTTTTTTAGGATAACCTATTTTTTTTCAAATGGCACCTTAGTGGGAACAAAACCTTTTTAAAACGGGTACTTTTTTTGCAACATTTTGACATCAACATTTTCAAAATCCTTTAAAAAATAAGCTTTACTTACTTACTTGGGTCGATTTACTTCTATTGATTATTAATTGTCAAGTCGGTAAGATTAGTATTTAATAAATAATAAAATTCAAGGAAGAGTTTGTTCTGAGATTCAACGATGGTATATGCTTTTGGAATACGGGGATACAGTCCAAAACTGACGCGAGTGTTGTAATCATACGTACGTCATAAGCTACAAGCACTTTTTACGGGAAACTTTTCTTTTCAAATTTGTCAATTCAATGTCGGTAGAATCGATTTGAAAATGATATATGAACGTACGTTACCGTTAAGACAAGGTTTACATTGACACAAAATATCGCATTCACTTATTTTGGAACGGGAGTTTTGTATTTATTTGAATTGAATAAGTGCGATAGATATTTACTTAATAACCAATTTATTTTAAGATGAAACGTTAATAGAATGTTTTCAAAATGTCCTCCTTCTTGTATACTCTCTGGCTCGAGAAATTACATTCGCCGTAACCCTTCCTAACATCTCCGGAGTTATACTATCAAATGCAGCCGTATTGCTGCTGTAATTCTTGTAGGTCGATTACTGTCTTTCACGTGCCCTCAAACAAAAAAAATCTGTGTGTTATTCTTCGATAATTTTCGCCCATATTTACCCTTCCAAATTTCAATTCGCCGTCTCAAGCCGTTTAAAAGTTATAGTGTTCCCACTTTTTTGCGTCGCCCGGTATTGCTTATCCCGCCCCCTTCCTAATCACCTCGTTCCGTAGCGGGGCTTCAAGTTGCGCGAGGAACTCGCCCAAGTGTCCGCGATGAACGGCGGCCCTTTGCCACCCACGGTCCGCCTTTTACCGACCACGCCCCAAATCCGCGGTCTGCACACCTTCATCCGGAACAAGGACACGCCCCGCGACGAGTTCATCTTCTACAGCAAGCGCCTGATCCGCCTGGTCATCGAGTACACGCTCGCCCTGATGACGTTCAACGAGAGGGTGGTCGAAACGCCGCAGGGGGTGCCGTACGCGGGCAAACGGATGGCCGCGAACGCCATCTGCGGCGTGAGCATCCTGCGGGCGGGCGAGACGATGGAACAGGCCGTATGCGACGTCTGCAAGGACATACGCATCGGCAAAATCCTCATCCAGACCAACCTGCAGACGGGCGAGCCGGAGGTAGGGGTTTTTTTTTTTCTTAAGCGAATTTTATATACGGAAGTGATTCGTAGTTGTATATTTTTTTTGCTTTCTCTTTCTGACTTTAAGCATTTGCAGTATAGTTTTTGCATGTTACGGGTTCGCTTTTCGAGAGTAGTCTAAAACATGGTGATTCTTAAAAAGTTGTGTTTCTAAAAAATGGCAATACGGATTCAAAATATATTTTTTACTATTTTGGATTTATGTGATACAAATTTATGTACCGCTTTTGTTAACTTTTGAAGTCATGTATAAGAGCTTTTCCTTACACATGAATTAACGATTTCTACGGTTTTATGTCCTTTGGTAGTGATAATAATAAAATTTCCAAGTGGATGTGCATTAACGCGCCACTGGAACGAAATGGGTTAAGAAGGAACCTCGGCAAGACGTGTAGCCTAAATTAACCGTTGATCACCATCAAGGGTGTAAGTTTGGGCAATTTTTCTTCACTTCCCTTCTTCTTTCGTCAGCTGTATTACCTACGACTGCCCAAAGACATCAAGGACTACAAGGTGATCCTGATGGACGCGACGGTGGCGACGGGCGCGGCCGCCATGATGGCTATCCGGGTCCTGCTGGACCACGACGTCGCCGAAAGCAACGTGCTGCTCGTGTCGCTACTGATGGCCGAGTCCGGAGTGCGATCGATAGCTTACGCGTTCCCCAAGATCCAGATCGTGACGACCGCCATCGATCCGGAGATCAACGACAAGTTTTACGTGCTGCCCGGCATCGGGAACTTCGGCGACAGGTACTTCGGCACCGAACCGTCCTGCGAGTGCTGAGTGGGCGTTCCCGCGCGTCGCGCATATTGAGAACAGGACACGTTCGATTGTGGTTCAAGTTGCGTCTAGTCCCGGAAGTTTTCCCGATTTTGTGTATTTAAGAAGCGTCGCGTCGAATTCGTCCCGTAATCCAGGGGCGTGCGTAAATTCAAACCGACGACGGTCGAAAAGGGAAAAAATGGTTTTTTATTTGTCACGTAAGAAAATCTAATGAATCGTCCTCACGGACGCTGCTGACGAAATGAGTAAATGATCGAAAATCGATTTTTCTATAAATTTCGACACCGTGTATCTGGAAAACTATGCAGGCAATACGGGAAAAACGAAAAAATTTTACTTTCCATCAGTAGATTTAATAAACATAATTTTTTTCTGAAAATTATAATAACTGTTATTGAATTAATGAAAAATCGATTTCTCTATAGATTTTAACACTCTGTATGTTGAAAAAGAAGTTAGTTACGACAAAAAAACAAGAAAAATTTATAAATTCTCGAAACATCAGCGGCGCGCCACGATTTTAGCTATAGGATGATTAGATCGCCCTCTCGGGCGCCACTGAAATTAATATATATATTTTTTAGTTACACGAATAAGCTTGTCAAGTTTTGACAAAATCAGTTTTGTCGGTCGATTTAAAAAACTTTTTTTTGAAAATTATAATTATTATTAATTATTATGAATTGTTGAAAATGGATTTTTCTGTAGATTTTAACAGTCTGTACTTTAAAAAAGAAGTAAGTTACAAAAAAAAATCAAAAGAAAAAGATTTAAGTTTTCAAGGGTCGATCTAAAAAAAAAAAAAAATATGAATTTTAGAAGCATCAGCGGCGCGCCAACGATTTTAGCTATATATATCGATTAGCTCGCCCTCTCGGGCGCCACTGAAATTAATATATATATTTTTTAGTTACACGAATAAGCTTGCCAAGTTTTGACGAAATCAGTTTTGAGTAATCAATGGAAAACCGATTTTTCTATAAATTTTGACACTCTTTTGACTGTATAAAAATAGTGGGAGGGAACAAAAAAGTTTCATTTTTGATCGGCCGATCCAAAAAACAATATAAATTCGAAACGTCAGCGGCGTACCGCGATTTTAACCGTAAATATCGATTAGATCGTCCTTTCGGACGCCACTGAATGGAACGTAAATTTTTTCAATTACACAAATACGATTGGCAAGTTTTAACGAAATCAGCGGGTGCGTAATTAAATGAAAAAACGATTTTTCTATACATTTTGCCGCTCTGTAGTCCGAAAACGAAGCCAGTTCGGAAAAAAAAACGGAAAGAACAACGAAGTGTCATTTTCGATAGGTGAATTTGAAAAGAATGAATTCTTCGAAATATCAGCGGCGCACCACGATTTTAGCTAATTAATAATTAGGATATATGTATTTTGAATTACACAAATAAGCCTGCCAAGTTTTCAAAAAATCAGTTAATGCATCGATGAAAATAGGATTTTTCTATAAAGTTGTAACACCCTGAATCTCGGAAACGAATACGCCCTTAAAAGATGTTTTGTTCTTAGTGGTAACGTTTCGCACGCCACTGGATAACGCCGACGTGGTTCCGGCGTATGTTTTCGAAAAAACGGAGAAAGTTCCCCAAAAATTGTGTTGTGCAAAGAAATAAAGTCGGTCCCGATAACTTTTCAAGCATTATAGTAGTTAATTTGCCCGTTTGGGCACTATGTTGATTGTTTGATTAGAAAAATAACGATTAGAAAGGTATATTTTTTCCTAAACCTTATACGACCCGTACAACTGTTCTTCTTAAAATTGTCCCTAAGCATCTGCGCTCAATTTACTACAAAGCGCAGTTGTCAGTTCGCTTTAAAACATCAAACACGCAAAAATTTCATTTTTGATGTAAAAAAAAAAATCATGAATTTTTGAAAACATCAGCGGCCCGTCGCCATTTTGCTTGCAGATATTGATTAGATCGCCCTCGGACGCTACTGAAGTAAGGTGTTTTATTTTAATTACTTAATATAAACACTGGGGAGACCGCAAATAAACGTTTTCTCAAAATTTGTTAAAAGGTTTCTGTGCAATTAATGAAAAAACGAAAAACTTTGTTGTTGGATCAACCCAAAAAAAAAAGTTTCTTCGAAATATGTGTAGTGCAAAAAAAAAGTTTTTGATTTGACCCCGTATAATTGGAACACTAGTTTTTTTTTTAAAGTTGTGAAAGTTATATTTTCTTTTGAAACTTTAACACCCTGTACAAATTTCCTTTTTAAAATCGCTTTGAGGGCGGTACCCCCAAGTGTGAAAAAGCGATTTTTCTCGAAATTTTCAAACGCACCGAGAAACAGTCATATTTTTCGTCGATAAATAAAAGCTTTGTATTGAATTTTGTTGCGATAAAATGCGTGGAAAACGGGGAAAATTGTGTTGCGCAAAAAAATAAAGTTGTTTTCGACAACTTTTTGATTTGGCCTCGTATACTTCATAATTTTATATAATTTAAAGCAGTAGTTTTTTGAAAAATGTTTATTTTTTTGTTATATTTTCTCTTGAAACTTTAACACCCTGTACAAATTTTCTTGTTAAAATCGCTTTGAGGACGGTAGCGGCGCGAGGGAACGCACACACCCAGGGCGGGGCTTAGAAACGCAACTTTCGAGAGTGGCAGGGCTTTTATTCTGCGAGTTACAAAAAAATCCACAAAATCCGGACGACAAGGACGCCCGCTAGCGCCGCGACGAGCGGCAGCCACGCCCTCGCGTCGACGCGGTCGGCCAGCCTCAGTCCCGACACGACCCCCTTTTCCAACGGTTTCGCGATTCCCGGGGTCGCCACCTCGTCGAGGGCGGCGCCCACCATCGAAAATTTGGACGACGACGCGATCCTCACCCTCACCAGCTTCCCCATGTACTCCTTCCTCTTGGGCACGAGCACCTGCTCGTAGAAACGGTTGTGGCCGACGTAGAAACGGCCGTCGTGCGATACCTCTGTGACGAGGACGTCGTAGACCTCGCCGGTCCGACCCCCGTACGGCTGGTACGAGTAGAAGAGGTCGGTGAGGCGTTTGGTGCGCCGTTTCACCTCCGCGGGAGGCACCCGGGGCAGTAGGGCGGCCGGCGTGCCCGGCCTCGGAAAAAACTGGTTGATGAAGAGGCTGGGGAATTTGTATTTCGCGCACAACGTCATCGTCTCGTCGAAATCGGCCTCCGTTTCGGTGGGGAAGCCGCAGATGACGTCGGTCGCTATCGTCATGCCCGGCACCCTGCCGGAACGCGGTAAGGTACGTTTGAACTACTTTTTTTTTTTTCAAGGCAAAAGCGGATAAAAGTTTTTTTCAGTTATTAATAAATGATTTTACTTCGACTAGATTAACAGCAGTTTTCGCTATTTACTACTTGCATTAATCCATTAAAAGTACCGAATTTTTCTTCGTCATGTCGTCACGTCATGATAAAAATCGACACCTGTCCATAGTGTTGGTGTCGCACAAGCTGCCATTTTAGATTGTGGGTTCCAACAGAGAGATCGTCCTCCGTATAGTCCAGATATGGCCTCCAGAGACTATTACTTATTACAAAAGCCGTTTTTTATTTTAAATATCGAACAACCCGTATATTGGCATTTTCCAACCCTCCTATGATTTTTTTTCCGGATGACTAATGTCCAGATGCATAATAAACATCACAATTCCAAGCTTTAAAAGATCACATTTCGTCCAAAACGTAAATTGGTGTCAGGTGTAAGCGTAATTTATAGTGAACTAGAAAAAATTGCACCCGAAGAAGCGAGAAAGAAGATAAAAAAATAAAATAGACCACGGGATAAAACAGGAGTTGCCTACAGGGCTACAGCTTCACCAAATAAAATAGGGACGAAATTATTTGTTTTTTATCCGACAAAAATTAGTAAAACGCGTCATAGAAACTTATTTTCAAAAAGTTTTTGTTTTGTGTTGAAATATCATTAAAGAAATCATTTTCTTGAAATTTCTTGATCTTGCTTACAAACTTAGTAGGCATTGTTACCACTTAAAAACGAATTTTTGGCACATTATAACCTTGCTTTCGTTCGTTCGTGACACCATTTTAATTATTTTAACTCGATTATAAAGAAAAATCGTCAGTTTTCATCATTTCAAAGTCGGTCGATTTTTATAAAATCTGAGAAACTCCAGCGGGGACATTTGAACTATGGACGTTACGGTAAGCGCGAGTAGAATGGCGACACCTACCTCTCTCTCAGAAAGTTGATGACGCGTTCGAAGTCTTGGCGACAGTACTCGCGTTTCATGTCGGCCAGCACTCGGTCGCTGCCCGACTGGACTGGCACGTGGAGGAAGCCGTAGACCCGCGGGTGCCTCATGATCTTCGCGATCTCCTCCAAGTGTTCGAGTATGTAGGGCGGGTTCGTCATGCCGAGCCGCAGGCGGCACCCTTCGGGGATGACGTCCACTAACTGCCACAACAACGCGGGCAACGACGTGCCGATGTCGCGGCCGTACGTGCCCGTGTCCTCTGACGTCAGCCATATCTCGACCACGCCCTCCTCGAACGCTTGCCTCGCTCGCGCGATAATCTCCTCCGGCGGGTAACTGCCCAGGTCGCCGCGCGCGTGTTTGGTCTTGCAGTAGGTGCACTGGTTCAGGCAGCCCGTGTTGATGGCGATGATCTCGATGAGCGGGTTGCGACGCACTTTGGGCAGGAGCAGCGACGCCCCGCCCGCCTTTTTACCGTTTAACTTTTTCGTGCCGAGCAACTTGACCGTGTTGCCTTTGAGCGTTTCCTCCACCACCTCGACGATACGGTCGATCTGCTGCACCCCGATCACGCTTAGGCCCCGCACGAATTGAGATTTGGGCGCACCCTGCGGAACGCAACCCGCCAGTACGAGGTACTTGCCACGCCTTTTAGCCAACTCGATCTCGTTCCTGAAATGGTCTTCCGCGGGGTTTTTCACGGTGCAGCTGTTGAGCAGCCACAAATCCGCCTCGTCCTTTTCCTCGGTTATTTTGTAGCCGTACGCGGCCAACTGGCCGGCCATGTACTCGGAGTCGGAGCTGTTGTGCGCGCATCCCCACGTCTTTACGTAAACGCTCTGTGTGCCCGGCACGTTGGCCCCTGGAGTCGGCGACTCCGGCTCTTCGACGCTCGCCCGTTTCCGCGCTTTCACTTTGACGTGCTTCCTGCTGTTGTAGCGCTCCTTGGGCGTAATGTCTTGCGCCCGGATCAAGTCCTCGATATCGTCTATGATTTCTTTACAAGGCTGGTCGGGCCCGTAATTTATCGAATCTATGTCCGTCGACATGTTTTCCGCACGAAATCTGGTCCATAAAATTCGCTTTCACGACTGATTAGAGAATTACGCGTGCGAGGTTAAGTTGCCTTGACGTATCTTCGTTTCCTCCCATAAAATCTGGTTCAGTGATTGGGCGAATGGTTATAACAAGAATTACGCGTGCGAGGTTAAGTTGCCTTGACGTATCTTCGTTTCCTCCCATAAAATCTGGTTCAGTGATTGGGCGAATGGTTATAACAAATTTGCGCTCCGTATAAAAAGAAGAGCGGAATTTGCATCGCGTGTGCTATGGTTTATTATAAAGTCCTCCCTTCCGCCGTAAGGGCGACCATTTTGATTTACGTCGTCGGCGAGGTGATGGGTGCCGGGTAAGTTAATCTTTTTTTATCGCGTCAATCGCCGCGTCTTTTTCAAATATCACATTTTATTCGCAACTGATTTGATCTTGAATTTTAAAGTCCGGTAATATTTATCGTGATGATACAATTGTCTCGTTCGTATGACGTCCGTGATTTCAAAGCATTTTTTGTCCCAGCGTTCTGAAAACGTAAAATAGCCGTATTGAAGAATCGTTTTGCTGTTTTCTCGTGTGTTTAGCGTTTTTTTTTTGTTTGATTTTCAGAGTGCAACGAGATGCAACTACGGTTCGATCCAAGAATTTTAAGGTGGCTCGATATAAACAGGAAGGGGAGGCGTGCAAAATGGTAAGTAGATAATGAGGGTAATTATTTGTAATATTGTGGAAGAAAGGATGATGATTTTATTAATTAGACAAGCATATGTCTGAATCTCGTGTTGTTGAAAAAATACACTGATTTTTACGGTTTTAAAGGTTCCAACACTTTCCTACGTGTACAGGTTATGTCAAGTCAATTATTTTTTTCATTTCAGCTAATTGGATTATCTGGCAAGCCGTTTTGAGGATATCTGATTAAAGGTAGGTAATCATTCTAGTTTCCTGTTTTTTTTGAAAAAGTAGATTCGCGAGTGTGATGAATTTTACGTATTCGCCTCAGTCAATATGAAAACTGTGATTAGTTACGCTCTGATAGGATTATTTTAATTTATCTTCGTGAGAAATAACTGCGCAAATTTTACAATGTGTATTTTTTTTTGTTCCAGACAATGTCGGTCTCTGATACTTCCCTGTTTACTCCATGTTGGGGGTATGTTTTTTTATATTTTTCTATTTTAAAACCTCTGGGTATCTGATTTGTGTGATGAAAACAATTACCGTCTGACTTTTTCATGATTAGTAGTATGGCTGCATGTATTATCTGATTAATTGTCTCGAATTTTTCGACTTGGCCAGCTTTTTTACCCCATTTGGTTAGTTAATTTTTTGTTTCAGGTGGATATAGTTGGGTCTGAATTAAACACCTGGGATTCTTTGATTTTATCAGGTAAGAATTGTTGTGTTTAGGGTTTGTTGTTCAAAATTCAGATGATGTTTTTTCCTAGTTATCCCTGTCATAAGCAATTTGATGATAACTTTATTTTTGCTGATATATTCAAAAAAAGAAAAGACTTGTTATTTTTGGAAAGCTTCCAATATATATTGATGTTTTTTTTTCAGGTTTTATAAAACAAGAGTCCCCTAAAGGGATTCTGTTACGTGAAAGTTGGGTGAGTCTCTTTCCCTTAATTGTTCCCATATTCTCAAAACTGCAATGATGAATTGGAAAATGTTATACGCTATTTTGAAGGTTTTTCTTTTTAAATCTAATGAAAGCCACTTGCCCTCTCTGAACATATTAGCACACAGTCCTTAATCCTTTTTTTGCGAAAAACTCGTGAAGATTTGATCCTTTTTTTTTTTTTTTTTCAGGAGCCTAGAAATAATTGTATCCTGTTCTCGGGAAGAATGTGATATGTTGTTGAATAAAAGCTGCTGCTAAAATTGTTTTATTTTTTATTTCCCTCAAAAAAAAAATTACTCGATAAAATTTTCTTCGAATCTAATTTAGGAAGTGGCTCGAAATATGCTTGGTTGCGAGACAGGTGCACAGTTTGAGACATTTGATAAATATTAATATGGTGTGATAATTTGGCTCCACCGCGTTGTCCACTGTTTAAGTTCGAGGCGGCAACTACGAAAGTTCGTGGCGACATCTATGGGTGACCGGACCAATTAGCTTTAGTTTACGTCGCCTCCGCTAGATGGCCGGACTCAGCGACATCTATCGACTATCTGCCCAACCGCAGACTACGTTAGTTCACACTCTTGTCGTTAGGTGGCGACATCTATCGGTGACCGAACCAATTAACTTCATTTTTAGTTTACGTCGTCACCGCTAGATGGCCGGACTCAGCGCCATCTATCGACTATCTGCCCAACCGCAGACTACGTTAGTTCACACTCTTGTCGATAGGTGGCGACATCTATCGGTGACCGAACCAATTAACTTCATTTTTAGTTTACGTCGTCTCCACTAGATGGCCGGACTCAGCGCCATCTATCGACTGTCTGCCCAACCGCAGACTACATTAGTTCACACTCTTGTCGATAGATGGCGACATCTATTATCTTCATTTTTAGTTCACGTCGTCATCGCCAGATGGCCAGGCTCAGCGCGATCTATCAACCATAGCCTGCGTCAGTTCGCTCTGTCGATGGCTCCGCCACTTCCACTAAACCTCCAGAAAGCGGGGAAAGGCAATGTAAAACGGCAAGATTATAGAAAAACGACAACTTTTTATTAATCATCAGTGATCAACATAAAGGAAAAAATCTCTCGTTCAACAAAAAAATAAAGTAAAATGAAGGAAACCGCTTCCCACACACCCCTACTTGGCGTTCCAGTTCTTCAGTTTCTCGACAATGGGCTCGAGCCGGCTAGACAGTTTCTCGACGCATTCGCGCGTGTCCTCGAGGTCCTGCTTCTTGAGCGCCGCCATCGCCGAACTGATGTTGAGCTTGATGGAGTTGACGAGGGTGTTCTTGGTGTCCATCTCGGGCAGGATCGCGATCTCCGCGAGCTTGAAGCACACGTAGATCACTTCGCGGCACGTCTTCAGGTCTTTGACCCAGTTCGCGTTCGACGTGTAGGCCTTGTACGCGCGCTGGTACCGTTGCGCCTTGAGGATGGTGGTCGGCGCGACCTTCGCGTACAGGTCCCACAGTTCCGCCTCCGCGGGGTAGATCGATAGCACGCGTCCGAGCAGTTCCCGCGTCTTCGGCAGGAATCGGGACGCCAGCAGGCCCTCGTAGTCGATCGTGTGGTCGATCATGTCGTAGACTAGATCGACGAGCACGCGCACGTTCAGGTACTTCTCTTTGAGGTCGAGGAGGCGATGGTACGCCCGGATCACGTCCGAGTACATCGAGATGTCCGAACTAACCTCGAGGAAATTTTCCCACACCTGGAAACGCGTTATCGGGGATGGAGACGTTTTAAACATCGCGAAATGATTTAAATAACAATATCGGTGTATCGGAGCTAAATCAAGTTTTGGGAGTTTCAAGTTTCGTAAAGGTGCTGCAAGTTAATTAGACGCTGGTGCGTAAAAAATTTGGAAAAAAAAAGTTTATCGCCGAATCGTGGGTCTAGTAGGCAGTGAATTATTCCGACCAATGCGGATCGAGATATTTGTCATCTGTCAATTATTGCCAGCGCGGTTTCGACTTTTCATGAAATTACGTAACTTCGGTTTAATTAAAGATTGGTGCGTTAGGTACTTTCCAGTGTGTTGTTCATTTGCCTTCTTCAAACTTGTGATTGGTGTATTTTATATCTAAAGTATATTTAATCGGCGGTAATGCTTTTCGATCCTATTGTTGTGGCTAGCGTTAATACAAGATGGTCGAGGAAAAAAGGGAAATTGCAAGAATTGTTGGTAGGAGTATACTACATTTAATGTTTCAAATAATCGGTCATTTTGTTTTGGTTAGCATCTCACTAACACTCACACTTTTCGCTTCGAAATTTAAGAGTTTTATCTGGCGCCATTTTATAAAAAAAAACAGTTTCGTCAGCATTAAAAATGTCGTCAGCAGAGTACTTTTCTACTAGTTTTGGCCGCGTCTTCTCCAGCCAATCGTTAGTGACGTTTCTGTCGACTTCGCCACTTAACTGTCCATAATTTACATTATGTCCTTGTTTGAACTTCCCCAACCATCCTTCCGAAGCCTTCAAATCGATAATGCCAAGTTGTTGAGCAAGCTTTTCTTTTTGTGTTACAATAGGTACATTTTTAAGACGTTGCCGTTGGAACCACTGCAACACCGCCCGATCCAAATCTTCAAATTTGGGTTTTCTTAGTTTTTTACCAGAACCGCGTGCCGCATCGGCCTGAATGATTTTTTCCTTTGCACTTCCAAATCGTGGATACAGTCGACGGTGTAAGACCGTATCGACGTCCCGCATCATCATCATAATCGCTTATTACGAGAAAAACACTTAGGACGGCCAGGTTCTCGATAATTAGATTATTAGGGTAAGAAATTCTGAGAAGGTAAGTGAAAGTAAGTGAATCTTTTAATGAACTGACATGCCATTCCGCGCTCTTCAGGTAGTACAAATGAAATGTAGTAATGGTTCTTTAAATATGATTAACTCATGCTGTTCTTCATTCTTTTTAAATACTTTACTTGTCGTATTATTTTTTGAAACTGTCGGTGTTTATTTTCGTTGCTTATTTTTTATCTCTTAACTTTTGACGACCCACTCACCTTCCAGTGCTCGAAATTGCATCGGACCGCTTCGAGGAGTGCCTGGTGGGCGCTCCTCTTGTTGCCCAACTTGAGATAGGCCTGGGCGAGGTTGTTCCAGGCCTCGTAGCCGTCGGGCTCGAGGGTCGTGTACCGTTTGTAGGCGGTCGCCGCCGTTTGCCAGTTCTCCGTCTGGAGGGCGGCGTACCCCAGCCGGAACCACACGTTGCTCTGCAGGGGATTGATGCTCACCGACTTCTCGAAATGCGGGATGCACTCCTCGTACTCCTTGTGCAGGTAAAGGTAGAGGCCCCAGTGGCGTTGGGCGCGGTGGCTGCGTCGTTTCGATAGTTCCCACGCCCTCTCGTAGCACGTCACGTCGTCGGTGGTGTCGCCGAGAAGACACCACAGCTTCACCGTCGGCTTCAGTTCGAGCTGTTTCCGCACCACCTCGGCAGCTTTGTGCTTCAGCTGAAGGATCGTGTAGCAGACGATCACGTCCTCCCACAGCTGGCAACGCAGGTAAACTTCGAGCGCGTTCTTGACCAGACCCAGGAGGAGCAGCAGGTCGGCGTACTGGTTCTCCACCTTCCAGATGGGCTGCACGCCGCAGCCGAAGACGTCGACGGCGCGGTCGAATACGTCCGGCTTTTCGCGACGGAACGCGTGCAGCACCTCCTCGCATTGCGTCAGCGCCCTGCGAGCCGCACACGGAGAGTAGTAAGAGTAGGAAAAAAAAAAGAGGTAAAAAAGAGCGACGACATCTTCTAAAGGTAGAGGATAATTTACATAAAGCATACTTTTAGCCATTATATAACTGAAAACTTAGAAATATACTAGATATAGTCCATTTTATTCTAGTTTACGTATCCTTCGTAATCAGATCTTCTTTTTAAGTGTTGCAGGGGATTAACTATTCAACAACAACTATACTATAGTCATTACTCAACAACCCCATGTCTCATGACCGCTTTATTAGAGAAAGAACGAAAGAAAACTTATCGCAACCTCTTGCGAAGAAAAGAATTGGGCAGCGAACATTTCTATGAAAAACATTATAACATCTTAACGGCCTATAAATTGTCTAATTGATTAGTGGAAAACTGTCCCACGGTGACTTCCTAAATTTACCGCTGTGGCTAAAAACAACTATATTTTGGTTCCTCGTCCCTTCTTTTTTCTTGTAGACTAGGACCACATATTTTATTTTATCTGAGTTATTTGTAAAATAAATGTTAATGTCTTATTTTTTTGTTTGTCCCAAATTCAAATTTAAATTTGTATTCAGTAGAATCTAGCGTTATTTTGAGGTAAAAGCTGTAAAACTGTAGAATCCGTTAATTTATGTCTAAAGAAAAGACCTTATATAGGACTTCAAAAGTTAACAAAAGCGGTACATAAATTTGTATCACATTTTCAAGTAAATCCAAAATAGCAACAAAAAAAATTTGGAATTGTATTGCCATTTTTGTTGTCTATAGCATTTAGATTACATCATCAACTACTGAAATTGAATGGGACTCATCAGATGATGAAACAGTGGAATTCAAACGACAGGCTTGCTTCTACTGTCAAATGGAAGAATGGTCAGATTGTGTACACTCACACACCTATATCCGATAAATTTAGATCATGTGAGGAACTTAAAAATAGCCTTTCTGGAAAAACTCTGCTTGAAATATTTTTTACGTTTTTGCGACTTTTAAAAACTGATAAACAATTACTTAAAGAAATCAAGGTCACCTCGAGATTGTTCATGCTACTAAACCCCCGCAGGAGATCTATAATCTGCCACAGCCACACAACTTACGTTTGTAATAAGTGTAACGGGGGGGGGGGGACTCATAATAAAAATGTCCGACTTCATTTGGTTCTTAGAACGACGCGACAGTACGGTAAAACACAATACGCCGCCTGCTAGCTCGGGAGTTGTTGGTTAGATTAATATTGATAGGCATCAAACCATGGAATATTGAATAACCATTAACCAACCTTTATTTTACTTTGGCTACTGACAACTAACAATTAAAAATACGAACTATGCAAATCTAGCTAAATTTCAAACAACAACAACTAACCAAAGATGTTTTCTGAAAATGAATTGAATTATGAAATGAAAATTGATGAATACATTAATTAGATCGTCTTAGAAAAGTCGAGCTCCAAAAGATATACGAGGTGAGTTAAAAACTCGACTCCACATAATAGTAGACTTATTTTGTTTTGCGATTTTTGATTTAGGACGAAATTACGAATATAGTAGTACTGTAACCAGTTTTAAACCAATCCATTGTAGTATGATTAATATTTCCATGGATAACCAAGTAGTATAATTCCATTTTTTGAACAGAAATAAACCTTAATCATTCATTTTGTAAGAATGAACAAATAGGAAATTTAAAAAAAAAAGTTTTAAAATATAATCGTAAGCAATATAAATAAATATAAATAAAGCAGCAATGTTGCAGAAAAAGAAGATATATGGGATGAGGGAACGAATAAGGGAACGAGATAGGAAAAAAGGAGTGAAAAAAAGAAAAGAACTAGGAAAAAAAAGAGAGAAAAAGGAATCAAAATTGGCAACCAGAAAAGAAAAACAGAAAAAAGGAACAGCATGAAGAAAAGAGAACAAAGGAGCGAGAAAACGAGAAATATTGAAAACTGCAAAAGCGAAAAAAAATAAAAATAAAGGGAAGAAGAACAAAGATGCTAATGTAAAAGGAAAGAACGAAATATTCCGAAAAGGAGACACTGCTGAAGTGAGAAACAGAAACAACTACATGAAAGAAAATAGGAAACTTGAAAGAGAGAAAGGTAGGTAACAAGAGGTAGCAAAAAAAAGAGGAAAGAAAAAATCGAAGCAAGGAGAAAAGACGCTAGAAACCAAAGGAACAAAACAGGCAACATGTCCATCATGATGCCCAAGCAATAAAAAGCAGCCTGTTAATTTCTCCATGCATTGTATTTATTATTATTATTCTCCCCTTTTCCCCGTCTTATGTGTCCCGTCCTTTTTTTTTATTTCTTATACACCCTATCCATAAGATGACGCCAGGTAAAATTCGGACACAGGAAAAACCGCGAAATTACAAAAAGCAAGTCGAAAATAACACACAAATCGTTTCGGGGGCAACGTTCGATGGGATTACGGCACACATAACCTCAAAAACCAAAGTTACCTTTCTACGGTCCTGCGGTTTTTGCTCTCCAACTTGCAGCGCAACAACAGGGCGACGACCCGCACGCAAAACGAGTTCCTCTGCGCTAGCACCGACTGTATGATCGGCTGCAACTCTTCCGCGTGCAGCTCGTCCTGGGGCTTCGACACGAGCATCTCCTGTACGACGGTCAGCAGGAGTTTCTGGGCCAGATTCGGCAAAACCGCGCACTCTGTAACGACACCGTTCGCGAAACTGACGTCCTCGAGCAGCACCTCGTCGTTCAGAGGCAAATTTTTCGGTAGCACCTCGTCGTCGACCTCGTAATCGTCGAGCTCGCGCTCCTCCGAGCCGATGCTGAGCGATTTCAGCAACAGCTGCGGCACCTCCTTCTCTTGGAACCGCGTACGCTTCCCCAAAGCCCCAACGTAATCGTACTTCAGTCTCAGAGTGCCGGTGGCGAGCATTATGTGCTCTTTCGCTTTGGGCAGCTGCCTGAACAAGAGGTAGAGCTGCGCCACCTCTATGTCCAACGCCACTTTCGTGCTGTCTTGCACCGCGAAATTCACCTGGAGCAGTTTGTACAACCTGTCCGCGTCCGACAGCAACGTGGGGCTCAACTCCTCGAGGATCTGCTGGTGCAGGTACAACGCGCGCCAATACCACCAAATGTTGACCACACTTTGCACTATGCACCATTCGAACACGATTTTCGCGGTGACCAGCAACACGGGGTGCTTCGCGTTGCAATTGATGTCCTCGTTATTCATCGACAGCATCTTCGCGTAATCGACGGCCGCGAACGTCGTTCCGCCGAGGTACTCTTCGGTTTTAGCATCGAACGGCGGCCCCGTAAAATTAGCCTGGACGAAACTTATCAAACAAGCGACACCGAACTTGAAAATGTCCGACCGTTCGCTATCCGTCTTGGAATTGAAGTAGGCCTTAAGCGCGACCACGTCGAAAGCAGCATCGGTGAAAATCTTCCACGTTTCGGCGCGCCGCACGTAGCCGTCGACGTCGAACGAGCCCCGATAGTCCTCCTCGTCCGAGTGCCCCGCCTGCGGCTTTTTCAAGATTAACAAGTACTCGCGGAACAAGTCCAGTGAATTCGCCATCCTGCGCGCCACCGACTTACATTTTCTTCGACAAAACTTGAGGAAAGGGTGCCTACGATAAACCGCATGCAAAATCAAAAAAACCACAGACGTTTGCACGGATCGCGTACGAGCGATCTTGGTCATACGATCGACATCATAGACGGGACGGAAAACACATTGCCAGACAGGAAAACAAATGACGGAACAGATGACGTCATCCCGGACCAGAAAACAACCGCAAAGTACGAAACGCCGCAGACAGGGACCAAACGTAAAACTGAATCTAAATTAGTAACATGAAACACGTTACGTTAAAAAACATTTGAATTTTAATGACCATTAATCGTTTTGACGAGAAAGTGGTGCGCAGTTGCTTTTGTCGCGAAAAAAACTGTTATGGTGAGATATAGTGGAACGCGACTATTAGAACCCCGAATTGGCAATTAGAGTACACGAGGAATTTAAGAAATTTTTATAGTATGAGTAGTTCTGACATTGAGGATAAATATAATTGGTCAAGAGACACCCGGATTAGAGAAGCAGTATCTGTTGAGAAACGTTGACGATATTATTGCTCTTTTTGGCTAGTGAAAACTACTGCCAACGTCTAATGAACATATTTTAAGTTTATGAACAACTGATATCACCAATTGTGCCTGAACTATGTGATTTATTACTTTTTTCGGTGTCAACGGACTGCGGGTATCTTAGGGCACTATATTGCCCCTATGGTTCAGTTCAGTGTGTTTTCGCTCAACACCAGAGAATAAATTACAAATTTGTGTTGCCTGACATCTTTTGACATTTATCGGCTACACACATCTAACAAGTTATATGGCAGAAAAATTTAACAAAATAATATTAGAATAAGTGAGGACCCGCCTTATCGCAGACAAAAAAACAACCTGGGAATGAGAAATGCCACAATCAGGCAAATAAATGTTAAAATGCACAACGCAAATCTATCGTTGCCAAGTTAAACTCTCTTAAGCGAAGTTAGCTAAATCATTAACTTACGACATAATTCCAGAAGGGAAGCGATGCGATAACGCAGAAAAGACTGGTTGAAATGGCGACGACGAAATAACGGCGCTCTTTTCTCTTTTCCCGATAGACTCAACAACAGAACAACCAAAACTAGCGAAATACTTGCTTATTTCCACACAATTAAAACACACAGAGCTAACAGCAATATTCTAGAAGTTTGGGATATTTAAGGCCTCTTGGGAAAAAACCGCAGATTATAAACCGCCACAGACGGAAAAACAAATGACGCAAACGATATCACGGACCGGAAAACGATCGCGGAGTACAAAACGCCACATACGGCAAAACAAATGCTTTATTTTACGGTGACGGAGATGATGCGTATGTCGTCGAAGGGTTTGTCGGTTTTGGCGTTCGTTTTCGCGTTGCTGATGTTCTGGACGACTTCCATGCCTTTGACGACCCGTCCGAAAATCGTGTGCTTGTTATCCAACCACGGAGTGGGAGTGAGGGTGATAAAAAACTGACTGCCGTTGGTGTTGGGCCCCGCGTTGGCCATCGACACCGTGTAAGGTCTGTCGTGGCGCAGGTGCGGTCTGATCTCGTCCTCAAACTCGCCGCCCCAAATGCTCTCGCCCCCCGTACCGTTACCGGTGGGATCGCCCGTTTGAATCATGAATCCCTTAATCACCCGGTGGAATATGTGACCGTTGTAGTAGCCGTTTTTGCTGTGCACGCAGAAATTCTCCACAGTTTTCGGACAATCTTTCACGAATAGTTTGACGTGGATGTCGCCGAACACGGTGTGTATGACGGCGGTCTCGAAGAGACGCTGCACCGCGGGGTTATCGGTCGCCGCGAAGCTCTCCTCCTTGGACGGTTTCTCGTTGAAAATGTCGCGGTCCTGGTCCTCCTGCAGCTCGTCCGGGTCGCGCCTGCTAAACAGGTAGAAACGGGACTTTTTGTACGCGGTGCATATCAGGGTGGGGTCCGGCTGGATGGCGTCGAGCGTGGGATTATTGGACGCCTCGATTTCCAACGTCACCGCCGCCTTGGCCTTCTTCGCGGACCCTGCAACGCACCTCCCGTGTACATTTTACTCCCCCGCATGATTCCGGAAATCGAAAACCCGTATTTTTGAACTTGCGGAATAAAAAAATAAAAGTTCAGATTTTCACGACATTATATATATTCACATGACAATGGTTTCGACAACACCGTGTCTTGATCAAATGTAATATTTACAAACTACCTGCTACTATATACACGGAAAAATGACATTAAAACCTTAACCCATATTAACCCAACCATAAAAAAAAAACTTTTTTGCTCTGAAATTATTTATTGTGTGGCACTTAAGAATACATTACGTGTGTCAAAAAAAAAAAAACTCGAAACATACAAAAAAATACCGATGTGTAAACGAACTACTGGTAAAAAAAACATTAAATAATGTTTTGGGACAAAATTGCAATTTATACATAAATATACAAAAGAAAGTTCAAATTCGACAGAAAACAACTAAAAGTAGATTGTTTTCTGAACAGAACCTGATTTGATGCAAAAAAACGCATCACTGGTAACACCAGGTTCCATTTTTAGTGATTACACTTATTACAAACGTAAATTGTGTGGCTGTGGCAGATTCTACGTCTCCTTCGGGATTTATTAGCATGAACAATCATGAGGTGACCTTGATTATCAAGATTTCTTTGAGTAATTGTTTTGGCAGTTTTTAAAAGTCGCAAAGCAATGTAAGATTTAAATTCAAATCAATCACTTCGTCATCAAAAAACATAAAAAATTATTTCAAGCGGAGTTTTCCAGAAAGCCTATTTTTTAGTTCCTCGCAGGACCTAAATTCGTCGGATATAGGTGTGTACTCAATCTGACCCTTCTTCCATTTGACAGTAGAAGCAAGCCTGTCGTTTCATCATCTGATGAGTCCTATTCAGGTTCAGTAGTTGATGAATTACAGGACTGATGAAGGACAGTTGTATTATTTGGTGTATGTAACTCGAAAGTTTCAACTATATTAGTCGGTTCTCCAAACTCTTGTAGATTTACGTTATCGTTCATATCTCCTTCGTCAGTCATGGTATCCACGTCTGGTGGAATATAGACCGCGTCAATATGTTCTATAAATATTTTCTCACGTTATTTTTAGCATAAATTTACAAGGGATGGAATGCTACAATACATAAGGATACGTAAATCTAAATAATACTTACGACTTTCACTGTTATCGTCCTCAAATTTATGTACCGCTTTTGTTAACTTTTGAAGCCACATATAAAATCTTTCCTTTACACATAAATTAGCGATTTCTACGGTTTTACGTCCTTTAGTAGTAATAATAACAAATTTCTAAATGGATGTGCAAAAATATTTCCTGGATGTGACAAAAAAAGTCATAGAATGTGCATTAACGCACCGCTGGGACAAAATGGGTTAATTAATGCTGTTGTGAGAATTTAAGTTTCATAATGAAGAGGTATTTAAATCTAATTGATCTTTAAACAATACATTTGAATGTCTCATTTTGTTAATTTCCATGGCTTCCAAAATATTTAACTTTCTACCCTTTGTGGCTGTATGCAAAATATCAAAATTTGGGCGATGTTGTATGAATACGACAAAAAATGCTCACGAATCTGATTTAATTACAACAAACCCAAAAGACGTAGGTCGAAAAATCGCAATGCATGAACAATTTTAATAAAAACGGCCGCTCAAAATAAAGGCCATACAGCAATTCGAAATGCACATACGCCAAATTTAAAATCACGTTTTTAAACAACAACGGCATTCAACAACCAACACGGCCGTTGACAAATCGTCAATAAATTTGGGTGAAGCATTCTCTCAAAATATGTCCAGGTCTTATTAAAACTTCAGCTAAGATGTGGAGAACGTTGTTTAGAAGTCCTAGATAAATCTTTTAAATGAACTTGTACAGAACACTATTCGCACACAAAAACGCGAATAATCACCAAACACAACAAATAAAAACAACAACGCCACAGACTGCTACCAGTGACAATAGCAATAACTTGGATATGGATGTTGCGTTTTTATAAAAAATAAATCGATTTTGCAGTAAAATTCCGACTCAGATGAGTATTGACATATGCACGAAAACATCACAGCTGCCTATATCATCTAGAATTGTTCATGCTCATTGGAATATATTCCTACCTGGGTATAACAAATTTCCGTTAAATAGAAATTTTTTAATACTACGTTAACGCATTTTTGGAAACAGAATCACTTTGGGCTAATCGCCCGCAACATTTCTATTCCCCAAGATTCAAGAATATTGACGCTGTACGAAAAACCACACGCTCGCGCTAAAAGAAGAAGACTTCCGCGGTCCGTGACTCACCTTGATACAGCGCGATGTTCAATAACCTCAAATTTTCGTTTTTGCCGATGATTTTCGCGAGCTTGTTGGTGCGCAAATTGATGAGCTTGATTCCCAACGGGGTGGCGTACATGATAAAATGGCCGCTCTGGTCGAACACGACGTTGGCCAGGTGGAACGCCTCGGACTTTTCCAAATCTCGTTCGGCGGCCATCCGCCGACCGAACTCCATGTTGGGCAGCTGCTGCGTCCTTTGCTGCAGCTCGATGAACCGCGGCAGCGTTTCGTCAAACACGCGGGTCAATTTGCCCGTGAGAAAATTGAAAACCCTCACTTTGCGGTCCGTAGAGATGGAGGCGAACTTTTTGCCGTCCGGCGAGAAGCACAGAGACGACGGCACGGTTTTGTTCTTTGCGAAATCGAACAGGTCGGTATCGAGTTTAGATTCGAACGCGACGTTCTTGGGGAATACGCAGTCCTGCTTAATTCCAGTCCAGTATTCCAAGATGCCAGATTTGTCGGATGATATAGTTACGTCGTACTTGTGGTTGTATCTTATTAAAACCACCGGGTTCGAGTGCAGTTTCTCGAGCACTTTGAGCGGTACGTTCGTACTCCTGCCGTCGTAAATGTAAATCGTAGGACTGTCCACGTCCGCGACCGCTAGCGTGTGTACGGCGTCGCCTGGCCCGTGGATCCACTCTATCGTGCCGGGCGCGTAATCCAGCTTCATCATGTTGATCATGTCGAAGTTGACGACGTCGAAAATCTTGAGCGACTTGTCCAAACTCGCGGAACACATCAAACTGCCCGCCGCGTTCGCCGCTATTCGCGTGATCGGTCCCAAGTGGCTGCGGAAATGCTTTACAAACTCCACACCAATCTCCACTTTTTTCCAGAACTTTATGTGGCCGTCGCAACTTGCGGTGATCACGAAATCCGTGTTCGTCACGAGGCAGTGGGTAATGGTGTCGCGGTGCATGTAGCTGCGCTCGTAAGACTCCGCGCACGGCAAATTGTCCAAGTATAGCCGCTCGAACGGCAACACTTTGCGTTTTTTGGGCGGTGCGGCTTCCGGCAGCGATGGCCCCACGAGGCCCGATTCCGAATCGTCGCTTTCGCGCCCCCGCTTGTCCGACTCGGACGCCTCGTTATCGCTCATCGTATACTTTCGTTAAATCAGAATACTTGGGTTAGCGACACATTTTTTCTTCGTCACATCTGGCGTCCTTTCGGTCCAACGCAGAGTCGAAATCCATAAATCAAAAGAAGAAGAGTTCACCCTCAACTACGGTGTACAAACATAAACCCATATTGCCCATTGGCGAATGCCCTTAGACACTCGCCCAACGCCACGCAAAATATAAAGTGATATAATCAAATGCGTTGAGGTTAATTCAAACACCGAATCGAAATGAGTAACGCTTATCGACGATGAACGGGGTGCTGCGGGCGTGCTTGCTCAAATATTCTTGCGCCAACTGCATAGCCCGGCGCGGTTTCAGCCAGAACCCCAGCCAGTGGCGGCGGAAGCAGTTGAGATCAACGGTTTATTACGTGACTGCTGCGGGTTTGGTGACTGTCGGCCTCAGTTACGCCGCGGTGCCGTTGTACCGCATGTTTTGCCAGGCGTACAGTTACGGCGGCACGACGGCCGCGGGCCACGACGCCGAAAAAGTCGCCAGTATGCGACCGCTCAGGACCAAACCCATAACCATAAAGTTCAACGCGGATAAATCAGCCAGTATGAGGTGGAACTTTAAACCGCAACAAACGGAGATAACCGTAGGTATTTACTATTATAACACCGACGTATGGAGGTTAATACATCCAAAGTCTTAATGACTATTTTATAGATAATGAACTTTTGCAGTGTGTGGAGTCGGTAAAAGATTATTGTTCTTTGTTAACCACCCCAGTATAATAAACAAGTCTCTTATGCTGGGGTTTCCCAAAAGAAATGAAGATTTTTCCCTTAGACTAACAACTTTTTTTGCCTCTCACAACCAGGCCAGGACGTCACAATTTTTGAAATATACGCATCAAGGTATTTCATGTTTATTGTCACACTTATTAATGAAATCATGCAAATCGTAAACTTAGAATATAATAAATTAAAACATTTTAAAGTTAACTGTATTATGATGGAAACATTTTGCCACTTCCTTCTAATAAAGAAAATACTTCATTGGTAATCTTGCCAAGCTGAGTTTTAAGAGAAGCTCGCAAAATGGCAATGGGTGATCAAAAGTGTATTTAGTAAACCTGTCCTCGAAGTTTTCCTCGTAAATAATTTTCCACGTTGTCTTCAATGCTTATTTCTTTCTTCTTGGGCTTCTACCTATAGTTGGAAGCTAAACCTGCTCGTTTTTTATAACACAAAGACAAAGACCACAGAAACCCAAGTTTAATTTAAATATAATAAAATAAGGAACGTCCATGGAGGTCTTGTTTGAAAGTCGAAGTATATTTTGACATTACAAGTTTCGCCAGATATGTCTTGTGTGCAAAAGCTTTTATAAAGAAAGGAAACAATTATTATCGAACCAAAAGCTTTTTGTCAACGCCGGTCAATGTTAGTTTTAAACGCTAATTTAAATACGCAGGTTTATCCCGGGGAAACCGCGTTAGCTTTCTACACCGCGGTGAACCCGTCCGACGTACCTGTCGTCGGCATTAGTACTTACAACGTCGTGCCGTTCGAGGCCGGCCAGTATTTCAACAAAATTCAGTGTTTCTGCTTCGAGGAGCAGATGCTGAACCCGCACGAGCAGGTCGACATGCCCGTGTTCTTTTACATCGACCCCGAGATCGACGAAGACCCTTACCTAGAGTTTTGCGACGAGATTACACTCTCCTACACGTTCTTCGAGGCGAAACCGGGCTTCACGTTACCGCTGCCCGGTCGTATTTAAGCGAAATATATTGCCGATTATGATATTTTGCCTGCTCCCATTGGTGACCAAGGAATGGTCATGATTGACTAGTAAAAAGTAAGAAGATTTTCCTTTGCTACCATCATCGGCGACAGATAATAAGGATGCCTAGAGATTCAAAATAGGGTTTCGAGGGAAGAACCCCAGATGTAGCAAAATAAAATAGTTCTCCATAAAAAACCGTTAGCCTGCAAAACAGAGCACAAAAAATATTTACCTTTGCATTCTATCCCGCGTCTGGCATTGCATGTTTAATAACATACTGTAAATTCCGTTTGATTAATAATAATACCAGAACATAAAATTTGGATTGTAGAAATATTCTTATACGTTCCGGATTTATGGCAAAATCTAGTCATAAGACCGACCAAGCTAGCAAGGAAAAATGTACTGCACAGAATCACGTAAATGAGAGCCGGTAAAACGCGCATAATGCTTCGCGATCGCGACGCCTAGTTTTTATGTTCGTGTTACAATAAAACCCTTCGTTTTACAACAAAATGTTTTATTATCCGCGTGAAATTTGACGTGTCCGATAATTTCCGAGGCGATCGCGCGATTTTCGTCGGTTACGCGCGGTCACAGAACACAGTGCGGCGAGGTAAAGGCAGAGTGGGTTAATTCAATACTTAACGGTGGCCGTGATTGGGAACGAGCGACGCAGGCCCATGCACTTTTCGCGATCGATGAACAGCGAGTTGCACTTGTTGTGCAGATCGTCTTCCAGCGAGGCCCTGGTCTTAAGAAGCTGCTGCTGCTGCGCCTCCGCCTCGAGTAGCTTCTTGTTCAGGTACTCGACGCTGTCGCGCAGGTCCCTCACCTCGTGGACGAGGCTAAAGACCGTCGCGGGTAAAAGAAGAAGAACTCCCGCCTTACCCCAGAGCAAACACCACACAGATGCGACATAACATTGACTAGGTTTTGTGATTGAGACTGCTAGAGACCTGGGATACTGATTGGTACCCACATCGTCATTTGTTAACAATACAACAAAAACCCCAATTACTTGACTCAAGTTTCATGCAATTTAAATTTTGCAGATGTATTTTATGGTCCATGTTTGGATCCTAACGATAAAATCAGAATTCAGAAAGTTCTATAGCGTCCTACGCTTTCCGGTTCCCAGTTTCCATTCCTTTCGATCTTCCCAGTCTCCTGGTTGTAGGTTCCTTTCCGACATGGCTCGGTGTAACCCTTTTAATCTAGTGACCTATTCACGTACCTCAATTTTCTTAATCCAGTACCTCACGATTAGTATTAAAAAATAAATTGTATCGCACTATGGTTGAAGCTACTGCTTCTATGTTATCATTAAAATTACAATAATTAGTAAATGAACTTTTTAATTGTGATATTATGTTTTTTAGTTTACAAGTTGGGTAAAACTCAAGGGCTTTGACTTAAACAAATTAATTGCCTGTCAGCTCCTTTTTGCATTATGTTATAAATATTGTTTTTGTATGTGTTTCTTTACATAAATAAATGTATTATTATTATTATTATCATCAAAAAATCCATTACATGAGTTTGTCAACTGAGGAATGCTACTAACTCATATTTCTAGATCAGTCATACTTGCTAACGGCCAATTGGACCTTTCGGTATGACCATGACCAACGAATGCATGGCACACGATTATCCAAACACCACCAGAAGATTGTAAAGTCACGAAAAGATGAAAATTAGGAGTCGGGCAACATGGTTAGAGGTCCTAAATTTGCTTTTGGGCTATTATTTAATTATAATCACTACCTAATGCTGCTGAGCGGAACTTATAGCGTTTTTTAGTTCCCAATCTGTGCAATACAATTCAGGATCACGAAACATTATTTATAAATAAAAAAGAGGTACAGGTTGGGGGGTTGATCATCAAAAATGTAACGAACAACATTTTTTTTTGTGACTCTTAAGTGCTCTTCGGCATTTTAAAACTTCAGAAAGCAAATCTTACAATAAAAATTAGGTTATAATTCGTTAATAAGCAATAAAGTAACATGGGGGGGTGTAAAAAGTCCATACGAGCGATAAATTTAAACTTTCTCAATATAGACCAAAAGTTTTACGTTCACGTAGAAATGTGAGGAAATGTCCCTTCTGTATGGTGTTTGTTCTGTGGCCAAACCGTGAAAACTTACCGGTCTTGCGCGCCGTCCCGGCAAAGTTCGATGTCTTTGCGGTGGGTGCGCGCCTCGAGCCGGGTCTGCGCCACCTTCATCGGGTCGCTCTTGTCCGCGATCGCCTTCTTCAGCAGCTCGATATTCTTCTCGAGGTCGAACAGTTCCTGCTGCACCTTGTGCAGGTGCATCTGCAGTTTGCTCTTGGTCTCGAGCGTTTCGGCGGAGCGGCGCGCCAGGGCGTTATTTGTGTCGCTCCACGCGTCCCACACGTCCTGCGCGCACGAATTTATCAAATTGTCGACGTCGGAGCGCATCTGGGCTGACTTGCCGCGCTCCGCCTGCGATCGCTGCACGTTACGGCTGCTGTGCTCCGCCCACGTCGTCACGGTGCTCACGCTGCGACACGCACATGTCAATTTGACAGTCATTTCGTCCTCTGTCTTTTTTTTGTGGGAGAAATTGGACATAGGGCTAATTTTTTCTTTTGTTTGAAAAATGGAAAACTGAACATGGTAGAGCCGAAAACAAATAGCAAAATGATTTTTAAAAAACAAAAGTGTATTTTGTCGTTTTTGCAGAGGCTTAAAATGTGTTGTTTTGAAAAAGATAAATATGTCAAAAATAACGTAGATCATATAGAACAACATTAACCAAATTTTGCAGGGACAGTTTTTTTTTAAATTATTTTTGTAATCTGATCCATTCATTGTTAATAACTAGGCACTCTTTATAAGCAACCTATATGCAAGTAACTTTTTTTAGTTCAACTGTTTTGCTTGAGCAGCTTATTTTTTTAAGGCTAAATATTTAAGTTTAGGCCAGTTCAGAAGCAAAATCAGCTGTTCACAACAACATAACCTCAAATTGTAAAAATTATGTTATTGGAATATGTGTGTTATGTGCTGCCAGTATTGAAGTGAATGTCTATTAAGTAGGATAGTTACTTGAATTCTGTTAATTAATATTTTTGTGCTTTAAATAAAATATGAATTAGCAAAAAAAAAGACGTTAAAAACATTCAAAGAAAAACTATCCATTTTAAAGAATAAGGATTATGCTATCTTTTTTCGGAAAGTGATGAAATTCAATACAACATATATATGTAATTGTTTTTGTTTGTTTTGACAAACTAAATAAAATATCTATTCAAATTTGGTCGAGAGAAATATGGGCTTACCTGATGATCACAATACTCAAGCAGACCAATTGGTGCAAGATTAAAGGCAAAGTGTGAAATTCATACCCTGAGACATGGAGGAGGGAGCATAATTATCTAGGGATAGGGACTAGGCAAAATGGTTGATTTCAATACAAATACAAACAAAAAATAACCAGAGACATGCATCAGACAGTGGTTTCCTTGCATGGCATCCCAATCTGCAGATCTGAACCCGAAAAATTACAAAATAGGTACCGTTTTAAAAGATATCGCAGCGACATCGCTGACCATTTTTATTTTTACGTGTTTCATTACACTAAAAATCGGCTTAAAAACGCACAAGATGCGTTTTTACAAACCCGTCAGATTTTGTGCAGCTTCATGAAATTAGAGGTATTGCCCCATGTCCGATAGAACGCGGGCTTCGTTCCCCTGTGCGGGGCGCTAGTACTTACGTGGGGTCGAACTTCTCGATGCCGCCGTAGTAGTTGATGCCTTTCGAGTAATTGTTGAGCTGGTGGCAGACATTGTCGATGCCAAGCGCGGACTCCTTGCCGCTCGCGTCCGTCTCGAGTTCGTGCTGCGCCGCCCGGTTGTTTCGCAACTGGTCCGTCACCTTCCCGTGGAGACATTTAAGGCGTTCGCGGGCGTTCCTATACGTTTCGACCTCCTTGAGGAGCGAGCGTTCGGGCGCGTCGTGAACGAGCTCTATACCGTGACGCTTCTCGCGGTGGTAAAGGCACTCTTGGGCGATGTGTAGCGGCCCCTCGATGTCGTCGATCGCTTTCTCTAGGGCTCGTTTCGAGTCTTGCAACAGGCCGGTCTCCGTCAGTAGACGCTCGAGCTCGGTGCGTACCTCGTTGCGCCAAAATGTCGTGTCCGTGATGCGTTCGCCTAACCTGCGGCCCGACTCGCGCTGTCCCTGGGCCGTTTTCTCGTCCGTTTCCCTGCGAAAAACCGCGCGCGACGCACAACGATATGGAAATTCGCCATTCGTAAAATAAAACGAACAATTGCCGTGTTGCCTGCATTACCGGCTGACGTTTGAAGTGGGTGAATTGGTCGAACGCGTCACGCGACCGTTACGTTACGTCATAGCGTTACCTCATCACTCGGATAAAGTCGCCCCTGAGCCGCTCCGAGAAATTTCTGTTCGTATCGGCCTCATTGTAGCGGCTCAGGTTGCTGTGCGTCCACTCCAACGGGGTGTAGCGGGTGTAGAGGGCGGCCCTGGCCGCGTGCGCGGGGTTCCTCTCGAACCCGGTCACCAGATTCGGAAATTTCAGTGGCTCGGTAGCCATGCCGTAGGGAGCGTAGCACGGATCGACGAGCGCGTTGGTCGTGTATTGACTCGGGCTGAAATTGAGACCCAGTAAGCCGGCGGAACATCGAACGGCGCGCAAGTTTACAGGGCCATCGCTTCGACGGTCTCGTAGCCCATGGCGGGTCGCCACGGATGGAGCCTTGGCGTCTGGTAGTACTGGCCGATCCTTGCCGGGACCGGAGGGCCCGCGACTTGCTCGACGCACGGACTCGCACCCGCGCCGCTCCACGGTTGCAGTTGCTTGGAAAATCAGGGGACGTTTTATTACGTCGCGTCGGCGCCGCGTCGCATATCTACCGAGTACAGCACGGTCCCGTTCATCTTCGTCGCGCCCGGTTTGACAGTTAGATTTCAAAATTTCAAATCAATCAAATCAAATCCGATGACGTCACCCGACAACGTCGCTGGCCAATCTCGATACTCGTCGGTTACGTGGTCCGTGACGGATCGCAGAACAAACGATAATAACCAAACTAGTGGAGTTTCGAAGGAATCATTGCTCGTTTCATTTGATATAAATTAGTTTTTTGCATATTTCTTAACTGAATCGATAGTTGCGCGATGCCTATTGGTGCTGTGTTATTCCATTATATATATGTTTGCCTAGAGGATGATGGATTTTTTTAGGAATTTTGCAGTATAACTACCTGTTTTTAGTTCATGAACGTTCCCATTGGAGGGTGATGTATTCGTACAGTCTCTTTTAATTTAGGTATCCTTCCAACTAATAAAAAAAAGTCACTATTTTCCCAGAAAATGGCCGAACGATCTTAGCAGAATTGGCCACCAGGAGTAAAAAAAGAAGAACATAACTACTGTCAGTTTATAGAGTGGTTATGGCGACTGCAGCGATTAGGCCAGAGAGCGCGCCAGAACGTAAGCATCGTCGGAAGCGCGCGTGAGCGCGAAAACAAAACGCATTTCTGCCGCAGACTGTCCGGGTACGGGAAGCGAGGACGCGGGAAAAGCGTCGGCCTGCGCGGGCTGCCCGAACCAACAGATATGCTCGACGGCGGGGCCCAAAGGCCCGGATCCCGGCATCGAGGTGGTGCGCGAACGCCTCGAATCGGTGCGTAACAAAATCTTGGTGCTTTCCGGCAAAGGGGGCGTGGGCAAGAGCACCGTCACGGCGCTCCTTGGCAGAGCCCTGGCCGCCGCGGACCGGGAGAAAAACGTAAGCGTTGCAAACTCACCCGATTGTATCTGCTGCGGCGTTCTTTCTCGTGCCCGAATATCATACCGTCGAATGTTGTGTGATTAATCGTTTTTTAAATCGTCTTCTTTGACGACGTCCGAGAATCTGCCGTGAAAATGCACTGGGAAGCGTCGTCGCTCGCCCGCCAAGGTGCCCGGTGGCGCGAGGTACGGCGTCCCGAAAAAATCTCCGCGAAAATTCGTGTCATACGCAAGATCGATAAACGCGGGATCGCGGTCGGCCTGGTTTGGAATCGGGCCGACTCACCGTGGGTAAATATCTCGATGAGGCACCCCAAGTTTCAACGGTTCGGGTTTATTCAGAAACATTTTAAAACTTGCCGACGACGTATTTTCGTTTAGCAACTTATTGAAATAGTACTGCACTCTTTTTACATACCTAATTTTTGTAACTGGGGCCATTTTTCGGTTTTCTTTGGAGGTTAGTTATATATAGCTGGCTTTAAAAAAGTCAGCCCGAAACAACACAAATACAATACAATAGCGACACCGCCATTGGTCGGTGAAACGGAATCCACAGAATTTAAAACAAGCACTGGCAACTTACCAAACATTACTTTAACTCATATAGCTATAAGATAATATGGTAAAAATTGATGCACCACAGGTGGCTGTGATATTTTTCGTGGAGTGGATGTTTTGCGCATGCGTCACCCCCCAACTGACAGTTGATTGACTAATTTTTATAAGAACGCAACATCAATCTCTGAATTTTGGAATAATAAACAGTAGGCAAAGATGATGTCACTCAACAGTATCGCATTAGAACGAACAGGGAATTAGAAGAAATATAAAATCACCCAGACATCGTCAAAAGAATATTGTCGGAAAGACTGAGATGGGCAGGCCATGTCATTTAGAGCTTACTGTCTAAAACAGCGGTCGCTAACCTGGTAGCTATCACAACTATTTTAATTTTAAAAATACAAACTGCCAAAATCAGTGAAGCTTAAAAATTCCACAAAAAATTCTAAAAATTAACAAGGTAGCTCAAGAGGTTGGCGACCACTGGTCTAGAACATGAAAATTGTTATTTAAATTATATCGATAGTCGACGGTCTGTGACTTGTCCCGCGGCCTACTTTGGCGTCTCGCTCACAGGTGGCGGTGCTAGACATAGACATCTGCGGCCCATCCCAGCCGAGAGTCATGGGCGTGGCGGACGAGCAGGTGCATCAGTCCGGGTCCGGTTGGTCCCCCGTGGTAAATAATAGCCCGGAGTTCGCGTTTCCCCGTCCCCGTTCATCTATCTCTTTCTAGTACGTCGACGACAACCTGTCCCTGATGTCGATCGGGTTTCTTTTGTCGTCGCCAGACGACGCGATCATATGGCGCGGTCCGAAAAAAAACGGCATGATCCGGCAGTTCCTCAGCGAGGTAGACTGGGGCCAGCTCGACTATTTGATCATCGACACGCCCCCAGGCACGTCGGACGAGCACCTCTCCGTTGTCACTTACTTGTCGCGCGCGTCGCTCGCCGGCGCCGTGATAGTGACCACGCCCCAGGAGGTGGCGCTGCTCGACGTCCGCAAAGAGATCGATTTTTGCAAAAAGGTCAAAGTCGAGGTGCTAGGCGTGGTCGAGAACATGGCGTCGTTCGTGTGCCCGTGCTGCGGCGCCGAGACGGAGATCTTCCCGGCGGACACGGGAGGCGCGCGACGCATGTGCGAAGAATTGGACATCCCGTTTTTGGGGAGTCTCCCTCTGGACCCCAAGGTCGCGAGGTGCTGCGACGAGGGAGGGGACTTTGTCGCCGACCTGCCCGACTCTCCCGTCGTGCTCGCGTTGGGGGATATAATGAAAAGTAAGGGGACCATGTCGGCGAGATTAACGCTGATTTTTGCTCCGTTTCAGAGCTCGCCGAGAGGTTGGAGTGAGAGTTGGAAAGACCCGGCCACCGGATCTGCGGTTACTTAATAAAAGATTTATGTTTTCCCTGTCGTTTCATTTAGTGGACACATTTATAAGTTTAAGCCATGCGGCTTGAAGATAGATGCGTTTATTTCGTACCAGTAGAGGAAAGTCACTAAATATGGAATACCATTGTGTTTCAAGGTTATGAGTGACCAAATATGCAATAGGTACCCATATAACCCTAAATCACCACTTCAATCCATGGAAAAAAGGCTCGAACAGAACGTACATTCCCAAAGTTATTAAAAGTAAAAATAAAAAGAATATTGAATATCAAATTATATGAGAAGTTAGCAGTTTCAACGTGAAACATTTTTGAAAGAATTTAATTGAATGTGATTTTACTGATTCGGGTATACTATTAAAAATTACAACAGGGTTATAAGAAAATGATCTGCGGAACAAAGATAAACGATATCGTGGCAGTGAGAGTCTGTAGGGGTGCCTTAAAGTCACTGAGTGAACATTACGAAACTGTAACTTAGTGATAATTTGGAAAACCATGGACGCCAAAAATTACTTGAAAGTACTGTAAAATTTTTAGCCAGCTATGACTGAAAGGAGAAGTGATTAAGCTAAAAGTTTTCGTGAACTGAAATTAAGGACGCAAAACCAAATAAGACTTTTTCACCAATCTAAGTCTACAATTAATTAAATATAACACACAATGTTAGGTTTAGGAGAAAAGAATATTAAACTGCATTTTTTAGCATTAAAAATATAAAAATAAGTTATGCAAATCCAAATTGATATAAATTGAGGCAATATCAAATAATTTAGGATCGAAGGAGTAAAATAGATGAGTGTCATCAACAAATGAATGCAAATTCAAGTATTCGACGGATATATAAATATCAGAAATATAAATTAAGAATAATATAGGTCCAAGGACAGAACCTTGCGGTGCACCTGATTTTCACGAAATTATATATTATGACATAACAATTGTTTCGACAACACCGTGTATTTATCAAATGTGACCAAAACTTTAGATAAGGTTGGAAGAAGGTTTGAGAACTGGCTGGGATTGCTATTTTTTGCCAATGGTGTGATCAAAGCAAACTTCCAAATACTAGGAAAACAGCTATGAATAATATGTGTAACGTATGGCGCGGTAAGCATTTTAGCAGGTACACAATCAACACCAGCAGAATTTGACTTGAAGTTTAAAATAATAATAGATAATCTAATAGAGTTATTGAATTATGAATATATATGCAGAGACCTCCTCAATACACAAAAAATACACAGTCTCTAGTTTAGATAACTAAAAAAAATCGTATGCGAATCACGAAAAACGCTGTCAAAAATTCAAACGGGCAGAACTCGCGAGCAGAGCTTCGCCCGCAACAGCCCCGGACCACCGACGCGACCAGCGCCATCTGTCGCGCGGTAGCCGAAACGCGGCCCGGAAATCCGAAACCGATGTTTTTTTTTCGTCGCGTGGCTAATAATTAAAAACGGCTGCGAAATCCGAGCCGGTCGCGTAGCACGCGATGAAATCGCGAAAAATTTAAAAATACTGAGGACAGACCGGACACGGGTGGGAGACGCGGCGCGGCGGGTGGGAGGCGTCCGGATCGTGGCCAACTTTTATTTTAAAACCGGTAGTGGTGCGCGAGATCGGGCAGCGTCGATTTTCCGCCTTTTTTTTGCGCGTTCTCCGTCGTCGTCGACGTCCGTTCAGGTGAGGAAAAGCGAAGCAAAAGCAAAAAACCGAACCGAATCCCATTCGCGAACTCCTTTTTTGTCATTTAACGGTTATTAATGGACCCGATGACTATTTCCATTCGCGACGTTGCCGCGTCCGACTTGGCTCGACCCGGCAACACCGCGGGGATTTCCGCGTTAAAAAACGAGGCGTCGAGACGTCGGCGTTCTGTGGCGTGGTTTATTTGCTTTGGGCGGCCGCGAGGTCGCATTTAGATTTTATTAATAGCGCGAAATCGGTCGAAAACGTACCGTGGCGCCGCCACCCGGTCGAAACTGTGAGTTAGTTGCGACATTCCGTTCGCCTGCGGTCCACACGCTTCCCCTTACCGCGGTGACGTCACTCGGCGACCCACTTCCAAAGCGCATATCAACGCTCTCTTCACAACTCCTATGTCCTTAGGGGAGGACTTTTAACCATCAAGTCGATGATTTTTGACGCATGTTAACTAAATTTAATAAAGTTAAATAATTATAATATATTTATTAAAAAGTATTTAATAAAAAAGAAAACGTTACTGATTAATAACTATTTTTCTATCGATAAAAAAGTTTGTTATTGGTATTTATTTAAGAAAGCTCTGGCTTTAGGCTAAATCCATTTCAATGTACTATCCCTCCGAAGCGTTGAAATCGATAATGCCGAGCTGTTCCGCAAACTTTTCTGCATTTAGTTTTGTCGATAGGCCCAGAGAGTGGTACATTTTTAAGACGTTGCTGTTGGAACCACTGCAACATTGCCCGATCCAAATTTTCAAATTTGGGATTTCTTAGTTCTTTACTAGAACTGCCTGCCGCTTCAGCCTAAATTATTTTTTCTTTGTACTTCCAAATCGTGGATACAATCGACGATGTAAGTGTGTGTAAGACCTCTCAGTTTTCACTGTATATGAGATGATGATTTTCAATGCATGACTCATCAAGCTCATAATACGGTAGTCCTAGCATATAGTAGCATTTACTTTCTTGAGAAGGGGAATGAACGCAAAGTTGTCCCAAATCGTCGTCAAAATGGTTGACCCACGTTGCTTCATGTCACTTTCAACGTTTCTAGGGTTAAGAATCGAGGCACCGCCATAGACGATATGTCCAGCAGACCGATACTGAGCCGTCCGCGCACGCGCATTTACGACTCCAACTACAACATCGGGGAGAGCTACTACAAGGGAGCGCTGGACAGGCTCGACCGGAAATATACCGGCAGGCCGCTGTCGCCGCCTCCGCGTGACAACTTCGCTGAGATAGCGGAGCGTCACGCGAGAGCCTTCGCCGACGACGACCTGGAGACGTCGAGACGCCGCGCCGAGGGCAAAATCAAGGGGCGGCACCTGTTCGACTCGCGGGGCGGCGTGATCGCGCAGCGTGCCGACGATTTTTTCGAAAACGGAGCCATTACCGACGAGGTATACTTCGGCCAGAAATATACTGCTTTTGCAACCGACCCCGTGATTAAAAAATCGTCACTATCGCTACTGTCGTCACCTAGTTCAATGATCAACTCCGCCACTAATCGTTTTCGATAAATATTTTCTTCTTTTCACGCTCATTTTTCACAGTTAGACCGTATTGACGTCCCACATCACTTTTTTTTCTACCCGTTGTATTTCCCGTTACCACATGTGCCCTTTTTTCTTTCGGTACAGAGAGTGAGAAATTCGTTATACAGAGTGGATTAATACATAGCTTGGTATGGAGACTTAATAGCACAACAAATTCCGTTCGTAATACAGAGTTTTGCTATAGGGAGTTTTCACTGTATGCAGAAGACACAAGAATGTTGTTAATCGACAGGCACACAAAATAAAAATGATTATTTTCAAACTCACCCTTATCCTTTGAAGTATCCAGTGAAAACCGTTAGCGGACTCAAAGCTCAAGAGTCCGGTACATAAATACGTCCTTACTGGAAGGATCATAGCCAAATACCTCCGTAATATATAGGAACGATCACCTGATGTTAAAATAAACGCTGTTTTCATGAAATTTATCACGTCAAAGCAATAAATGCACTATATTTTTGATCGTTTTTAAATATTTTCATTGAATAAAATAAATATTCGCGAGGACCGCGCCTGCGCCATCTGTGAGCGACCCACGAAAGATCGGATTATCATGGGTAGCCGATAGATGGCGCTGCAGCGATCAATTTCGACCGTTTGGCGTGACAGATTACCGACCGACCCGTTGATCTTTTGCGATATTTCGTGTTGATGCGTAGACGGCGTCGACGATCCAACGCGTCCGCGCCTCGAAGAGGGTCGCCCTCGTCGATGACGTCGACCTGGAGTCGACGTCGAACAACCTGCGCACGCAGAGGATGCTCGACCGCTCGGAGAAGATCCTCGACAGCGTGGGCATCGTCGACGGGTCGTCTAGACGCGCCCTCGACGACGACTATTCGTACAAGAAGCGCGCGCTCAAGGTCACCTTCGACGCGGACGCCGACAACCTGACCAAGTGGTCTGCGGTCGAGGACAGGGCGTCGTCGTCGTCGGCTGCGGCGTCGAGGGCGAGGCAATCGCGGGCGAGGATCGACGACATCGACGAGGAGATGGCCGCGATGCAACAGAAGCAGGAGGCGCGGGAACGGAGGGTCGCGAGGCTGAAAGCGCTCGTTGCGGAGTGCGAGTCCGAGACCGTCGACGACTCGGGAGTCGCCAGCAGACTCTAGGCAGCTCGCGACGCCCTCGGCAGTTGCACGGAATGTTGTTTTCGATTTATTCCCGCGTGGAGGCATTTCGATCGTTTTTACTTTTTATCGTTGTGTTGTTTATTTGGTTTCGTATAGTCGACGTCGGTAATCCGGCGAGCGTATAATAATAAAACCGTTTCAAAGGCGGGCGTCGTTTTATTTGCACCGTTGGATCGGCGCCAGGCACGCGTGTCGTTTGTTATTGGGTCGCGAATTTGGCGTCGACGCTAATTGATAATAGGTAAATCTTCGCTTCACAATGATCGCCAGTCGACAATTAGACCCGAAAGAGTTCGTGACAAGTTGCCGAATATAATCGAGTTAAAGTTAGCACGACTTACTCGCTGTTTTTGTTAAGCCGACGCGATCGATTCATTTATTTCACGCACACAACACTGTGGCAGCGTTTTGAATAACTGGACATTTATTAAGTCAAAAGAAATCACCAAAACTCCGACGTAAACTTTCATATACGTCTTGTCAAAAATCGTTACGGACCACAGACCACAGAACTCGGCCGGGCTACAGAACATCGTAAACCCAGAAACCCAGAACAATAATTGCCCTTAAAGCTTTAACGAGATGTAAGCTTAGACTTGCGCAACCTCTACGTGGATCATAATAGTTTGTTTCAAACACAAGACATCATGAATTCACCCAGCGTTTTAAATAACTGCAACGTAAACTTTCATGTCTTGCGACTGTCAAAAATCGTAACGGACCGATAAATATTGTAAACAGATGAAAACTATTACGTACGTGTAACAGTAATAATTAACTGTAACGAGTTGTATCCAATATCAGAAGTTGAATCTTCAGGAACACGAAAAAATCCAAAGAAGTTTTGGTTAATGAAAACTCCCACGTAAACATTTGAACGCGGCTTGCGACCGTTAAAAATTGTAAGTGACCACAGACCACAGCGCGCCAAAGCTACAGGACATGTAACTAAAATGATGATCTATTTGTTGGAACCCACACTCTAAAATGGCAGCTTGTGCAACACCAGCAGTATGGACAGGTGCATTATCGTGCAAAAGACGCAAGCCTCTGGTCAATTTTCCTCGACGTTTTACACGTATGCAGTCTCGCAATATGTATAATAATATTGCATAATATTTATCATTGACAGTGGTATTAGTTTCTTTAAAATCTATCAAAAGAATTCCGTCACAATCCCAAAAGATCGTGGCCATCACCTTTTTTGTTGACTGGTAGACTTGGAGGTGCTTCCCCTTACGACGCCACTCCAATGATTGATAGATTGATAGAAGGTCATAATAGAGAATCATTGTTTCATCTCCCGTTACAATAGTTTGTATCACAGACTTCGGTTCCGAGCCACAGAGTTCCAAAAAGACCGCGCACGCTCGACACGGCGTTGTTTTTGAATAGCCGAAAGGTTTTTAGGAACCCATCATGCTGGATTCGACGAACACTTGTATCAGAAAGCTTAGTAATTTCTGAGATTTCCTTGACCTTTAAACGTCGATCACTCAATACCACCTTTTCCACAATCGCAACAATATCTTGACCTCCACTGGTCGACCAGTTCTTGAATCATCTTCAAGGGACTCCTGCCCTATTCGAAAATGTTTTGACCATTCTTTCACTACAGAATACGAAGGAGAACTTTGTCCTTAAACACCATCCAGCCTTTCTTTAATAATTTTAGCTGCTAACCCTTCTTTTGTCAAAAACTTTATGACTGCTCTATACTCAATTTGAGTTACTTGCGACATTTTTTCGAACACGTTTTGTTTAAAATGCTGTCAATAAAAAACTATTTGATGCAAGACTTCATTTTTTTTTCGCAGCCTACTAAGATATATATTTAAGTTAAGACAAAGTTTTGTCGTGATACTGGAGCTGCATTTACGTCAGGCTAGGAAATTTTGGCGCTAACCTCGTAAGTTAAAAGGTACTACGGTACTATTTCACAATCCGAAAAAAAACACACGACAGGTAAAAAAAAATGATTCTATTATCCTAATAACTGCGGGGGACGGGACCGCCTCCTCACAGGACATCGTCAGCGGTCTGGTAGGTGATGGTGACGTTCTTGGAGGGCCCCGCGCTGTTGACCACAGCCACCTCGCTGATATAAACGGTATCAGGGGCGAGCCCCGCGATCGTAAACGTCACTGGAGCCCTAGCCGAGGTGTCGTTGACCGGTACCGTAAAGGTACCGTTGGCAAATCCTACCGTATTCACCGCCAGGTACTGGATCTCGCACCTGTTGGTGCTATAGCTGTCCAGTTGCCACGTCATGGTTGCCGTGGTGCTGTTGGTCGCGATGCTAGACAGTTTCGGCGGCGACGGTACTGAAAATCGCTGGCTAATTCGAACCAAACTATACTACAGTCTTACCTTCGCCGTAGCTGGCCTTCTCGGACAAGCTAAACGGTCCCTCCGCCTCGGGACTGCCCAAGATCGCCCTCACCTGGAACTCGTACGTCATACAGGGTGTGACGTTCGGAATGGTGTAGCTGTTGTTGTAAACGTAGACGTCGGTGGGGTTGTCGTCGTCATCCCAGTACACCAGCCTGTAGGAGCTGACGCAGCTGGCTACGTCGGCGGAGAGCTGGGACCACGACAGCGTGATCGAGCTAGACTCGACCGTGATGTTGTCGAACGCGACGGAGAGGTTGAGGTCTACGTGAAAAAAAAAAAGCAAAAAGTTTTAGAAAATCACCGTCTACGTATATTAACTTCGCCATATTTCTGCCAAAAATCGTAACCCGGCATCAAAAAGCACAACGTTGGATAGTTGGAAACTTTGCTTAGAAGTTTTTTTTCAGTCAGTCAGATGGTATTACTTATTACTATTAATTTTTATCACACGAAATAGTTCACGTTTCTGTGAAACGTCGCGACGCCATCTGAGATTTCGAAAAAGCTATATGTCGTTGACGGCGCCGTATATCCGTCGACGTCTCCGTTTAAATCGAAAATTTCATTCAATTGACATATAATGAAGCCGATAAGAGTTTTATCGGACGTTCCGAAGATCTGCGTGATGTACAGGGCGTTTCAAAAGTGGTTCAGCTCTGCTGAAGTTATTTGGTGTAGAAGAACGTTGATTTAAATACCCGATATCAGCATAGCGGCAATGAACAATAACAAAAATAGCAACGCAAAATCACTGACCATTGAAATTCCAAAACTCAAACTCACAACTCTCATAATTTTTCAAAGAAACTTCCACTTCAGTTGAATTTAATAAATTTGCTTCAAATAAGTTATCATATGCTCGGCAGATTTATTATCCACATTACGTATTACTATTACTGAAACGACATTGTATCTTATCAACTGAAGGTTTCCGTAACCCCTAAACCGTATTATCGCACAGAATAGTTGACGTTTCAATCACTATTTGGTTTGTGGCGCCGCATATCCGTCAGCATCGCCGTTCCAATCGAAAATTTCAATCGATTTTCGATAGACACCGTAAATAAAAGTTTCACGGCGAAGATCGACGCGATATACAGAATGTCCCGTTGCGTTCCCTATCTTGTGGGTTAATTTAAGTTGAAACTTACTGGCCTTGGGCTCAGTCCTGAGCAGGTAGCTATCGGCGGGCCCGACGACGCTCTCGTTGGTCAGCGCGTGCACCTCGAAGCTGTAATTGGCGCACATCGCCAGCGAGTTGAAGTAGTACGATCTCGTCGCCGCCTGAGTCGTGTACATCTGCAGGGTGTCGTCCGACACGTCGACGATGTAGATGACGTACGTGGTGATGCCGCATCCGTCCGGATTGCTCGCTTCTGACCATAATAGCGAATAGTTGGAGGCGAACTCCACGCTATCGACCTTGCCGGGTACTACAAGGAAGCGGCGATTTACCTAGGGCTCGGTCTCTTGACTCCGACTTACCGCACTTGGACGCCGCGGGGCTCAAGAGGATCGCGAACGCGAGAGGCAGCCATATTAGCGAGCTCATCATTTTGTCTTTTGATGAGATCCCGGCCGTCGATACGATTTTTATATCGATCTGGAGTGTTTCGGGGCGATAACATCGGAAAAATCGCGTCGAGTGTTTCGAGAAACGCACATATATATATATATATATATATATATATATATATATATATATATATATATATATATATATATATATATATATATATATATATCGATGACGTTAATTATACGATGCGTTTATTGGACGACTTGAACGAAAATAATTGTACCGAACGCTCAGTAAGAACTCAAATAGTGATCCGGCCCAAAGGTAGCGTCGGGACGCTTTTTGACGACTCCTTCACGAAGAATTTATAATACAGTAAAAACTACCGATAGCGAAACTCTGTATTACGAACGAAATTTGTTGCAAAGTCTGTTCATAGATATAAAAAAGTGACTAACTAAGATACTAAACAATAATTATTTATTTATGTATGTATTTATGTTTAAATCTAAAATAAAATTACAAATTATTTTTATTACCTACTTAAATTGCTTAAAATCATTCACATAATATATCATTATCACTATCGCTATCATCGCCTGTTCTAATTATTATTTGTTCTATATTATTTCCAATATGGATATACGTTTGTTCTGCTTTTTCTATATGTTTAACAGAATTTGCCCAACTTTCTGGAGGGATGTTAAAAACTTCGGTTTCTATAAGTTTGAGGACATTGGAGTTAACACGGGGAAAAACATTGTTACGTATTCCTTTTGTAGGTTCAAGCTTTGTAGAACCTCAATTAAGTGCTTTTTGGTATAGTCTTCGTGAAAATAAATGTCGTTATTATACATGTAGGATTGTCGCTTTTGTGTGATATGAGGAAGGGGTTTTAGTCAACTGTCTACCGTGATAACCTGCATTGTCTATTACAATGACGCTATTAGGAGGAATGTTTGGAACTAGTTTATTTTTAAACCAACTTTCAAATAAAAAAGCTGTGGTGTTTTCATTGTAATCCAGAGAAGAATCTTTAATATTTTCCGCAGACAGAGAAAGTCCATTTGCAATCCAACCATCTTTAGAGCCAGTATGCAAAATAGTTATTCTTTTACCTCTTTTGCCCTTTTTCGGGGTATCATAAGTATCGAACCAGGTTTCATCCAAGTAAATAATTGGCCTTTGTCGTTCTCTGTAAATCCTAATTTTTTCTAGATATTCCAGTCGCAACAGGTAGATGATCCTTCAATAAACGCATTAACGAACATAAAACAGCTTTTAAAAACAATAGTTCAGATTCTAATTATGCTACACACTTCAACACAAAAAAACACATTTTTGACGACAATTTTGATATTTTACATACAGCCACAAAAAGTAGAAAATTAAATTTATTGGAAGCCATGGAGATTAACAAAATGAGACATTCAACTGTATTGCTTAACGATCAATTAGTTTAAATACCTCTCCATTATTAAACTTAAATTCTCACAACAACATTAATTAAGGTTTTATGGTCATTTTTACGTTTACGTTTGATAAAGACACGGTGTCGAAACAATTGTCATGTGCATTTCGTGAAACTTTGAACTTTCAGTTCTTATTTATTTTGATAAATGGATTTTTCATCAAGTACCGGCTGCCTCAGTTCAAATCTGATATACCGATATTATTTATTATATTATATCATATTATGACTAGTTGTATACGAAAATACTAACCTTCTCCAACACTTTCCTAAGCACAGAAACAAACATTTATGATATGAGCAAGGTGATTTAGCATGACCGGGTGACACAGTATGATCATGAGTAAAGCAACGTCGTCACATCCGGCATTGGATTTAATCTGTTTTAGGACTCTGCTAATGTCTTCTTGAAGAGGTGGTACAAAATCAAAAACAGAGTTTTCGATAAAAAGGGCGTCAAGCTCCAACCGCCAGGTCTGTATTTGGTAAAAGGTGAAAATGTTCCTGAGGTAGGGTAAATTTTAATTATTTTTTAACTGAAACAAAGATGCCGAAAAGCGCCAAGGACCAACCCGCCCCTTTTGGGCGTCGTCGCCTACCGCTAGGACAAAGTACAGCACAAAGCTCTTATTCACACCTGCTCACGTCTAAAAAATGTCATGGTGGTTGCATAAACACCGCGTGAAAATCGCTAGGGTCCAGATCCGGTCGGTATAGCGGCAAAATCGAACGGTTTTAATTTTGGACCCGCCGTCTGACGAATCAATCTCGGACGCGCAAATAAAACGATTATTTAACGCACTCGCGAGTTTGATTATTTGGCGGCGGGCCACCACGACGCGTAACAATAACGAAAATTATTCTCCCGAATGTCGTTTTAAAATAAACAGGTTTTGCTTTTGGCTACTTCATATCGGGACTTTTCAGCTCGTCGACGACGTCGTCGTTAGTTACGATTACGAACGAGGCGCCACCGTCGCATCATTATAGCATCTTTAGCAGTTTTTTACCCATCCCCAATAATTTACCCACAAAAATATAAAAAGAATAATTTTTAGTCTTTTAGTTTTTTGTCTATAATTGAAAAACCCTGTATATTAGCGAAAAAAGGCCTGAAATAAAAGTTATAGCACCGGATCTGCTGCGCCTTTTGTTTCAAGAATTTTGGCAATCGGGTTAATAGTTTCCAGGAGAATATTTTCAACAGTTTGAACGTAAGTGCGGAATAAATTGAACACCCTGTACAATAGCTGAAAACCTTAAATACAAATGTTTTAGCTATCCATACGGACTATACAACCGCGTAAAAGGAACTGACAACTGAAGCACAGCCGTCTGGTTGTCGTCAATTACGATTTTAAGGGGCTCCCAATGCCGGTCACACCCTGTACATTTTTGAAAATTATGAAGAATAAGGATTTATAGCACCCGATCTTATAGATCTGTTGGTTCAAGAAATTTTTCTATTGTATAACGGTTTTCGAGAAATGGCTTTTTCCTTGTAAACGCGATTTTTTTTTTTTTTTTAATACTTCTCGACTACCCCCGCCATTTTCACTAGGATGGATGCCGGCTTCGGATCGAGACCATTTCTAACAAGATTACTTTCGAAAAATCGTCGCTTTTTATTTTAAAAAGAAGGCGCTTCGCGGATTCTTGTGTCGTGCTCCCGCGGACCACTAAGGAACTTTCGCAAAATCCATGTAATTTGATTGTGAATACACCCTGTATAAAGTGTCCTTCACATCTCGTCGAACTTCAAATTTACGGCATACTTCGGTAAATATCAAAATTTGTACTGGTAATTGCAATTTAAAATTACATTATTTCAAATATCTTGCGTCCCCTGTTTTATAGACGAAACCTCAAACTCTCTCTCAACAAAGTTTACGATACCGTTCATATCAAATTCTCACATCTATAAAAGTTTTTCACGTGTTGCCAATAATTCACTCACAAAAGGATTTATTAGAATTTTTTGCCCACAAACGATAATTCCAACAATGTTCGAAATAGATAATATAGCTCTGGATCTCCTTATTATGTTTTTTGTAGACCCTTACACGTGCGATGTTTTATTTTTTTAGGATACACGCTGGGTCAGAAGACGGATTTCTCCTAAACTCAAAACAATTTTGAAAAAATATTCGCAATAACAGTGAAAACTGATACTCAAAATTGAGTTCCTCTTATAATAATAATTGACCATAACTAGAAGGCTGTGTTTCAGTTGTCAATTCGTGGGATAATTGGTCCTAGGGGACCCCCATTGGTACAGAAATAATAAGCGTCGAACAAAAAAATTTTTTTTGTCTGTTTGTCCGTTCTCCGAATGTTTAAGATTTTGCTTCTACTAAACAATTACATACATAGGAGAATTCGGCGAAAAAGTTTCAAAACATTTATCAAAAGGTGGTTTAAAAAGAGCTTCCAGAAGTAACAACACAATATGATTTTTTTTTAAAAACAATTCTAGATTCTAATTATGCTACACTCTTAAACATGGAAAAACACATTTTTGACCACAATTTTGATATTTTACACACAGCTACAAAAAGTAGAAAATTAAATTTACTGGAAGCCACGGAAATTAACAAAATGAGACGTTCAAGTGTATTGCTTAACGATCAATTAGGTTTAAATACCTCTCCATTATTAAACTTAATCCTCACAACAACATTAATCAACGTTTTGTTGTCATTTTTCGGTGTGTATATATATATATATATATATATATATATATATATATATATATATATATATATATATATATATATATATATATATATATATATATATATATATATATATATATATATATATATATATATATATATATATATATATATATATATATATATATATATATATATATATATATATATATATATATATATATATATATATATATATATATATATATATATATATATATATATATATATATATATATATATATAGATTGTCATGTGAAAATCTGAACTTTTAGTTGTTATTTATTTTGAAGGTGACGAATGTAAGCTACCCTCCATACAGCACAATGATGATGATGATGTCCATTTTTTTTTCTCTTAAAAACCCCTTAAAAACCCCAACTTCACTTGCTATTCGTATTCATAAATGTGCCTCAAGAACTTTAGAATTGACATGATGCATTCGTCAATTCATCTACGACGTTGTCCTCTAATACCTCCGTTGACAGAGAAAATCTCAAGCCAAAGCATCCGTCGGCTCTATGACGTCTATGGCGAATGATTGAAAAATAGTTCTCAACCAAAACGCAAGAAATCCAGTGTCGTACGTCGCGAGAGGCGTCCGGTTTGCTTTAGATACTTTTCCAAGGAGTAGCGGCGTTTTACCGACAACCTCCGACGCGTCGCGACGCTGCCGACCCGTCGGACGCGGAGTATCGTGGCAATTAACGTTGGAAATGTCAACGCGCGTCGCCGCGCCGCTGCTGGCAAAGCGACAAATTATTTACGCGGTGGACGTCGTCCCCGGCGATGCACCAGGTGCCCCCCGGGCCAATAAAGTGTGCGATTGGCACCTCCGGTGGTAGGGACACTCCGACGTCGTTCCCCGAATAAATATTGCACGTCAGACTGTCAAAGGCAGTCGAGTGGTGCCGTAGGATCGAAGCGCCAAGCGTGCAAGTGATTTTTTTTGTACCATCCCCTGAACCATGGACGACGATGGCGCCGATTGGATGTCCGCCGCCGCTGACGACGAGCCCGCGGCCGCCCCGGCGGCGGAGGCGCCCAAAGCGGCAGAAGAAGTAGGGGGCGAAGCCCCGGCCGAAGGGGGCCAGTCTGCCGACGCGGAGGCGGAAGAAGCCGCCGCCGCAGAAGCCGAAGGCGAATACCTGGACCCCGACAAGCTACTACTCTTCAAGCATTGGATCAGGTACGCGAGGGGGGGTGTTTTTTGTAGCATTTTTGCTGGTCGCGTCCGCTCAGGTGTCCGCGCCTAATTATAGGACAATGGTTGTGTAATCGGCTGACTTTTTACGCCGTCGGTTATTGTTTTTCTTCCCGTCGCCGAATATAGTCCGAGTAATTAGCGGCGACCTTCTTTACGTACGGGGCGGGACCGTAAAGTGCGTGTGCGCACAAGAACAAAAGACATCTTCGAAATACGATTTTCTTTTACATACTTATAATATCTATATAATATAATATCTTCCCCCCACTAGATTTGGCAACAACGTGCTGAAACCACGACTAAAATTAACAATACTAATCGACAATAGTCTCCGTTACGACTTATATAATTGAGCATTTCCTTTAAAAAGAAAATCAAAGGCTACTTACTTGCTAATTGCTTTTATACGGTTATTACATTAATTTTTTATCATTTTTAAAAAAATATTTTGTATTCTTATTTCCTTTTTATGTTTTTTATACTTATCTCTGTATATCTAACTTATATTTTCCTATTTTTTTTTTACTTGCTACAATTAATTTATTGGAAAAATATAAAATTTACCAAAAACGTGATGTCTCTGTCCACAATCCTTAGTTTCTTAGTTAGTTTTGGATAAAAACAGGTTTAAAGAAATTTTTTAAGAAGGAACACGTTCGAGTTTTTCTAAAATAAGTAAAAAAAGCATCTTTTATTAACTGCATTATTATGGACATGGGGTACTGACAATTGGATAACCAATTGTCGGTACCCGACGTTCATCTAATTGCCATGTTGCTGAACAAAAATGTTATTAAAAAAAAAACGAATAAAATAGTTTTTTTGGACACCCTAAGAACCAAGCGGTGGACCCACGTCCGCTTTATCTAGAATTAGTTAAAGATTTACCTTTTTCATTTAACATTTGAGAAGAAAAAGTCAAATGCAAAAGTTGTTTCAAAAACACTAAGCTATTTGCAAGATGTATTTATTTATACAGATAGAAGTTATATATTTCTTAACTGAACAGCCTGTATATTATACGCTGAATACAATGCCCTAAAAACTGCACATGGCCTGTATAATATGTCCCATACACAAAATTAAATCGTTCTCGAGGTATAAGATAAAAGCAACATTCAAAAATAAGATAATATCCTACCATTTATTATTTATATCTTGGGCGGCTGTGAAATAGGTCGCCACCAAAAAACAAAATGTTTGTTTATAACTGACAGTGACAGTTACCGGCTACGCATTTAGCAAAACTTACGTTCTTTTTATTACAAACACGGCCGAATTGCCTCCTCAAAAACAAAAAATATCTTTCATCGAGTCTATGAAAAATATCAACAAAAGAGAGGAAGATGTGGAGATATGATTTAAGGGCTATTCTTATTTCGTGTTTATGTTTTTTGTACTTTTTGTACTAATTGTATAATTTACATTTTCCGTTTTTATTTTCATATGAAAAATGTCGGAAAGTCCGAGAACTCTCATGGTCTGTTATAAACAAACATTTTGTTTTTCGGTGACGATCTACTTCACAGCCAAGGATGGGGGGGATATGTTTAAACTTCGAGATTTTGCTCTCGGCAACGTCGCGTTAAGCCGGGTCCAGACGGATATGTACTTCGTAACGTAACATCGTTGTCACTTCCTTATATCTATGAACAGACCGTACCCGTCTGGACCGGGCTTTCCTTTTCGCCGGTCCCCCGTACGCGTGGATGATCGATCGGGCTCGAAACGCCGCGCAATTTATTTTTAATCGCGCGTATCGATCAAAACGCGCGCCAGTTAAGAGTGCCGAACGGTAAGTAGCGAATTTTTCATTGCTTGCCCCTCCCCTTACCGTTCGATGCTTTTTCGCATTTGCGGCGAATTAAATTTTTTTGCGACCATAGGAAAATACCGGAACCAATTTTCACCGTTGTTGTTGTGTGTTGTTTCGATATAGGCCGAAGAAAGGATCAAAATTTGAATTTGGCGCCGTCTAGCGAGAGCTGCGGGAACCGGTTTGTCGTGTCGTGTGCTTTTTATATTTATATATGCCGTCGTTTTTTGGGCTGATACTAGAAAATAAGTGTCCCTTGAAAAGCCTTTTTTATCATTACTTTTGAAATTGGTATCCGAATAGAACGTAAAAAGACCTTTAAAAAGAGGTATCACATGACCCCCTTTATCATTTAAAAAATACTTAAAATGGCGCCGTGCTGTAATTTTGACATTTTTTGATATTGTTATTGTCATATTTAATTCACCAGAGGGCGCATTTGAATTTTAAAACCCGTTTTCTGCATCTTTTTAATCATACTTAAAGTGGACACTGTTTTAAAGCTGGGACAAATTTAAATCTCTCTTGTTTTTAGTCTATCTCTAAAAGGAAAGCGATGAGAATAAATATCGTTAACTCCCAAATGGATATGATATGATATCGAACGTGCGATTGCGATTGAGCACCTTGCCACCAGATGGCACTAACCTTCCACAATTTGGCTTTCGTGTGCCTCAAAAGCGAGGTTATGGTGAGATCACGCCGCTCTTCCTTTATAGGCCGCGGTTCCTCCACTACAAGTACATCTACGACTACCGTCGCAACTACTACGACGACGTCATCGACTACCTCGACAAGCGGATAAAGGGGATCAACCGGGACATCCCGGTGCCACAGACCTGGGCCGAGAGGGCGCTGCGCACCTACAACAGCAAGGTCAACAAGTTCGAGACGTTCCGCAGGCAGCTGCGCGACATCCAGCTGGTGGAGGACACCAGGTTCAGCGGCAAGTTCCACCTCCACCACAGCAAGAACTACTTCAACAAGAAGTACTACAGTCTCCTGTATTAGTAGATAACGTCGGGAATAAAAGTCGTTCACTTTTTAAACCGCCGTTTTATTGACGCCGTCCCCGTAGCCGCGCGCGACGCCCCACGTGACCGTTTTGTTGTATCCTCAGGCCGAGGTACTTGCAGTACCGGTACCTCTACGAGTACCGCAGGAACTACTACGACGACGTCATGGAGGCGGTCGAGAGGCGCCAGAAGGGTTTCAGACGGGACATCCCGAGGCCGCAGACGTGGGCCGAAAGGGCGCTGCGCACATACAACGACCCCCTGCGGAAGCTCGAGGAGTTCGACCGCCGCCTAGAGGATGTCAGGCTGGTGACCCGATCCGAGATAAGCGGCACCTTTTACAACTACTACGCGAAGCAGAACTTCAACAAGCGCTACTCGAAACTGCTGTACTAGCCACGATTAAACGGCTCACGGTTTTGTTATTTCATTTTGAGGTTAGAAAGAAGCTAATTTTGCACTAATCGAAGCGTTTTTTAATTTACAACGCGAATCATCTTCAAATTGTGGCGCTGTGAAGGTAAAACCCTTTTAATCGTGGTAGAATCAATATTACGTAGATCGCTTTTTAATTAATTGGGGCCCCGCGTGGCATTTCCGTAGTTCAAATTAAATGTGGCTCCACCGCGCGCTCCCCTTTCTAAAATCGCGCTAACTTAATTAAATTGTGGCGGTCCTCTTATGGTATTTAAAATAAAATTGTGGCGTCCACCTTTGTTGAGGCACTTATTTTAACAATGCGAGGCTCCCATTTTGAGGCGATTCCATCGTTTAAACTGCGAGGCCTGTCATTTAAAATTAAACGTGCCTCGAAAAGTAAATAAATTGTAGAAATTGTAAAAACAAATTGTGGTTCCGACTTCAAATTACGGCGCCCACTCAGTAATTCTACAACGACTTTTTAATTGTGGGGCGCATCTTGTAGAATCGATTTTTAACTAAATCGTGATTCAGTTAATATTTAAATCGTAACGCCCATCTTAAGTTTAAACTGAGAGGCTCGTCTTTTACAACCTCCAATTTAAATTAATTGTGGCTCAATTGGCAAATAAATAGTCTAAATTGTAGAAAAAAAATATGGTTCCAGCTTCAAATTGTGGCCCCCAACGCGTAATTCTTCAAAGATCTTTTAATTGTGGCGCGCATCTTGTAGAATCGGTTTTGAAATAAATTGTGGCGCCCCGATTTAAAATCTTTTAAACAACGTGCTCGAGAAGTAAATCGTGAATTTAATTGTGGTTAGTTTTGGTTTGTGAATATTTAAATAAATTCGATATATAAATTGAGGGGCTCGTCTTTGAGAATCTCAGATTTAAATTAATTGTGGCTCAATTGGCAAATAAATAGTCTAAATTGTAGAAAAAAAATATGGTGCCAGCTTCAAATTGTGGCCCCCAACGCGTAATTCTTCAAAGATCTTTTAATTGTGGCGCGCATCTTGTAGAATCGGTTTTGAAATAAATTGTGGCGCCCCGATTTAATATCTTTTAAACAACGTGCTCGAGAAGTAAATCGTGAATTTAATTGTGGTTAGTTTTGGTTTGTGAATATTTAAATAAATTCGATATATAAATTGAGGGGCTCGTCTTTGAGAATCTCAGATTTAAATTAATTGTGGCTCAATTGGCAAATAAATAGTCTAAATTGTAGAAAAAAAATATGGTGCCAGCTTCAAATTGTGGCCCCCAACGCGTAATTCTTCAAAGATCTTTTAATTGTGGCGCGCATCTTGTAGAATCGGTTTTGAAATAAATTGTGGCGCCCCGATTTAATATCTTTTAAACAACGTGCTCGAGAAGTAAATCGTGAATTTAATTGTGGTTAGTTTTGGTTTGTGAATATTTAAATAAATTCGATATATAAATTGAGGGGCTCGTCTTCGAGAATCTCCGATTTAAATTAATTGTGGCTCGATCGGCGCAAATGTTTCGACCCGGGGCGAAATAAAACCACCCCCACTCCGGTATCAGTTCAAATAACCAGCAATGTTTATTTCTCATATCAATTACACGTAGAGACGACACTATAGTAGGTAGTAGGATAGAAAAAAACGCCGAAACGTCGGCGGAAACGCGCGAAAATGGCCGAACGGACAATGTACAGCGAGGGCGGCGTCCCGGTTGCGGGAGGAAAAAAAACGCCGGGCGCGCGCGCGGGGGGCGGTTCGACACTTTGCTCGCCGCCCTCCCGCCACATTTAAAATCTTTAAAAACATCAACACTTACTGGATAATATTTTGTATCGGAAACTGATTAAATACAAACGTTTAAGTCTATATATATGTATATGTACGCGCACTCGCTCGAAGCCACCACGAAAACGACAGTCTACTGGGCCTGCGGGTCGCATTGCAACAGCCTCACTATGGACGGGTCGCTCTTGGCGCCCTCTATGAACTCCTCTAGGCTCAGTTTGCCGTCCTTGTTGCGGTCCATCTGGCGGAAAATCTTGTCGGTCCGCTTCTCAGGCGTGCTCTCGTCCTCGGGCATCTTCATCACCGAGCCGACCATCTTGTAGATGGCCTGGAAAAAGCCGGGGGTGCTAGCCGGCGACCGCGACGAAGTCCACCGCGACTTACCGTGACGATCTCGAGCATCTCCTGGCGCGATATGTACCCGTTACCGTCGAGGTCGTACATTGAGAACGCCCACTTGAGCTTCTGCTCGAGCTTGCCCCTCGAGGTGACGGAGAGGGCGCACAGGAACTCCCGGAAGTCGATCGTGCCGTCGCCGTTGGCGTCGAATGTGCGGAACACGTGTTCCGCGAACTTGCTCGCGTCGCCGTACGGGAAAAAGTTGCCGTAGATCTTCTTGAACTCGTCCACGGAGAGATGGCCGCTCGGGCAGTCCTTCAGGAACCCCTTGTACCATTCCTGGATCTCGGCATCTGCGGAGGGGAAGAGTTAGAGACGCACGGCCGCGAAAAGGACGCCCGCACTGACCGGTAAACTCGGTGTTTTGCTTCAGGTCTTCCAAAACCTCGGGCTTGAGCTTGCTGTTCTGCTTACCCATGACTAGTAGACAAGATCTATCTGGGGGGAGGAGGGCTAGGGAGTCGCTATCGCTAACGCATCGTCCTCGGCCCTAACCCGATTGTGTCGTCGCTCGCATGGAGTTGAGATTCTCGTCTAAAACACTGACGCACAGGTCATGGCGACGACCCCGGCCGAGCTGGCGACACCGCACGGTGGAATGAATAAAAAAATATAAAAAACTCAAACCATAACGACCGGTCCACTGTGCGGTGCGCGCATCGGCGAACAATTCCGAGGCGACCCGAACGTTCCCGAAGTCCGCGCGCACACTCACACTCTCTCGGGAGAAAAAAAAACAACCCGTCATCGTCCAAATGTTTGATATTTTTTAATTGTCGTTAAATACTTCGAGGTGTGGAGGGGGGTGATGAAAATTTCCGGGGACGGGTGGAGGAAGGGTAGTATTAATATTTGACATTGCCACCGATAAAATTGCGTTAATTAACTCTTTTATTTGTATTAGTCCTTAACTTCTAAGAATTGCCTCTGATTTTCTCGTACGCCTACACATATGTAACGGTTCCACCTTCGCTTACATTAATTACCATTCCTTACACGCTACGACATCTAAAAAATGAAGCGCAAATACATCGGCGCGTATCGTACAAAGTGTGTGCTCGAGTAGAAAAATACGGACAGAAGAGAGAAAGCAATAATAACGTTGGAAAAATAGTTTTTTTTAGTCCGGTCCGTTAGGTCTGACCTAAGTACGGATGATAACGCGTTATCACATCTCGGTTACTAAATATGTCGAGGGTTGGGGAAGCGGACGGCGCAGGTCGCGAACCAAGCTTACATCGACAATTTACACTGTAAGTCGGCGTTCGTGGTGGAACGCTGTAAGCGCTACACGACCTTCACATGACAATTGAACATCTTTACACCGTCCTCTATACGCTTACAGAGTCGATTAGATATACTCTGTAAGCTTACATACAGTAAGCGGCAAACTCCGACAGTTACACAGTAAGTCGACACCTTCATATCGCGCTTTCAGCGTCAAAGACATTCGCCGGGTTACACTGTAAGCGTTACATTGCGTCGAGCTTTATAGAGCAACTGACCATCTTCGCGTCGTCTTCTGTGCGCTTACAGCGTCAACCATAGGTACCCTGTGAGTTTACATATTTATAAGATTACAGTAATCGAGTGGCACAGTAATCTAGGACAGTTACACTGTAAGTTGACAACTTCATATCGCGCTTACAACGGACCATCCTCGCGTCGTCTTCTATGCGCTTACAGCGTCAACCAGAGGTACCCTGTATATTTATAACACTGCAGGGAATTGGGTGACACTGTAAGGTTTCAAGCGCGGTGGACCGGAAACCAATCGCAAACTTACGTGTCGTGTAAACTATGGCGGATGACGCGCGCAGTTGCCCGACGCGAAGACCGCTGGCCGCTCCGGTTGCACACTGTGGCCCCCCCGTGACTGAGACGTATCGTGATTACGGCGCTTTGGCATGTCCGCGGCCGATTAAAAAGTCGCCGCCGCCGTCACGTGCGAACGCGTTGAGGCGGGCGCCGCGATCGCCCTGGCAACCTCCAAGACAAACACCCAAGTAGCGGAAGAAACTTCGCGTGAGATCGGACCACCTTAATCGCGCCGCGTTAATTGATGGCGACTCGACACGCGCGCCGAAATCGGAAGCTTGATGTGCTTCGGCGAGCATTACAATGTAAATACTCTTCGGCTTACAGCGTAATCTTATGTTGCGGGGTTTCCCGGCTACTACATACCATTTTACACTGTAATGAAGCGGGTGTTACATTGTAAGGATCTAAAATTTGTCCCGCGTTCGCGAACGTATTACAGAAGTAAAGTGTAAGCGGGAGACGTGCGGAGCGACCGTGTTTTCGGCGGGGCAACGTCCGAAACCCCGAAAACCTGTGATATGCTTAAGAATTACACGAGAAAGAAGATAGATAGATAGACTTACGTCGTAAAACACTGATAAATCTGCAAACTGTGTGTTTGTGTGTGTGTGTGTGGCTTTGTGTCCGTATGTAGATATAGACGAGTGGGCAATAGCCTGGTCGTAGATTGTTCATTGCACGTACTAAACCCTAAGTAAATGCACAGAAGGAAAGAAGAAAGGGGAGGGTCGCGGTCACAAACGCGTTGCCCGGACCTATCCCTTTCGGCGTAATTGACTCGAAATGTATAGGGCGGCCCCGGTCGAATGTCCCCTTAAACGGTTTAATTTAAAAGTAACGAAAATGAGTTTCGGCCGTCATTTGACGCGCATTTTTGGGTCCTGTATAAAATACCGATAAAAATTGAGTTTTCTTTTTTGTTTTCCAGGCAGATCTGACAACGCGGCTTTCCTATTTCTTAAGTTCTTTAACCGGACACTCGGAGCGGATCGCCGGGGGGGGGGGGGGCGCTTGGTCTGGGGGGCGTGGCGGACTTGTGCGGATGCCAGCTACACACATTTTATATATATATATATATATATATATATATATATATATATATATATATATATATATATATATATATATATATATATATATATATATATATATATATATATATATATATGTATATATAATATATTAAAAAAATGCCGAACAGTTGTATGTACAAGTGCGTGTCTCTCTGTATATCGTCGGTGTTGAACCCGCGAGGTGGCGCGACGAGCGACGCCGCCGTCACACTAAACACCTATACATAGTTGTCAGAGTGGGGGGGTTGGAGGGAGAGGGCGGGGCGCGCGGGCACCGGCCGGTCGGCGGTTAGGCTTATTAAGGCGCCAGCATCTTCGACAGCTCCTCGTCCTGCAGACACCCTTTCAGGAACTCGTCCTGCGTTAGCTGACCGTCGTTGTTCTCGTCCATCTTGGCGAAGATGTTCTTGGCCCGTTCCTCGGCCGAATCCGCGGGCCTGTTCGACGAGCACGCGCCCAACATGTCGTAGATCGCCTGAAAACGTCCCGAGACATTCGCGTCAACCTCCCACCTACCCCGATTTTACGCCTGCAATTCTTACAGAGTGAAATATGAGCAACTCCCATGACTATACTTTACGGCGACCACATAATTGTAATAAACAAAATATTCTCCGAAATTATAGAAATATTTTACATCTATAATGATTACGGATTACGGCTGAGCAATTTTACTTACTTTGTAATTGTAATAAAAAAACTACCCTGGGGGCAATTTGTTTAAAAAAATGCCCTCAGAACTTGGATTTGCAAAATTGAAATTTTACATCTGTAATAATTACAGCGTGAGGCTCAGGTAATTTATATCTGCTGATGTAAATCGCATGAAAAGTGTAACAAGACAGACCAATCCCTGCACCTCGAACTTGACATCTGCAATTATTTTACATCTCTAATGCTTATGGTATGAAGGGCTAAGGTATTTTTGTGTTAAACGCCCTTTGACTTCCTTCGCAATTGTAATAAAAATAAAGTACCCTGAATACTACCACTGGACTTCTAGAATTATAATTTTACATCTGTAATGATTACAACGAGAGGCTAAGATGATTTATTTCTTCTAATGTAATTCGCATGAGAATTGTAATAACACAGACCTACCCCTGGACTTCGAACTTGACATCTGTAATTATTTTACACCTGTAATGCTTACGGCGCGGGCGGCTGAGTAATTTTTTGTGCACCAAAATTAACTCTTTTTTACTTCCTTTGTAATTGTAATTTGAAAAACTATCCTCAGCACTTGAATATAACTATTTCTAGACTTCTAGGATGGAAATTTTACATCTGTAATGATTACAGAGTGAAGCTGAGATGATCTATTCTTTCTAATCTTAATCGCATGAGAATTGTAATAAAACCGACCTATCCCTGAACTTCGAACTTGATACCTGCAATTCTATAAATATTTTACGTCCGTAATGCTTATAGCGCGGAGGGCTGAGCTATTTTTTGTGTACCACAATTAAATCCTTTTCACTTCCTTTGTAATTGTAATTAAAAAAAAAACTACCTTCAGCACTTGAATATTACTACTTCTAGACTTCTAGAATTGAAATTTTACATCTGTAATGATTACAGAGTGAAGCTGAGATTATTTGTTCCTTCTAATGTTAATCGCATGAGAATTGTAATCAAACCGACCTATCCCTGGACTTCGAACTCGATTGTAATGAAAAATCTGGCGACGCAAACGTTTTGGTCATGCAAATTTAAAATGACAGCACACGTAATTTGAAAAAGAAATTTTGTCCTAAAGGGGGGAGGAGCTCTCACCGTACCTGCACAATCTTCGTCATCTCCTGTATATCGATAACGCCGTTGCCGTCGACGTCGTACATCCTGAAGGCCCACTTGAGCTTCTCCTCTGGCGTGCCGCTCGACGTTACATCGATCGCCAGCAGGAATTCCTGCGAACACCGGCGTGAATACGAAACAGAAACGAGCGGGCGGGCGGGCGGCGCGGAGGGGTCGGAGGGGGAAGGCAAACAATCTTAAATAGTTTATGAGGACCCGGGAGGCGGACGGGCGAGATGAGGACGGCGCGAGATCGATGACGACAGAGGCGCGACCCTGGGGATACGCCACGATGGATTAAAAAAAATTTAGATTAAAACTCTGGTCGTTTCGGACTAAATCAGTGAGACTGGAATTGCATTTTGTGCAGCTTCGGATACTAGAGCATCTGCCCCGCCAACGGGTCCAATGGGGGGGGGGGTCGAATTTGGGGCACACACTCACTGACCTTGAAGTCGATATACCCGTTTTTGTCCATATCGAATGTGCGGAACACGTGGTCGCAGAACTCTTCCGCGTTGCCGCTAGGGAAGAACATCTTGTACATGTCGACGAACTTGGCGGGCGTCAGTCTGCCGTTGGGACAGTCTTGCTGCAACAGAAAAGAGAGTGGGTTGGATAAATTGTACCGGCGCATCCGCCAGTTTACAAAAACTGGAAAACTAGTGCCTCACTGCGGGTACTCGAACGTTCGATAGTCGCCGCAAGATGGCGCCAGCGGGCCATAAACGCGAATCACGGTTTGGGCATTTTTCATACAATATAAACTTCTGCCTTAACTTGTTTCGTCTCGGAGATAAAAGTTTTTTAAAAAAATCGGTATTTTATTAATTACCCAAGATTTTTCTAGCTGACTGTGACGAAAACTTAAAAGTTGATTTATCGTGAGTTGTTGTAATGCTCCCAATTTTATTATTTAAAATAAAATTGTTCATTTGAGTGGCGTCGGAGAGGACGATATAATTGACATCTATGAGTAATTCGAAACGTCCAAAAATTAAACAGAAAAAAAAAAACTGAGCGGAAATCTAGTATATAAGTAAGTATAAATAATACATTTATATTATACAGGTTGAGCCATTTTAAACGGCCAGCCCTTTAATTTATATTTTTGTTTTCCAATTAAAAAAACAAGACGTCCTTTTCAATATTATTAATAACAATTTGACAAAAGGGAAAAATAAAATCTAAACTCCAGTTAAAAAAAAAAACAATTTTTTTAATGTTTATATTTTATTTTATTAATAAATAAGTAATAAAATCTAATTATCAACACAACACAACACAAATTCAACAAGTTAAAAATTGGAGCCAGTCTCTGAGTATTCGTTATCAGTTTCGGTAACCGAAATCTCAGAAAATGAAAGGTCAGGGCAAGTTATTAAGCTTAAAACTTTTTTTTTATGTAAGGATCAGAACTTATTTGCATAAGATTAAAAACATCTTCCTTTGTTTTCAATAATCTTCTGCACTGATCTGAAAATTTGAAGAGTTACACGATCTGGTTAACAGTTGATCAGTAGAGTTAAAATCTTTTGATGTTGCACCTTTTCCTCAAGATTTTTAGAATACAGTGGAACCATCGAAGATTTAAAAACGCTAGAACCTTCTGCTTCCATTCCAACGAACACTTGCTTATAGGATGAATACCCGGAACTCCCGTCACTTCGAAACTAAGGTTAAATCACGTAGAACTTCTGGTTCCTCTTGCGGAAAGCTGTTATTCTTAAATATAGGAAATTCAAACATCGCCTCAAGCCGCTCTTTGCTATTTTCAATAAATCTCAACTCTTTTCGACATGCTTTCACCCATTTCTCTCTTAATCGAGAAGTAAAATGAGCAATTTATTGATTGAGAGAACGTACCTCAGAATCAGGACAATTTACAAAAAATTTCATGTGATTTTTCAAAAATGCACATCGTTCTTCAAAATTTTTACACCCAAAAGACTTCATTTTATTCCGCAATTCCATTCTTATAATGCAAAAATCATTTGCATTCGAACCTAAAAATATAAAATAATAAAAATTGAAACTTAACATTTTACAAATTTGGAACATATTTTTCGAAAAAATAAAAAAAACTTTGGGACACGAATAGTCTTGCTATGTTCTGGTATAAAAATCGTTTTGTGATAGGGTGTGATAGTAAAAAGCCTCTGCCTATGTAAACATAAATTTAGGTTATAATAAATAATTCTTTGCCTTTAAAGATAATGACATAACGAACACATACCTGATGCTACTTGGTCCATTTAAAAGACATAATTCTCTATATACGGAATAAATTATTTGCTTGAAAGAAACTAAAGACGCTTACTATCTAAACAGAATTTGTCACAGTCAGCGAAATTTGTAGGATCTTCTTTTACTCCTATTGGCCGATACTGCTAGGATCATTCGGCCATTTTCTCGGTCGAATTTGCAGGTTGGTATGTGTCCTTCCAAAACATATAATAGTAAGGCGTTCATAGCCAACCTGACTTTTTTATTTAATTCCGCATTTTGGTTAGTTTTTGTTGTGCGGCGCGGCAAAATGGCGACGAATAAAACGCGAACCGGTCGTGTCAATTATCGCCCGCTCAATATGGCGGTCCGCGGCCGCCCGGGACGCGCTCCTCCCGTCCAACAAAAACCAATAAAAGCTGATTAACGATGTATATATCTCAGCGCGTTCTGTTTACGCGGATAAAACCGGACGATACGCCGCTGTAAATCTCCTTAATCGCCCCGCGAACGTGTACATAAAAACCCACGTCGGGCACCGCCGACCATATACAGGGAGTTACAAGATAAGGTAAGCAAAAAAACAAAATATAGCGTTAGTAGCTAAGTGACGTATAAAACAAAACACTATCAATTTTCTGACATATAAGCCTATATATCACGGAAAGAGAATCAAAAAGAACTAAGTGCAACTTGCGTCGTTGTACTTCGCGACGGTCTTTCTCTACATGATGTAGGTCGGGAGTCTGGCGAAATCTCCAGCGCGGCGCGAACAAAGCCGGTTGCCATGGTTACGGACGGACAGTCGGCTCGCACGGCATAATGAGCGCATTCACTAGATCGAGAGTCAGCAAAACCTTTCTCTAACACATAAAGGCCCTGTTAATGTTTTATTTCGTTTCTTTCAAGCAAACGAACCTAAATATTTTTAAAAATCCGATATCAATATTTTGTTTTAATCTATATTAAATGAAAAACTCTTTTGTTGTTAAATTGCTACTTTTAGGACACCCTTTATCATTATTTTTTTATTTACTTAGTTCTTATTTATTTTGTTAAATGGATTTTCATCAAGTAAAAGCCACCTCAGTTCAGTAATGTTTTGTGGTGCTATCGAATCGAATTTGTAGCCTTTATTAAAATGTTTAATTTTTAATAACTTCAGAAGTCGTTTTTTCGAGTAGCTCTCTTCATTCTTCATTTCTTCTTTACTTGAAAAAGTACTTGCAATTTTTCTAATTTGGACTGAATGATCCAACACAATAACAGTTTTGGCAGCAGTTCATTTTTAAACCAGTCCTCAAATATTTCCGAGGTCAGGTTTTTGGCAGACAAAAATAAGGCATCTTTCGCCCAATCATTTTTGGACCCAGCATGAAGAATTTTTATGCGTTTTCCATGCGACGGCGGGACGTCCATTACACACTTGTTACTGTTATCATACCATCCTTTTTTTACTCCACCCTTATTAATTGTTTGGAGCTGAAAATCCATTTTCTTCAAAAACGTGCGCAACAACTCTTTCACACAACTAATGTTTAAACCTGTCAGTACTTTTTTATGCGCTTCCACTAGGGTCAAAACACTAAGCGTCTTAGATTATCCGCCTAATTAGATCTGCATGTTGCGAAGTACCAGCGTCTTCTCTCACATTCCTCTTGACTATCCCATTTGCAACGATTTTACCTTACAGTCGACTTCGGAACTTGGTCATGTCACAACGAAACTTATATCGCGGCAACGGTAGGTCCTAGGGGACCGCCATTGGTACAGAAATGATCAGCGTCGAAAAAAAAAACGTTTTTTTTTCTGTTCTCCGTTTCTCTGTAACCCGGCAATAATTGGCTATATCTTTTGAACGGTTTGCAGCGCGACCTTCAAATTTGGCTCATTTTAAGCCGGGCACGAGGTACAGAAACCAGTAAAAAATGGGTCCGATCAATCCAAGGCGTCCATTTTTTTTTTTGGATTTTCATCTGTTTTTTGGTTAGTGTCCGAAATTTGAAGCCATCCAATTGAAATTTGACAGATATCTAGGGCTTAGCTCCGTAACGAAGCCTATTGAAACCAAACGACGCGCAAGATCCGGGCCAAAAACCTTTATTCTTGATGATTTTTTAAAAATGTACAGGGTGCATCGGTAATTTGCCAAAAACTGAAAATTGATCTCCCTTTGTAATGCTAATTGTAGCTAATTGTAGCTATCGATTTTAAATTTGGCAAGGAAGTAAAAGTCCATAACCACATCTAAACAGTAGAATTTCAGGGTAATCAAGTATCACTAAATATTATTTTAAAAATTTTGAAAAATTTTCTTTGAATATTTTGGCTTCCAGGAAAACATGATTTTCTCAAAAACTGTTCAACCGATCAGAAAAATTTTAGAACCAGGAAATGCGGGAGATCGAGGGCTATGACTTTTATTTCAAACATTTTTTCGATTGCGGACAGGTTTTTCAATTGTGGACAAAAACGTAAAAAAGCCACATCGAGAGCTACAATTTTTGTACTTACGGTTTTTACATACGAGATATTTGAAAAAATCCATTTGAAAATCACAATTCCTCGCCTTCAATCGAGACGCGATGACGTCATTGATTATTACGGCATGGTTTCGGAAAACAAGTATTGTCTTGAAAATCACTTTACTCTATTGAAAAAAATCATACACCAGGAAAGTGGGAGATCCAGGGCTATCATCCCTATTTCGAACATTGTTTGAATTATATACAGGGTGTGTCGATTATTGGCAGAAAATCTAAAAGTTCCTTAAAATTTCCATTTTTGTGGGTAAATTATTAGCGATAAATGAAAAACTCTTAAAGATTTGGGGATGAAATCAGTACGGTTTCTAGTGTTATAGTCATGAACATTCTTAAAGTAACTAACCCTGTTACCATTGTATGGCGGCATCATTTTATTTTTGATGTTAAATATAAATATAAAGATATCGAACATTTCTTTTTGCTTTGCCGTTAATATTTGTAACACATTTAACATAGTCATCACAGGTTTAGAATTGTTTTGTATTTTCTGGAGTTCCGTTAGTCTATAATTAGGTGTACTAAAGTTGAACAGTATTGCAAATGTGGCGCCGCCAAGCTATTGTAAAGTGACAGCCTTTTGTGGATATCGTGGATATAATACAATTCCCAAATATTTTATATGTTTCTCATATTGGAAATTAACGCCATTGATATTAATATTAACACTCTCCAGGTCCAAACCACTCAATCTATGTTTTTGCCATGCAAACAGAACTTCGGCTTCATGACATTTATTTCTTATAAAATTGTAAACAGTCAAACCAACTGGTCCGTTTTTTTCTTTGCTGAGGTAGTTCATCTTTTAAATTGTCATTGGATTCGACTACAATCTCCGCTTCGTCTTCGAATTCTGCGTTGGTTTCCACATGAAACAGTGAAAAGAGCCTCGAGAATCGACTTACTGGAAGGACCACAGTAAAACGCCTCCGCAATATATACGAACGTATTGCAATTTAGACGAAACTCTTAAGAAAGATACATATCACCTGATCTTAAAATAAACGCATCTATTTGGTCGAAAATACCCCGCGGCATCAACGCTTAATCGAATTTAAAACGGTCCATTTAAGTTTTAAATAAAAATTACAAGTTTTTGCAAATATTCGTTCCGGCCCATCTCGGGCAAGACCCACTGAATACAGAATAAACATCTCTTGGGATGGGTTGTACCATGGTCCTGTTAAGCTTAAATCGTCAAAGCAATAAATGCACTATATTTTTGGTCGAATTATAACCGCTGGCTTGAGAATTGTTTCGGACCATTGTGACCATTGAAACGTCAACAATAATTTTGCAACGTTTGTTGTCAGTGTCATTTTGATAATGTTTTATTTATACAATTTTCCGTGTGAAAAGTGGAGGGGATTTTTTTTTGAAGAAATTAGCATTTGACGAAATTGAAAATACGGGAAACCAGTAAAGGTAAGTTTGAGACTAATTTTATGCTAAGTAAATTACTCTAAAAGGCAATTTTCCTTAAAAAATTCTACATACTTTTGAGTCATATTAAAAAAATAGCTGAAAAAAGTATGTTCGTAACTTATTAAGCAATATGTTACAATTTTAGCATAATTTAGGGATGCTGTTAATATTAAAGTAACATGTCAGATGCAATCTTGCTTCCACCCGCTCCATTTTACAAAAATAATTTTTAAAAAACGTACCGGGTGGGCAAAAAAAAAACGGAGAAAAATGTTTTTCGTTATAAATTTTGTCCTATTAATATAAAAATTTGTTTTCTTTTTTTTTATAGAATGTAACTTAAGTTTGATTCATGTAAGACATTGTTGTTATTTTTGCCATTTCAGTAATGAAAGGTACTGAACTAAGATGGCTTTTACTTGATGAAAATCTATTTAACAAGATAAATAAGAACTAAAAGTTCAGATTTTCACGAAATTATATATTTTCACATGACAATTGCTTCGACAATACCGTGTCTTCATCAAATGTAATATTTACAAACTACCTGCTACTACATATAACGAAAAATGACATTAATTAATGTTGTTGTGCGAAGTTTAATAAAGGTATTTCAATCTACTTGCATCACAGTCATGCATAACAGCTCAAATCGCCCTTATGCACACAAAATGGCTGCATTTCACTCTTTTATACACAGACTTCTTAATACGCCACTCTCAACAGAAAATTACAACAAAGAATTTAATATCATTAAACAAATTGCACTGAACAACGGCTACAAGATAAAATTATAAATAAAAAACAAATCCCGACAACAGTAAACTCTATTTATCCGAAACCTAATACAGAACACGAACGATTTAAAACAATTACATACATAGCAGAACCCAGTGAAAAAGTTTCAAAACATTTGTCAAAATGTGGTTTAAAAATAGCTTTCAGAAGTAACAACACAACAGGAAATTTAAAAAAAAAACAATAATACGAAATTTATATTGGACAAACAGGTAGATCCTTCAAGAAACACATTAACGCACATAAAAGAGCGTTTAAAAACAATAGTCTAGATTCTAATTATGCTACACACTTAAACACAGAAAAACACATTTTTGACGACAATTTTGACATTTGACATACAGCCACAAAAAGTAGAAAATTAAATTTAATGGAAGCCATGGAGATTAACAAAATGAGACATTCAACTGTATTGCTTAATTAAACTTAAATTCTCACAACATCATTAATTTTCATTTTTCGGTATATATATCTGAACTTTTAGTTCTTATTTATTTTGTGAAAGGTACTGTCATAACTTTTGTTTACTATGCGTTGTCATGCTCTTGTGACACTAAGACTAAGTATTAATCAAAACTTAAAACGATTAATGCAAAAGTTGTAACAAAAACAGCGTAAAGGGTTTAAATGAATGTTACTATAGATGTATAAAGACTTTTTTTTGTTAAATTGCTACTTTTAGGACACCCTGTATTATTATATAGAGCCTTTTTCTTGTGAACATCCTGTATAATTATTATATTGTATTAAAGTTTGATGTTCGTAATAATTTTTTATTATTACGAATTAGTCAAACGGCTAGGATTTCCATGGCCCACTGTGCGTAGCCCGGTATGGGGATAAAGGCGATCGAAAGTGTTTCGATTCAATCATGGCGTGCGTTAATCACCGATCCGGCCACCGCGAGGCAAATAAACACGGTCGAAATCAAATAGACTTCGACTTAAAATAATCAATGGCGGAACGAAAATAAACAACGGGCCGGGGATGACGCAAAAGGCGATCAACCGGGCCGCGGACGGTCGGGAAACTAGACGCCGCCTACCTTGAAACCCTTGTACCATTCCTTGATGGTGCTCTCGTCGTACCGCGTGTGGGATTTGAGAAAGTCCATGTCCTCCTTTGACAGTTTGTCCTTGCTGCCGAAACAACCCATCGCGAGGACCCTGAAACAAGCGACGATCGTGTCAGCGACGGCGTAAAGAAGAAAATTTCCTCAATGATCAAAAATTTTCCAAAAAAAATTCTTTTGATAGGATTTGCGTGGCATTTAAAATGAAGACACTCCCATATTTTGATTTGAAGTTTTGCACGGTGTAATTCTAGCTATATTCTTGCTAAACTCTTAGGCGCTTGTTGCTGCCTATAGGAGATTATCGGTTTAGGCTTGAATTGTGACGTCGACTTTCTGACAAACCCAAAAATGCGAATTTGTCATAAAATTTGTGGGTTGGGATAACATTTCAAAGGCTCAAAGCATCTTTTCTGTGGTAGCGCTCCTGAAAACAATTAACTTCTTCAACGCAGCATGACCATATCGAGAAGTCCGACGGGTTTAAGTCCGGATCTAAATAATACGGCGAACTCAACGCCCTCTGGGAGCAACGTCCAAATAAATTTCGTGTATAAAATAAGAATAAAAGTTAAATTCTTTGCTAAAGCACTTTACTTCTTCAACATTTCGACGCTGTGGGTCACGTGATTATAAAGATATCAAAAAAATTGAATACAAAAGTTGTTTGTTTAATTTGTTTGTCCTACTTCAATTGTCACCTTGTCAAATAGGTGAGTTGAAAATTAATTACATAATTCAGAAATAATTGAAGATGTTGAAGCCACCAATGGAAAAAAGTCTACCTAATTTTAGAGGCCCATAAAGACGAACAAAATAATGCCTTTTAAAAAGCCGAGAAGTCTATCTAAAGCAGCAAGAAATTGATTTAAATGACCTACTATCGTATTGGTTCCTTAAGCACTGTTTCATGAAGGCTGAATTGTGTCATAGATTGCAACAAAACACTGAGAAAATGGATTTACATACAAATCTACGTACGGTACTCGTTCAGGAATAGAACCCTATTTCTTCTATCACATTCAACAACTTAGGATAAATATTTTTGAAAAGGATATTATGTATCGGTCTCAAATGCAATGCCAAAAGATTTGCAGTTATTTTTGATAATTACAGACATTGAACCCTGCCAAGAGAATATGAAGTTTCTGGGTCTCGAAAGGTTCCAGTTTTGGTTAGTTCCTATGAAGAATGTAATTGCAGGTTCTCTACCAACAAAGACATAATAGGTACATCGGAATTTTTAAATGAAAACTTCTAAATGATTTTGAAAATAATGTATATTTTGCCTATTCAAAAAATTTGAAAATAAAAATGGTCATTATTTTGTTAAAGTTACGTCTATACTTTCTTGATTCTCCTAATCACCGGCTTATGATAATACATTCTTTGCTTCGAAATCTCTGGGTAAACGAACAATTTCCCGGCCTGACATAGATCCAGCTCCAGTATCACGATAAAACTTTCTCTTCTTTTAAATATATATCTTAGTAGGCTGCAAAAAACAATTGAACTCTTGCGTCAAATAGCTTTTTATTGACAGCATTTTAAACAAGACGTGTCCGAAAAAATGTCGCAAGTAACGCAAATTGAGTATAGAGCAGTCATAAGCTTTTTGACAAAAGAAGAGTTAGCACCTAAAATTATTAAAGAAAGGCTGGATGGTGTGTACGGCCAAAGTTCTCCTTCGAATGGGGCAGGAGTCCCTTGAAGATGATTCAAGAACTGGTCGACCAGTGGAAGTCATAACGGAAGATATTGTTGCGATTGTGGAAGAGGTGGTATTGAGTGATCGACGTTTAAAGGTCAAGGAAATCTCAGAAATTACTATTCTTTCTGATACAAGGGTTCCTCGAATCCTGAATTATCATTTAGGTATGCATAAGGTTAGTGCAAGATGGGTTCCTAAAAACCTTTCGGCTATTCAAAAACAATGCCGTGTCGAGTACGTGCGGTCTTTTTTGGAACTCTGTGGGTCGGATCCGAAGCTTGTGATAGAAACTATTGTGACGGGAGATGAAGGTATGGTTCTCTATTACGACCCTCTATCGAAAAAAGAATCAATGGAGTGGCGTCGTAAGGGCGAAGCACCTCCAAGAAAATTCAGAGTCTGCCAGTCAACAAAAAAGGTGATGGCCACGATCTTTTGGGATTGTGAAGGAATTCTTTTGATAGATTTTAAAGAAACTAATACCACTATCAATGGTAAATATTACGCAACATTATTACATAAATTGCGAGACTGCATACGTGTAAAACGTCGAGGAAAACTGACCAGAGGCGTGCGTCTTTTGCACGATAATGCACCTGTCCATACTGCTGGTGTTGGACAAGCTGCCATTTTAGAATGTGGGTTCCAACGGATAGATCATCCTCCCTATAGTCCAGATATGGCCCCCAGCGACTATTATTTGTTTGGATATTTGAACAAGGACTTACGTGGACGGCGGTTTAACGACGAAGTTGAGTTAAAAGAGGCTATTTTAGGTCATTTTGCAGACAAACCGAAAGAATATTTTTTTAAAGGGATTAAGTTGTTAATAAAGAGATGTATTAAGTGTATTGAAGTTAAGGGGGATTATATTGAAAAATAATAAAAAATTGTTTGTTACTTTCATATTCAGGCCTGGAAATTTTGGCGCTGCCCTCGTATTTCGGTAATGGCAATCATATTTCGAATACTATTGCGAATAAAAGACTGCGTTTTTTGTTTTGAAAACTTCCTCATGTATTTTATTCCATTTCGTTGGCAGCATATAAAGAGTTTCCAAATAAAAAAGGTTCTCGCTTACGGACAATTTCAATACTAAAATTCCAATTTTCATATTCGAGGTCCTGAAAAAAACAGAAAATAAAAAACCCAAAAATTGGTCGGATATGTTGAATAGTTTCGGATTTATCGGATGGCGAGTGATAAAAACTGTTTTTTGCGAATTTCCGCCTTTTTGGCAGTTTTCTCGATTTTACAAAACTCAAAAAAGTCGTAATTACCCATTTCGTAAGTAGAATAAGCCGATTTATAACTTCAGTCAGGTTTCATGTGGTTCTAAGTCGATATATCTTTTTTCTTTCTTTTTTTTTCTTTTTTCAAGATGGAAAAGACTTTTACGGGCTTTTTTACTCCACTAAATATACTAAATATATACAATACAATATACTATATATATATATATATATATATATATATATATATATATATATATATATATATATATATATATATATATATATATATATATATATAAAATAAAGTTTACTCCACGAAATATTGAGGACATGCAAAAAGCGCACAAATTAAGGGCGAGACCCCCCGATATCGCCTTGCGGGACGCCACCCGCTCGCCCGGGCATCAAAGTCCAATTAATTTCGGGCGTTTCCGCTTGATCGTCACCCCCGTGCCGCGGTCAAAAGAATCCCCTCCCCCGGACCCCCGGGGGTAATTAGGGACACGCGGGGTGACACCAAAAGTCGACCGGAACGACGTCGGCGACGCGTAAAACGTACAGGGACGAAAAAGCTCAGACCTCAGGAGTGGGATAAAGCAATACGCGTATCGTTTTATGCGTTATATCTCGATACTCTGTCGTCGGATGGGAAATACGTTTTCTTTTACGCAAAAACTGTACGATTACTACACCAAATTAAACTGGGCTGCCATTTTATCAAATATGGACCATTACAATCTTCTATTCTAATAACATAAGTTATTATTCTTATTATCAAAATAATTGTATAACATTTTTAAGCGCCATTCGAATTTTACACAACCACACAATGTTAGAAAGTTTTCGTTAGATCAGGGGGGAGGAGATGAACTAAAAAAATACAAAATCTCAACTTTTAGTGACCTGAGGCAGATTAGTGTAATTTAAATCATGACTTTGATTAAAAAATCCATTTAACAAAATAAATAAGAAATAAAAGTATAGATTTTCAGGAAATTTAAGTGTAATATTGAAAAACTACCTGATACTATATATACCGAAAAATAGCAATAAAACTGTAATTACCAATGTTATGAGAATTTTACTTTAATAACGGAGAGGTATTTAAATCTAATTGATCGTTAAGCAATACATTTGAATGTCTCATTTTGTTAATCTCCATGGCTTCCGGTAAATTTAATTTTCTACTTTTTGTGGCTGTATGTAAAATATCCAAATGTTCGTTAATGCCTTTCTTGAAGGATCTACCTGTTTGTCCAATATAAATTTTAGGACATTTCAACCTGTAGACCCCTGATTTTTGAGATTTTGGACACTTCGTTTTATTGTTTCGGATAAATAGAGTTTACTGTTTATAATTTTATCGATAATGGACGAATTGTGGCCGTTGTTCAATGCAATTTGTTTAATGATATTAAGTTCTTTGTTGTAATTTTCTGTTGAGAGTGGCGTATTAAGAAATCTGTGTATAAAAGGGTGAGATGCAGCCATTTTGTGTGTATCAGCGTGATTTGAGCCGTTATGCATGACTGTGTCCGTTTGCGAAGGTTTATGGTAAATGGAAAAATCGAATTTGTTTTGCGTTTTCGTAAAAGTTAAGTCTAAGAGTTATCCTGTTCAATATCGATAGTGAATTTTATATCATTATGTAATGAGTTAATGTAATTTAAAAAAGAATTCAATTGTCTGTCCGTTGCAACAAAGCAAGCAAAGACATCATCCACGTATCCATACCACTATAGAAAACTTTTACTTAAAGGATGTTCTTGTATGATGTTTTTCAAATTATCCATAAAAATCTCGGCTAACAAAGGACTAATAGGTTTCCCATAATCAAACCTTCCTTAGGGATGTAAATCTGTCCAATAAATCCAAAAAAATTTTGGTCTAAAGATACTATTAAGAATCTAATGAATCTTGTTTCACCAATTTCACCTGTTTCCGAGTGAGGGTGAAGTCTACTAAACGTATCACATCCATTTTCCAAGTTTTGTACATCAAAAGAAAATAGTGCTGCGTTTGAAGGGATTTTAATATCTTTAATTTTGTTGATTAATTCAAAAGAACTTTTTATTGCAAATTTTCGTTTAAAATCTGTGTGGACCTTTAAAATATTTACTAATTTTGTTGAGAGTTTAATTGCTGGAG